TTTTTTTTCTTTTTTTTTCTTTCTGGTTATTTTTGTTTTGGTATTTTCTTTTTCCCCCCTTCCCGCGCTTCAACATTTCTTGTATGCATCCAATCCCAATTTTTAGGAGGGATCTCCTTTATTCTGGCGGGTCGCCTTATACTTTACCTTACAATGTGTCAAAACTCAAACCAGCCTGCATCTTACCCTAGGTCTCTTTTTCCCCATAGTTAGCAACTGATCTACTGACCCCAAACCTCTGATGAAATCAATAATATCTGGTATTGTGGATGGCTCAGGAATGGTTCCTATAAATATACCTCGATTACAAAATTCGTACACATTATAATACCACGATCTTACATTGTAAAGAGTAATGTTCGAATGGCACGAAATTACGTGGGATAATCAAGAAATAACCAAGAACAAAAAAGGTTTCCAGACTTCACACAGAGCAAGCCACCAAATGACGGGAAACAACAGCTCCACTCTTTTGGCGCAGTTCATTGTGAAAATCCCCGGCTCCACGCCTCCGGTGTGAAGGATGATAATGCCCGCAATCCCCTCTATCTGGAGGGGAAGCACCATGCCTATAAGAGTACCCTCTGTCGTGCCCGTTTCCCTCTTGGGTGTGGTAAATCACTTAGTGCCTCTGGCTGCAAGACCCAACCTTGAACCTAGTCACAATGGATGTCTCCTCCCCCAAGTCCCTGCGTGACTCACTCCGTCAGGCTTTACACCGGAGAGAACTGAAATCGGCTCGTCGGAGGCTCACAGTGCTCCCTCAGACGTCAGTAGACTTCTCGTCCAACGACTTCTTGTCACTATCAACGTCGCCAGCATATCGAGCCCGGTTACTAGAACACCTGCAACAGGCACCTCCGCTGCACCCCTTTGCCAGTGGAGGTTCCCGGCTCCTGGATGGCAATTCAACTTATGCCGAGGAGCTTGAGAGCTTCATCGCTGAGTTCCATGGCGCCCCCAGTGGACTGCTGTTCAATTCAGGGTTCGACGCCAACGTCGGCGTCTTATCCTGCATTCCTCAGCCCGGAGATCTGATTGTACATGATGAGCTGATCCACGCAAGCGCACGGGAGGGCATGCGTTTGTCCCGAGCAGGCAAACGGGTTCAATTCGCGCACAGCTCACCCGAGAGCCTGGAAGCAGTGCTACAATCACAGCTGGACGCCGATCCCAAGGTCCAAGATGGATCCCGGAATGTCTTTATCGTGGTGGAATCCGTCTATAGCATGGACGGGGACATTGCGCCGATTCGCGAATTCATCCAGGTCGTCGATCGTCTGCTGCCGAGGGGAAACGGCTATTTTATCGTGGACGAAGCGCATGCTACGGGTACATTCGGTCCCCGCGGGGCTGGCGTGGTTCAGGAACTGGGCGTGGAGGAGCGGATATTTATCCGCGTTCATACGTTCGGCAAAGCCTTAGCCAGTCATGGTGGTATGCGATCAAAAAAAAGACTCCCTTTGATATATATGTCCCTGACCGTTCTCCAGCGATCGTCTTGTGCTGCTCCGATACCCGAGATTATCTGATCAACTATGCACGTAGCCTGATCTACACAACGGCCTTGGGGTTCCCGTTCTTGGCTTCCATCCGCACCGCATATGAACTGCTGTCCGAAGGGACCACACAACCTGTGAGTTTTCGCGAGTATACATAGATCCTCAGAGGCCTTGGACTGACATCGATAGCTTCAACACAAACTTCAACAATTGATCTTATACCTGCGGACCAGGTTAGAAGACCTTGGTTCCTGGGACCCTGCAGTCTTCGAAGTAGACCACTTCCCGAGATCCCCCATCTTTTCTCTGCGCAGTCCATTACCTCGTCAGTTGGCGGCCGCATGTCAGCAGGAAGGCTATACTGTGCGTGCAATCATGGCGCCTACCGTTCCTGCTGGAAAGGAACGGGTCCGGGTGTGTCTTCATACGGGTAATACGATGGAGGAAATCGACGGGTTTGTCGACACGATCCAGCATTGGCTGAACCGAATGACGGAGAAAAAGGCTGCACGGCTGTAAAGGTAAGTGTAGGCTTAATGCCTGTGAATTATGCTTTTGTATCGATGACGATGTGAGTCTGTAAAAGTTGTATTTTGTATATAGTTGGACTTACAAGTGACACAAGAGCATACCAGACCATCGGACCAGCAGTAAGACCAGAAAAAGTAAGCAAACAAGGAAAGGAACTAGTGAAGTAAAAAGAAAAGATGAACAAAGAAAGTCGAGTCAGCTCTCGTATAACCAAGACAATTCAATAAACCCAAAATTCGCTACAAGTCGGACATCTCGGAAACAAATCATCAAACGTCTCAATCCATCGATCCATACAATCTCGATGGTAATTCGTGCCACAATGACCCTGACACCACACCCACCGCTCATCATCATACTCGGTCTCGTAAAGCTTCTTCTCAGCCGCAGTGTACTCCCTCGCCGACCCGCCAGTCACGTCCACGAAAAACCCTAACAGACAGATTCCACACTCGTCCTCAACCGCCCTTGGCGCCACCATTCTCGATACAACGCTCGTATCCACGGCCTGACCCGAGCTCGAGCTCGAGCACACCGACGTCTCGCTGACAGGACTGGCGGTCCGCTCTTCAGGGGGGTATGATCCTGGAACCTCGCGCTGTGGACGCCACTCCTCCGCCGGCGCTTGCTGTGTCTGCTCCACCGGCCCATGCACTGCGTCCGAGTGGAGGACACTACTAGCTCCAGCTCCCTGCACAGACCTATCCTCACTGTTCCCCATATCCTTAGTGGCCGGAGAATCCCGCCGACCAAGCGAGTACCTCCACACCTGGAAGTCCCACTTTCGAGCTAGTCGATACCACTGCGACTGATGCGATTCAGTACACAGCAGCAGAGTCGACAAACCGATCAAAGTGCTGCTGATATCCCGACCCTCGTTGAAATACCTGCTGCCTGTATTGAGTAATCTAAGGGCTGCTGCGCGGGTGGCAGGGCTGATTGTGTTTTTGCACCGGTGGACGCGGCCAACGCTGAACTCCAGACACTGATGCTCTTGCAGGGGGTGGATGTTTAGGATTTTGCTGAGCTGGTGCGGTAATGTGGATTGGAGGGGCATTTTAGCTTCTTTTATTTTCTTTTGTGGGGGAGGTTTGGTCGGGACTCGTAGGAGTCAAAAGCAGCAGGTTCATGGTGGGGGTAATGGGAGGGGCTACTATTGATATAATTCATATGTTGTGTAAGAGTGACATTCTGTGATGGTTTTAGGTCAGAGAGCGCTCATTGTTATGCCATAGTGAGGGTCCGCATGAGCAATGCATGACTGACCAGGATTATCACGGATCATGATATTCCTTTGGACAACGCTATCAGCTACTGTACAAGCTGTATATATATATATACTACTAAAGAACACCAAGTCAGTTGCCTATATATAAGCAGTGTTGTTCGTAGTTCGTCGAGAAATAGTTGATGATATCACCCGCGATATAAAATCATGACCCCTCCCCTCCCAAGCCCCTCACCTGAATGAGCGATCGACACCAACTCATAAAACCATCCACAACACTAGTATGGCAGAAGAAGAGATTCTCATTGTCGGCGCCGGTATCTTCGGCGTCAGCACCGCCTACCACCTAGCATGTAGCAGTTCCAACCCTTCTCGAATCACGCTTTTAGACCGCGGCGCCCCTCCTTCCACGCCGGCCGCATCGACGGATATCAACAAGATCATTCGCGCGGACTACTCCAACCCACTGTATATGAGTCTGGGGTTCGAAGCCATCGAGGCCTGGAAGTCGCTCCCGTTTTTCCAGGACGCGGGTGTCTATCATCAGTCAGGATGGATTGCGATGGATGAGAAGGACAGTGATCTGCCCCACCGTATTAGGAAGAACTTTTCAGAGAGTGGTCGCGAGGATGTGATCGTCGACATGACTGAGGAAGAGGTAAAAACTCGTTGGGGTGGACTGCTTCAGGGAACTGATTGCACTCCGTTTGGGTCATATTATTTTAACCCCTCGGCGGGATGGGTGGATGCTGGGAAGGCATTGGCCATTATGGCGAACGAGGCCGTGAAGATGGGCGTCAAATATGAAATTGGCGAGGCACGTAGGGTTGTCCGCGGAGAAGACGGGGTGCAGGCAATCGAAACAGATACTGGTGCGGTCTTCAAAGCAGACAAGATCCTTCTAGCTACGGGAGCATGGACAAGCCAGTTAATGTCTTCTGTTGAAGATGAGCTGGCATTGCCTGACGAAGAGCGAGTAGAGAACCAGGCATCTGCTGCTGGCGTTTGCGTTGCTCATTTTCAGCTTTCGGGGGCTGAGAAAGAGACATACTCGCAGCTACCGGTGTTTGTATACGGCGGACAAGGTTTGTTAAAACCGAACGATTGGGCTGGCATATACTGAGAACGAACAGGGGAAGTAATACCACCAACGGATTCGGGGATTCTCAAGTTCACATTTGCGACGTCCGTTAAGAATATAGTCAGCACAACTTCTGGCCATGAGATATCTGTCCCTGTTGCAGACCAAACAAATGCTCCACCTGGTCTCCAGGAAGACTCGATCAATCTGATTAGGCCGCGCTTACCTCAGGTTCTGGACAATGGCCGCAAACCAGATTATTATCGCCTGTGCTGGGACTCTATTACCCCCGATCAACAGCCACTCATCACTAGACACCCAAACCCTAGCCTCTCGAATGTGTACTTCGCGATAGGGGGCTCGTTCCATTGCTATAAGTTTCTTCCGACAATTGGAAAATACGTGGCCAACGTGGTGAATGGTGTGAGTAACGGCCCGCAGAAGGATCAGGCCTGGGCGTGGAAGCCAGCCCACGAAAGCAAGAGAGGAGTGCATGAGAAGCTGGTGCCAACGAGAGTGTTTCAAGACTTTACATGAGCCAGGCCCGTCTTTTACCGCGGGTTAGTGGCTTAGTTGAGGATGTAGGGCTTCGCTGATATTGGTAGTTAGCATACAGGGAATAGTGAAAAGAATAAGATGTCATTACCTTATAGGCCAAGCGAACTTCAGGTTCTGCCCAATAAAGGAGAGCTGCGAACTGTGAAGGGCATACACATCTCTGGCCAGAGTATATCAAACAAGTTGAGGGTGCATACAGATATACACCAACCTCGCCGGCTATCTGTTTTCCCGCTCCGGTGGAATTCACCATCTATAACATTACTTGTCTCCAGAGGAATCGTCATTAGCCAATAACACTTAGCAGCCTGTTTACAGAAGGTAAAGCTGACCGTAAGTCCTTGCCGTCCGTGGTCTTTCTTTCCTTTTCCTTTGTTGTAGCATGCGTGATCGACCAAACCAACAATCACATTGCTTATCACCGCGATTTCTAGGACTGAAAGAACCACTAATTCTTAAAGTCTCCCTCTTCGTCAAGAAAGGTCAGCAGCTTGCTTCTAAAGCAGAGCTGTTAGCCATCAAAGTCCGTGCCATTCAATGAGGCCAGGATACATCGACTCAGTATTATCACTGTAGGCTTCTCTCATCCTTAAGTGCAGCGACAGGGCCAACACCATTGACGTCCAATTTTCGTGAGCTCAGCGCTTCCTACGTTAGGCCGGCTCTTTCTCCCTATTTAGGGACCCAGCGTGGCGACCGACCGATCGAAATGGATGACGGCGAGCATTTTTGCAATATCTGTGGGGGACCGCTGTCCACAAACTTCGTCCAGCATTCTACCTACGACCCATATCTTACTAGCGAGAACGGCACTTATGTATGAAGCAAGCATCCAGAGTAAACCAACGGTGATTCTGGTATCTGACAATATCTGCAGTGGCTTAAATTGACCAGGATCGTGCGTGCCAATGTTCATGATGGAGAGGACTCGGACGAAGAAGGCGCATACTATATTAGTATGATGGTGAGTATGCCCCTTTGAGCTACTGGTAATGAACTCTCAAACGTCACGACGTGTATACTAAGCAAATTAAGGGTACATACGAATACGAGCCGTCCCGTATCTTTCGAACAAATTTAAATGGTCCTGAAAATGAGCTCGAGTTCGCCGCGTGGGATGAGGGATTCGTCGTTCACAATGCGTGCTTCATGATGCTTCTCGAAATGGGCATGGGTGACAAACACATGACCACAATGGGACGCGAGATATTTCTCCGAATGCAAATGCGTATGCCGATGAGCGATGGTACCGTTATCAACTGGGGTGATTGCTACTATGGCGGAGCTGGGCCATTCCAAGGACATAGGTGGATGGCTCTAGATGGATACGAGGTATGTACGATCAATACTACGTTCTGCTCAAGCTACTAACCGGATTCTAGTGGCTTGTTACAAACCCTGACTATGAACCGGACTTCTATGAGCTCCTGGAAGACGCAAGGCGCGACGGTCCAGAGGAGATTAATGCTAAATTGTGGGACGAGGCAAAAAGCTACCAATATGTTGATCCATTCTGGCGCTTCCCAGTTGAGCTGCGTCATGAGATCCTGCACCTTCTCCCGTCTGAGTCGCTCTTCGATGTCCAGCGAGCGAGCCCGGCCTTTTGTACAGCTAGCACCTCATTTTCAAACAAATATTGGCACTCCGTGATTGAAGACAGGATGCCCTGGATGGAGCACACTTCGCTCAACAAGATACTAGCCGAGAGGGAAAGCCCAATGGACTATAAGAGTCTCGCAGCGCGGTTAATTGAGGCTACTGTCACATCTGACGACAGGAACGGATCGTGGGATGAGTATCTAGGCCTGCAGAATCGCCGGAGAATTATGAGGTGCATTGATCGCATTCTTGATGACATTGAAGAGTCTGTTGCAAGCAAAGACAACCACGAAGGTGTCTCAACACAGATCCTAAGCCTCTCCAGCTTTCGAGCGGTGACGGTCTCGTGGGATGTCTCCATTGATAAGAAGAATACAGACGTCTATATCAGACCTCTGATTGACAATCCGCCCCATCCTAAGAATGCCAAAGTGTATTTTGGGGCAGACGGTGACATGGTTGGTATGGAATTCTTCCTGGAAGGAGACAAGTCCGGTCGTCTCGTGGGCTATCAAACCAACTCGCTTCAGAGTGTATCATTTCAAAAAGACATGCTCATCAACGGCTTCGTCATATCGCTCGGTCCCATGCGTGAGTCCCGCGCAAAGTATACGATACAGGGCATTGCAATAATCACAGATGGCAACTACCATCGTCCCTATGCCAAGCTCGGTCATTGGTCCAATAATGACCTTGTTCACATCCTATGCGCAAGGACTATCGAAACGTTGGTTGGTTTCAGTGCGCAATACTCCGTTCGTATAAACAAGTGGTAGATTCCTGAACAGCAATTGCTAACTCAACCTAGGAAGACCATATCGCCCAGTTCGGCATAATAGTCGCGGATCTAGCTACAGCCTCCCCGGGATTCGTGTGGGATATGGAAGTAGACCTACTGGGGACTACTCGCTGGATCGGCAATTGGCCATCGCCCGACAATGAGCCTGCGAGACTCATGCCGAGCCCCAAGCAATTCAGCACTAGGACCCAGGCTCCTGTACAGTTCCTTGACTTCTGTTCTTGTATAATCGATAGCATCGAGGCATTCTTCCCTTTCGGTCAGGGCAAAGCAATCGGCGGCTTGCTCTTCAAGTTTAGCGATGGAACTCAGAAGCTAGTCGGTAGAGCTGAAAACCACGAATCTATCTCAGAATTTGCATGTAACGAGGTCACTTTTAACCCGGGGAATGACCAGAGAATCACCGGCGTGGCTATCAATTGCACTGATAAACGTCTGGGACACCCCGAGCCTTGTGGAATAAACAGCATCGTGGTAGGTGGCGAGTCATATCCCTTGTCTTTGCTTTCCCCATTTTCTTTATTTCATACTTCAGGTACCATCGTTTGTCACTAATGCCTTTCTTCAACAGTTCATTACTGAGCCGAAATCGAATAATATGGTACTGGGATATCGAAGATTTCGGTCTTCGGGCGGCTACGACCTCCTCAAGGGCCCGTACGAATACTGCGATAAGGAGCGTCCCACTGTCGGAATGCAGTTCGTCTTCGACAAGGGAGTGATCACAAAATTAGGCCTTATGCACTAGCCAGCGACATCTCCTTGCAGTCTACCGAAAGAACGCGATCAATCACACCGACGAAGAGATGGAATTGCGAGGCAAGGAAATACAATAGGACCAGGGTCTGAAATCGCACGTCAAGGCTACTGTGGATATGATGAAGACACGATATGGGACAGGTAACTGGCATCTCGGATCAAGTGACGCTTTTGTATACCGTACATACAGCTCACTTAGATACATAGTTGGAATGAAATCCGTGGTCGAAATAGCTAACCCACAAACTAATAAGCGTAGTATAGCACCGATTCATCATTGCTCTGACGGATCTTCCTATTCGCCCGCATAAGCCATATCTTCATCACCCAGGCACTGGCCGCACAAGCCAGCGAGAACGCAGCACTCGAGGACATCGCCATCGTATACCTAGGCTCATCGGATGAGGGCCACAGATACTACAACCATTAGCACAACCGATTCAGTATAGCCCAGCAACCCTCACAAATGGAGAAAAACAGAACATACCGGAGTCCACACAAACGAAGCATTCGCAATCGTATTCACAATCGCCAACGACGAAGCCTTCTTCTCCTTCGTCTGTCCACAGGTACTACTCACCCAACCCAGCACGATACTATTCACCGCATAAGTGCCAATAGCGAAGACCACCATGGCGAAATATCTCGCCCCGGTGTTCAGCGTCGCACAACCCAGGACGAACCCGAAGATGGCAATCGCCTTAGCGACGGTAATATGCCAAGTCCTCTCGTTAAGCCTGCCGGAGCTCCACGACCAGAACACCGAGATAAGCCCGGCAATCAAGTACGGGGGGCAGGTGAGCACGAGCGTAATGGTTGTTGAGAAGCCTAATGTCTCGACGGCAGTGGGAAAGAAGTTCTTGAAGCCATTTGCAGCAAGGTGCATGTGCTGCATGAAGGCGAAGAGCCACAGTTTCGGGTCGCGGGCGGCCTCCTTGAGCCCGCTGAAGGTGCTGGTTTGGTGCCGGGCGCCGACGGTATCTGCTACGATGCGGGCGTGGGCGAGTGTTCTTTCTTCTTCGGTGAGCCAGCGCGTGACGAGCGGATCGTCGGGGAGCGTGAAGATTGATAAGACGGCAATGACGAAGGTGATGGCGCCTTGCAGGATGAAGAGCCATTGCCAGCCACTGAGCCCGGCCAGGTCATCCATGCCGTGGAAGATGCCTGCTGCGATGAGGCCGGCGAAGGCGGTTGCGAGGATGTTGCCAGTGTACAGAATCGAGATGCGAGTTGCGATTTCTTTGCGTGTATAGAAGATCGACAGCATGTAAAGAGCTCCTATGTATGGTCAGATCTGTCTGCGTGGAATGGCCAAGGGATGAACATTAGCCTACCTGGGTAGTATGGAGCCTCTGTCATATCATGAGCAAACAATCCACTGAAGTAGCTATTAAGGAAGGGTAAACATACCAGTAACACCAAGAAAGAACCTGACCAGCAGCAGTCCCTTGAAGTCTTTCGCAACAGCCGTAATAGCGCTAACAACCGCCCACAGCGCCATACACCCAGACATATACCACGATGGCCTCACCCTCGTGATTAACATATCTGCCCACGGAGTCAGCCCACACCTCCATCCATTCCATCATCCAAACAAACCCCCCCCCCTCCAAAAAAGAAAACTCACTACTAGGAATCTGCCCCAAAAGATACCCCACAAACAAGATAGAAACACAAGTCTGATACTCAGACGACGACAAGTCCAGATCCTCCTCGAGGTCATTCAACCGCGCCAAAGCGATCGCATTGCGGTCAAGGTAGTTGAGCCAGTACATCAGCCACAACGTGGGCATGATCCAAGTATCCAGTTTACGGACCAGGCGAATCTCCACGGGGTCTGTTTTCTTCCGCGCACCGGAGTAGTCACCCCGGTGCTGGGGCGATTTGACACCATCTTGGCCCAGTGTGTACTCCCGGTGGATGGTTTCGGGCTTTTCGTCTGTGTTTGGGGGAGGGGGGTTCTCTGGGTTGGACATATTGTCAGGATGAGTATTGCGGGGTGGGGTAATGAATCTGGAAGGACATGGCTGGTTGATCCTGCAAAGGGAAGCGCTTTTATACCTACTTTTTGGCAGTCACATCGCAGATCACACACTTGGACCCCCCAGACAGCATGCTGCATGCTGCTTTGAGAATCGCGGGGTTACATCCAGAGAGCCAAGAGCGGTGATATCTACCTCCACGGGTTAGCAGATGCTGCAACGAGCAGAGATGACCTATACTAACGAGGAGACAGCGAAGACGTAGGCTGGGATCGGCAAACTCTGTCCGAATATACCTCATACTCAAGCGCCAGATTGTAGCAAAACAAGAAGATGCCGAGTGTATCATCTGGTTTTTAGTATCATTCGCATCATAGTCTGCTTTGTTAAGGTGTGGCAGAGGTAGTGTCTATCAACGTGTTTCCCCAGAGTCCAAGCTTTGCACTGCCTCCCCCAGTCTTGGCTATGTATCTTTATCATCTCCGCAGCCAGACACGGCCGGTGGTTATGCGGAGTGCGAAGCCGCCAGCTGTCCTTGGCGTGAACTTGGCAAATAGGATAACAAAAGGCAGTGGTGCTCGGCCATCTTAGCACGAGTAAGAATTAGGTTCGGCAACGTGGGGACAAGATTATATGTGCTCGGCGGAGGGTATGAGGTGTCTTTGACATTACTATTGGCCGGAGTTGAACATGTCCGGCGAATGTTAAATAGGAGAATGCCATGGCCGATACGGACATTGTATGTCCGGGGTGCTATCATATATTAGTCACTTACAGTGCTGACTGACATGGTGGGATTTCTTACATACAATATAAGATAAATAGGGATATGGCCTATATAGGCTGAAGCCACTTATTGTGGCTGTGGTCCTAGCCATGACGATCTTTGCAGGAGAGTACGTAGTATAAAGGTGCTTGTGGACCCTGGAATCTTGCGCTTAGTCGATAAGAATGGCTACTATTCTGCGCGGTCTGTCAATATATAAGCCTTATATACCTTTCCATAATGCTGAAGTGAAAAAGCCAAACATCCATCATTTGGTCTTCGACTAGACAGCTTGCCCAGATCACATCATGGATTACACACATCACGCATATCACGCCACCATCGAAGCAGGCAATCAACTACCTAGTTATTGCCATTTCAACGGATGACTTTCAAATTCGTCACATCAATATATCGGCTGATTGGATTCACTCCCAGTCGTCAGCTGGGGCTAAAAAGACTCCGCGGAGTATCTCGCCACTTGCATTTGTTGCCATCGAGACTACCAGGATGAACCATGTTGAGATCTATGATTAGTGATGCTAACAGCCCTGTGTAGTGCTTTGGATCGAGTTTGACGTCTTGAGTGTGTTGCTAGGACTGCTAAACAGGTTGACTCCCCACTTACACTTACAAGTCGGGCCGAGCTATCGCCGAGAGCCAACTTTAGGGCTCAACTTGTTGACTCATTGGGATCCCCACTCACTTGCAGTGGGACTGGAACCGCGAACAAACAGGAAAATGTTGAGAAACAAACAAACCATGATCCAGGTGAATCCTCGTAAGAGTTCTGGGGGGGCAGCTTGCTCCTCATCTGGCATAATTGTGTGGGGAACTGCATTAACGTTTAGACCCAGTTTTCCACGTCAGCACCAACCACTCAGCATCGCCTGATGATCTATAGCAAACCCGAGGCCTAGGGGCAATCTCCCAAACGGTGACCTCTCTCCTGAACAGTACCAAGGGTAGACCGCTTGTGTAGAATAATCATTTCCGGACAGTTCGAGACCCTATCTATGGGGAAGGAGCCGGGAGTAGTTGACGTGACCATCGTATTCGGCGTCGTGGCAACTCTCCTCTCGGTATAGTATGTTTATGGAAAAACCGAGGTCGCGCGGACCCCGCATTTTATGCCTTAGTTAGTGAGCTTCCCCAGCTATGCATTACTTCTGCCATGTTGTTATGTCGAAGATCGGCGCTGTTCTTATATAAGGGGGGGGCATTGCGGAGCAACCGAGGGACATTGAATACCGGCTATAATGTACCGGCTGCGGAGTACAAGATCGTCACAGTCTCCGCATTTTTGTCAATTCCTCCATACACCTACTCTGCTTTGGTAGGACACAAGGATCGCCTTCCAGAATTCACTAGAGTACATACAACATGAGCATCGGTGCGTATGAGGATGAGTCTGGTTGATATCTTCCATACTAACAACATCCATAGCAGCTGCAGTCGCTGGTGGAGCGACATTGGCGGCGTACCTCAACGCCAAATTCCACATTTCCAAGGATGTCTCCGGTATTCTGAATGTCCGAAGGAGCGAGCGAGAGTATGCGCGCGCCGTCGCCCAGAAGAAAGGCAACGTCTGGTTTCTGTTTAACGAAACGGCTGCTCGATATCCCGACTTCTCCTGCATTTGGACGCGCGAGCGATCATACACATACCGCGAAACCATCGCATTCGCAAATCAATACGCGCACTTCTTTTTATCGAAAGGCGTGAAGAAAGGTGATCTGGTGGCCTTTTATTTGCAGAACCGGGCCGAGTTCATCTTCGCCTGGCTCGGGTTGTGGAGTATTGGATGCGCGCCGGCCGCGATCAACTATAACTTGTCGGGCGATGCATTGCTGCATTGTTTGAAGATCAGTGGCACAAAGCTGGTGCTGGTGGATGACGATGATGAGTGCCTTGCCCGCATAGACGAGTGTAAATCCGCGATCGAGGGCGACCTCGGCATGGAACTCATTACTGTGGATCCCACGTTTACTACCACTGTGCTATCACGATTTCCCACCGAGGTTCCTGAGAATGGCCGTCTGGCATTGGGCATGAATGGTGAGTACCCGGGGATTCTACTATATACATCCGGCACTACGGGCATGCCGAAAGGCTGCGCTTTCACCATGTCCCGGCTATATACCACGGTTCTTCTTCGCTCTGGCGGCATGGTGGCAGACAAACCAGGCCCCGGCGGTGATCGTTGGTATAGCTGTATGCCCCTCTACCACGGTACCTCAGCCATTGCCATGATCAACTGTGTGGTAAGCGGAAGGGGCATTGGCCTGGGCAAGAAGTTCAGTGTGCGGCAGTTCTGGAGTGACATTCGGGATTCCGAATCGACGTTTTTCGTTTACGTCGGCGAGGCAGCACGTTATCTACTCGCTGCACCGCCATCCCCTGACGATCGAAACCATCGGGTGCGTTGTATGTACGGCAACGGCCTACGTCCTGATGTTTGGGACAAGTTCCGGGAACGCTTTGGCGTGCCAGAAGTGGGAGAGTTTTTCAACAGCACAGAAGGCATCTTCGCCTTGTTCAACTACAACACGGGCCCGTTTACGACCGGCTGTGTTGGCCACCACGGACTGCTCATGCGTTTGCTACTGCACAACGTATTCATTCCCGTGGCCATTGACCCAAACACAGGCGATGTTCTCCGGGATCCTAAAACTGGTTTCGCCGTGCGGGCCTCTTACGAGACGGGCGGGGAAATCATCGTGAACGTTCCAAACAAAGAGGCTTTCCAGGGCTACTGGAAGAATGAAGATGCGACTTCAAAGAAGTTTCTGCGCGACGCGTTCCGCAAGGGCGATATCTACTATCGATCCGGTGATGCTTTGCGCCGTCAATCTGATGGAAGGTGGTATTTCTTGGACCGCTTGGGAGATACGTTCCGGTGGAAGAGTGAGAATGTGTAAGTGGTATTAGCACTGATGTGACTGAGTAAATTGGGCTGACTTGTCAAAGTGCTACCGCTGAAGTTGCAGAAGTTCTCGGTCAATATCCCGGAATTCTCGAGGCCAATGTCTACGGCGTCACTGTCCCACACCATGAAGGCCGAGCGGGCTGCGCCGCCCTTCAAATCAGCCCAGAGGCGAAGGCGAACTTCAACTTTCAAGAGCTCACCAGATTCGCTCGTTCCCGGCTCCCCAAATACGCTGTCCCAGTGTTCCTGCGCATAGTGGAGAGCTCGACCCATATCCATAATCATAAACAGAACAAAGTGCCGCTACGAGATGAAGGTGTCGATCCAGATAAGACTGGGACTAAGGTCACGGAGGGCAAGGCAGATCAATTTTACTGGCTAGCCCCAGAGGATGTGTCATATAAACCGTTTGGACGGGTCGATTGGGACCTCTTACAGAGTGGCAAGGCTCGGCTATAGAAGACTTGAGTATAGAGGCGATATATTCGTCAATGATTCCATGAATATCAATCTTCCTATATAATCTACAGAAACCTAGGTGTATGTTGTCATCCCAGAAGTGAGCCTATACAGTTAGAAATCCCTCCCATTCTTCCAAGGCCTGTCGACACTGCTGCTCATACAACGCCAGGCCACCCGGAAAATTCAAATGCTCTCGCTTCTTGCCAGGTATATTGGCTCCCATGTACCAAGAGTCCGCCTTTGGCAACAAGGTCATATCCGTCATCTGATTCACCAACGCTTTCCACTGCTGCTCTGCTTCAGGGGTGGGCTCCACGTATGATAATCCGCTCTGGTCGATCTTCTGGATTGCATCAATAACCCACTGGCCTTGGAGCTCAATGGACACCGGGCCATTACTGAGAGCCGTAGGTCCATGTACCCCGTAAATCCAAAACATATTCGGATAACCATGGCTCGCCATGCCTAAGTACGTGTGGACGCCGTCCTTCCACTCCTCAGCCAGTGGCGTACCGTCCGTGCTCTTCAGACCCATATTCGTGATGGGACCAGTGACTGCGTCAAAACCAGTAGCGATGACAATCGCATCGACAGGATAAAGGTTTCCATCGCTGGTAGCGATACCGGTGGGTTTAACCTCGGCGATCTCAACTTCACGGAGGTTGACAATATCCACGTTCGAACGATTGAACTGCTCAAAATAATCCTGCTCCAGCGATGAACGCTTTGTCGCAAACGGATGAATCGGCTCCAGCGGAGCCAGAAGGTCCATTTTCCTGGGATCAACAATCCTCTCGCGGGTCTTCTTCGCCCAGAAATTATACAATTCACGGTTCGCCTTCTCGTCAAGCAAGATATCCGAGTAGTTGTCTAGAATAAAGGAAAAGCCGCCCTTCTTCCAGTTTGCCTCAAACAACGCCTCCCGCTCCGCAGCTGGAGCATCGAATAATTTCGTCGGTTGGAAATCCTCCAAATTTCCACTAAATGTCTTCGTTCTGTCTTCGAAGACCTGCGGGTAGCGGGAACGGATCCGTGTCTGCTCCTCTGCCGTATAAGTTTCCTGGCCCATGGGAAGAGCCAAATTGGGCGTTCGTTGGAAAACAGTAAGGGTTTCTGCTTCCTTGGCCAATTCCTGGATGATCTGAACGCCGCTGGAGCCGGTTCCAATAACAGCGACCTTCTTCCCTTTAGCATGCATGCCCTCCCGCGGCCAGGCTGAGGAATGATAAACATCCCCCTGGAAAGTCTCCAGACCAGGGAAATTAGGTACATAGGGCTTCGTCGACGTCCCGACACAGGGTAAAAAGAACCGCGCAGTGACGGTCTTCATATCCTCGGTCTGCACCTTCCACAGGGCGCTGTCCCGATCGAACTGCGCACCAACCACCCTTGTTCCGAACTCGACATCTTTCTTGATATCGAGAACTTTATCAAGATGTTGGAAATATGCCTGCAGTTCTTCACGGCCGGGAAACCTCTCCTTCCAGTCCCAGTCCTGCCATGCTTCCGGGGCAGACAGCTGGTAGACAAAGCTCTCTGTGTCGACGCGAGCACCGGGGTAGGTGTTCCAGTACCATACTCCGCCAAGGTCTGGCGCGGTCTCATAGATCTTACATTTATAGCCCAGCTTGCGAAGCTGATATAATAGGAAGATGCCGGAGAAGCCGGCGCCGACGATGAGGATGTCGTAATCGGGTTTGGGATGGGATGGTGTCATTTCGCTTCTAAGATATGTGCGCACAGGTAAACGGGAAAAGAGGATGATTGGGAAAGAGAAATAAGTCGTAGCAAGTACTTGCGTCTCTATGCTCTCTTATACCTTGACTTTCTTATCGACGGTGTTAGGCCCCCAATATATCCCCCCCATGATCTGTATCGTTGTTGGATGTGTATAGTGCAATGACAAATCAAACTGGGCAATCATTACTCTGGAGAGAGAGAAGAGACGCCCCCGTTCTGGGGCTTAGAGTTCAGTTATTGGTTGGCATCCTGTAGAGTAGGCTTGAGCGCAGTGTAGATCCTTCTCTGCATGGCTTAGCCAGAGAAGAATAAGCACTAGTCATGTATCTCCACAAAAGACACGAGGTGGCCAATGAAATCATATATCTGGCGGGTATCCAAATCTAACTAGGATAGTCGAGGCGTCTATACTTATCTTTTACGAGGCTTTGTTATGTATGGAAGCTTAGGGTTGTTCATGATCAGGTGTGATGAGACATCTTTAAGATGACCAATTCCGTTTGCAGTAAGTTCACCTTTGTGCTTTATAGTACTCACTGTAGACGCTTCAAAGAAGTACTAGTAGTATATACCATTCAGGTTCGATTTTGACACCTACTGAGCTCTATTGAACTCATCAATCACACTCCTCGGCTCCCAGTACTCCCCCAACTTCGTCCATTCCATATCCAATCCAAATCCCTGCGGACCACCAATACCCAGTCCCTCTTTTGTCGTCCACAGCGGATGCGCTGCCATAGCAATTACATTAACCTTGAGACCATATCGGAGTTCCTGCGATCCAATCGCCCCGCCATCATGTCCCAGTATCGAAATCAGATCAGGGACAGTACAGATGACTTCTTGCTTGGGTAGGTCCTCTGGAGCATCAGGGTCCGTATAAGCGGCATAGAGAAACTCATTCTGGAAGGGAATAAACAAGCAGCGACTCTCCTCTAGCATACCATCACGACAGCTAGAAGAAATAGCAATCTCCCGTTCGTCACTACTAAGAGGCGCAAGCAGACAATACCCCATTGTGTAGCCGCAGCTAACATCTCGTTTGACATCGATGACCTTGCCAGTGTATAGGAGTTTTCCGGGCGAGGTGTCGAACTGTTCAGGTTAGCGTTAATCCCGTACCCAAGTAGAGAAACGAGGAGTGGGGTGTACAATAGCTTCAATCATGTCTGCCTTTGATTGCCGAGCACGATACACGGCTCTCCCAATGTACCACGCCTGGGAGATGGTGTTCGGTATGATGTATTTCTTGGTCTCCGCGCCGGTAAGCGGTGCAGTCGACAGGGCGACCTTGTTTCCTAGATCAACGCATTGACTTCGTGCCATTGTCTCGGCGCGACGGCTGCTTTCAGCGTGCTGTTGGGATTAGAATACAGTTGTATGTGTGGAGGTGTATAGGGCCCATCATACTAAAATGATTGATACATTCCCTCTGCCATCTGCGACAGCGCATGGAGTGGCGGAGAGCCCATAGACGTATGGCGTACCTAGAATGTTAGTACACATGGTGTCAATGTGGCGTTGTTGAGTCAGGCAACTCACAGTGCTCAAGTGTTGGATATGCCCTCCCCATCAAGTCCCCATCGACCACCGGAATATCGTACATCACGCCGGAGGGGAATGCCGATAAACCATTCCCGCCTCCAATCTCGTCTGTGACGATGGCGTGGAAATCCTTCTTGCCGGTGATGCGCGCGCAGCTTTCAATCGCGAGGGCCAGTTCTGTCCCTGCTGAGAGACGCTCGCTGGATACACTAGGGGCACCGAACCACGAGCCCATGACACATATATCTGAGTCTCTTAAGCTTGCAGGCTTGACGACCCGCATGTTTCCCGCATATCCCGGAGATTGAAGGAACTGGAGGCAATGGAGATATTGTATCCGGGAGGGACCACCACCGCCTGTTCCTAGGACTCCTGTGCCGGCGGCCATAAGCTCTAGATCGACGGGGGATATGTACCATGTGTTGTTGCGGACGTCGGGTTTATATGTATCTAAATCGATCTGGAGCGATGGCTTCGCCGCGAAATGAGCTGTCTCACGCGGTTTGTCCGTCTGTATGGGCTCTTCCTCGTTTGCTTCTAGTTCGTCATATACATTCCCCTCTAGAGCCTTGGGCTGTGGTGCATGGTCAAAATCCACGGGGGCAAGGTTCCCAATAGCCTTGATAACAATCCGTGTCGCCTTGTTCGTAGCATATGCAAGAGGGATCTTCTCGATTGTAGCAATGCTAACCGCTTCCTTTTCTGCTCTACGAGCAACAGCTGCATCAATAGCTCGTTGTTTCGCTGCCTCGAGCACCTGCTTCTCATCACGGCCCTCTAGTAACTCAATCACATCTATCTCCCCAGCTACTTTCGCAATGGCTGCACCAACAGCATTCGCAGAGTCATGATGTGGCGGCATGATGCACTCCGCGACACCATTCAAAGCGTCCATATGAACGATTGAGCCACCACCCACAAGCAGCAGCACAACCGGCTGGTTGGAGATCTTCATACCGTCGATAGCACGTTCGAGGATCTTCCGAATCTGTTGGCGCGCTTTGGTGACAACCTGCGCAGGAATGTCTTCTACCTTCCTGCGGTCTCCAATCTCGGCCTTTCCAGATGCTGTCACGATATCCGTTGCAGTCAGCACATCACCACCAAATACTCTGGCACGAGTAGTGAGATAATGGCCGACAGACTCGGGCCCAACACTGACAACCCCCGTCTGTTCATCCACACCCACACGACTGCCACCACCGAGCCCAACCGACAGAACCTCTGGCATTGAGAACGCAGTCCGCACGCCTCCAACCTCCACGAAGTTCGGTGCCTGACGAGGCAAGCCCGATGGAAGCAGTGCGCAGACGTCCGTAGTCGTTCCACCGACGTCAACGACTAACACCTGCTGATCCGCTTGTTTCGCAGAACCACCCCGATCCAGGGAGGCAAGGAAGGCCGCGCCGGTCATGCTGTTCGTCGGCCCACTGGCAAAGGTCTTTATGGGCAATTCAGCCGCTGTGGCCGCATCAGTCAAGGTGCCATCATTCTGGGTCAGATACAACGGGCAACAGAGTTGCAGTTTGGCCATTGCGTTGCAAAACGCTCGCACCGTTTTACGGGCGAAGGCAAGAATGGAGGCATTGAGGATCGTCGCGTTTTCTCTCTCCAGGAAGCCGATGCGACCGATCGAATGCGAGCAGACGACGGATAGCGAGGGGTCGAAGCCGAGCATGAGCTGTTTACAGGTCTCTTCGTGGATCCCATTGTGATCCAATGGTGAAAACACGCCGAGAAGAGCGACCATCTTGATGCCTGCATCTTGAATGCTCTGCACGGTAGCTTTAATCTGCTCTACATTCAATGGTGCGATTTCGCGCCCGTCGATTTCAAGGCCTGGTACTATCACTCAGTACCCGCCCCGATATAAGACTCAGATGGAATACGCACCACCATCCAAGTAAAACACCGGACCGCCCATGATCCCCTTCAAATCGGATGGAAACTCCACGAAAGGCGGCACCTGTTTCGTGAAGGGACCACAAAGCCGCACGACAGCGACTTTACTCAGACGACTCGAGTCAGCCTGGACGACCGCATTGACAAAATGCGTCGTGCCGATCGCGACACTAACAACATCCTGTATATCGACATGGGACTGCTCCAATACATCCTGAATGGCAGTATATATCCCAGATGTCACGTCCGGGGTCGTCAGGGTTTTGGTGGACGCGCACACACCGCGCGAGGGAGAGCCAGTAGCGAGGATATCGATGATGGCAGCGTCGGTATTGGTGCCGCCGACATCGACGCCGATGCGATACTTGGCCATTTTGATCTGGGGTGAACCTTGCAGACAGTGTTGATTAATTGGTTATTGGTATGGCGTGCTTATGAGTTCTTTTGGAATGTTCCGCTTGAGGGTGTTGCCATTCGCTGTTCCAGTCGGAGGGTATTCTTCCTGTCGAGCAATCGGCACATACACTTCTATTCAGAATAAGCAGGCTGTCATGTAGTTAATGGCTGGAGGGAGAGAGATTAAGTTGGCTGGTGGTCGAGTGGCGCTTGGATTAGGGCGCGGGGAATCGGCTGACCCCTCACGGGAGACGAAGATAAGATGGATGTACTAATAGTCTATATATTATTAGATAGGGTATATTTGAAAGATATCTAGACGGCTTTTATTTAGAGGCTTCTTGGAAATATCACGGCACCTATGATCTAGCTCTATTATATATACATCCAAGAAATCTAGTGAGAAGCACTTTTGTATCTTAACCGCTCCTTGTTACTATGTCCTCGCGATGGTTAGGGGTTATAAAGGGCAAAGAAAAGAAAGAGAAATAAAATGAGGGAAGAAGAATAAATGAGGTAGAGGACAAAGAGGCAATATTTTTTATATTGGCCGATTGCTGAGTTCTTCGGCCATAATATGGCTGTTCTCAACACCACTCGGACGTCCTCAGTATCCAGAAGGTTTCACTTGGACCGACCAGTCCTCTAAGCATTTGCCTTTGCTATGTAATTCCTTTTGTTGGTGTCTTGATCTGGCTGCAGCCCTGATACTGGTGCCTCATGCAAAAGGTTATGCCGGATGCAACGCATGAAATATAGCGAATCACAACTGCATAGACAAGGACCTCACCCCTGTTTGCTTCCTGCAAGTGGACACCGAGATTCTGTCCTTATTTCGCTGTGTAACAGATGCGCGTCTCCATCACGAGAAGACCCCAATCAAGCATCTTTCCCACATTGACAACCTCTGGTCTCTCGTCCGGGTTTATCTACATCTAGCTACACTGTCACCTTACTGATACCAGGCATTCATTCATATGCTTTGATCAATATGGGGAATACTATTCTCAGATACCTCGAAGTCCCAGATGAAGGAGCAAACATCCCCAACCGTTGGGTCAACGACGACATTAAGCCTGTCGAAGCAGGTCGGAGAACCTGGAATTTCTGGACGTTCCATAACTTTTGTATGCTCATCTGGCATTGCAGAGAGGGAACACTCTGACAAAGCAGGCGTTCTGGCCAGCTCAAATATCTCGGTCTACATGATAGGAAGTTCGTTGATTGCCATGGGATTAACCTGGCGTCAGTCGCTGGCTGCGATCGTCGCTGGCAATATAATTGCCGTCGCGCTACTTGTGATTAACTCATTACCAGGAATGTTCTACCATAGTAAGTCCACAGCCCTTGTAGCAAGAAGGACTGACATCCGTAGTCGGGTTCCCTTTGTTAATAGGTATGTCTGGGGCCTTTACGGCAGTCTATTTGTTCTATGGAACCGGATTTTACTCTCCATCGGTGAGTTGCTCATCCCAACTGGCGTCGCTAGAGCTCGGCTAACATTTATCCCTCAGTCTGGTGTAGGTCTCTCATTGCCGACACCGACCGCAGGTAACTCATCATGCATGATAGATGCGGTTCAAGCATGGATTGGCGGGGAATGCATCTACATCTGTCTGCGTGCAATCTGGCCATCTCTCGAAAATCGAATTCCGAGTCAGATGCCTCAGTCGACAGGAATGACGACGGCACAGTTTGTGGCGTACATGATCTTCATGGTACTCTCCTTGCCGGTGCTCCATATCCGTCCCCACAAACTGCAGATATTCTTCTATATCTCGTCGGCCACGATCTCAGAGCCCAGAGCTGGCGGTTCTGGATGGAAGATTGCCTTTGGTATCGTGAGTACTATTGGCGGCGCTGCTGCTGGAATCCTGAATGAGAATGATTATACAAGGTTTGCACGAACACCTCGTGAGGCAATTCTCGGACAACTAGTCAGCTTTCCCTTTTATAGCATCCTATGTGCGACCGTCGGCATTCTGGTCACGGCAGCCACGCAGAATCGCTATGGTAAGCCGCTGTGGAATTTGCCCACCCTGCTCAGCGCCATCATGGAGAATGGGGGTTCGCGCTCAAGAGTAGCTGTGTTCTTTGGGGGGGCTGCACTGAGTGTGTCGCAGATGGGATTGAATGTGCCAGCGAATGCACTATCAGGAGGTTAGAATTCCTCCTTATTGCTAACATTTTCTTCGTCTATTAACTCTGCGCAATGATAGGGTTTGACATGGCGGCTACGTTTCCGAGATACATAAACCTGCGTCGCGGCGCCTATATCACAGTCCTAGCATCGATCGCATGCAATCCGTGGAAGCTGGTCAATACGGCTACCACATTCTTAGCAGTTCTCAGTAGTTACTCAATCTTTCTGGGACCTATGGTCGGGTCAATGATAGCGTCTTATTTCGCTGTGATACGGCGCAAGATCAAGGTGGAGGACTTGTTTCCATGCCACGAGGACAATCGAGGTATCTACTGGTACACCAACGGGGTGAATTGGCGCGCCCCAGTGGCGGTTAGCCATTTCCAATACGTGAGCTTTGTACAATTACGCTGACGACAGCAGTGGCTTTGTGGCATGGTTCCTTCACTCCCTGGTTTCGTAGCCCATGTCGATCCTACCGTCGCCATTCCCATGGGGTTAACCCGGATTTACTACCTTTGCTTCCTCACCGGCACGGCAATTAGTGCCGCGGTCTTCACGGCATTGCATTATATCTTTCCGACCCCTGAAGTGAGGCGTTTCGTCGAGAAAGCGCCGTCGCCGGGACTGTTGATGCCGGAATACCGATTGCGATGGGACCGAGAGGATTCGGTGCATGAGCCGGTGGACTAAAGTCTAAGCGAACCGGTGAGCAGCACGAGGTATTTTCCATTTGGCTGGACTCAATTTTTGTTCAACTGATAATTAACTTATATTGCACTATAAAATGAATTACTCCGGCGTACACCATTGGGTGTGATAGGCTCGAGCACGGCGGGTTTTCTCGCACGTTTAGCCGGCCAATTTATTAGCTCCACCGCGTCCTTTAGGTTACAGTAGTTCGTCTCCGGTGGATATTGGAGACCCAATGGCATGAGCGCGACCCATCAGAAGGTTTTACCTGAATCAGGACCTAGATTTAGGAGTAGCGTTGCCTTAGACCAGTCAGTCATAGCGTTCCACTTTACGTGTGAGGGATCATAAAGGTACAGCGCGCCCCGGCTTGCCTTGCATTCCATCCCTTCGCCCCTCGACACAACCAAAATGTTCGGTCAAGCTACAGGGTTGTCGCTTTTGACGGGCCTCCTGGCCGCGGCTTCTGCCAATGCTGCCTCCAACTGTCGCTGCTTCCCTGGTGATTCTTGCTGGCCGACCCAGGATGTCTGGGCCAAATTCAACGAGTCGGTTGACGGCCGCCTGGTAGCCACGGTGCCTTTGGGTACACCATGCCATGACCCCAGTTATAACGCTGCTGAATGCAAGACGCTCAGCGAGCAGTGGACAAACCCGGAGCTTCAGTAAGTCTGCGCTGTATCAATTGCTGAAGCGCTTCTGCTAATTCCGTAGCTATGAAACCTCGTCGTCGATTATGGCTCCTTGGTACACTAATGGAACCTGCGATCCCTTCCACCCTCAATCGAAGCCCTGCACCCTCGGTAACTACGTGGTTTACGCTGTCGATGTGGCTAAGCCCGAGCATGTCTCTTCGGCTCTGAAGTTCGCGAAGGAGCATAACATCCGTGTGGTTCCCCGTAATACCGGCCACGATTACAACGGCAAGTCGACCGGAGCCGGCGCGCTGGCCATCTGGATGCACCATCTCAAGGACATCGAGATCAAGGACTACAAGGACAAGCACTACCAAGGCAAGGCCATCAAGATGGGCGCCGGTGTGCAAGGCGGAGAGGCGTACGCAGCCGGTGACAAGGCGGGTCTTCAGGTGGTGGGCGGCGAATGTCCCACCGTGGGAATTGCTGGAGGTTACTCCCAGGGTGGAGGCCATTCGGCTCTGTCCTCGCGGTATGGACTTGGCGCCGACCAGGCGCTCGAGTGGGAGGTGATCGATGGCGAGGGTAACTTCATTACCGCCACTCGCGACAACGAATACTCCGACCTCTTCTGGGCGCTCAGCGGTGGTGGCGGCGGTACCTATGGTATCACTTGGTCGCTGACCTCCAAGGCGCACACTGCCACGCCTGTGTCGGGCTACAACTTGAGCTTCACCAATGATGGCATCTCCCAGGATACCTTCTACGAGGCTGTCTCGCTCTGGCAGACCGTCCTGCCCTCTGTCGTGGACGCCGGTGCTATGTCCGTCTGGATGTTCACCAACACCAGCTTCCTCATCACGCCGTTGACCGGTCCCAACATCCCGGTTGCTGACCTGGTGGCACTCGTGAAACCGTTCACCGATGGACTGACAAAGCTGGGAATCAAATACACGACCTACTCCGAGCAGTTCGACACCTATCTGGAGGAATTCACCGCCATGCAGGGCGCGATCGCGGTGGGCACCGCGCAGTATGGTGGATGGCTGATCCCCCGGTCGGTGGTGGAAAACAACAACGACGGACTTACGGCCGCATACAGACACATCACCGAGGATGGCGCCACGTTTATCGGCGTGGGCCTGAATGTTTCCAAGGCGTTAGTGGGGGATGTGGACAACGCGGTGCTGCCCGCCTGGCGCGAGACCCTGATCCACACCACCCTCACCACCCCCTGGAAGTGGGATGCGCGAGCTGAGATGCTGGCCGAGCAGGACAAGATGACCAATGATTATATCCCGGCCTTGACCAAGGTCGCGCCGAACTCTGGGGCGTACCTGAATGAGGCCGACTTCCGTCAGCCCAACTGGCAGAAGTATTTCTACGGCGACAACTACGCTACCCTGCGCAAGATCAAGGCTAAATACGACCCGGACAATCTCTTCTACGCCACTACCGCTGTCGGGGCGGACGAGTGGACCGTTCGTGAAGATGGCCGCTTGTGCAGTGTTTAAGTCGGGGGGGGGAAACAGGAGTGGTGGAATTTTTTACGGAACTGTAAATAGACTAGACCAGGCTATAAAGTTATTTAGATTGACAATCATCCACAGTCTCTCTTCGCCCATTCTTGGGAAAACCAATCCGTGGAGTCCAATGGCGGCGTTTCACCGGACTTTCTCCGCTAGTGGATACGGTGGAGCTCGATGCTTAGGGTCAATTGCAACGTCAATCACAATTCTTTCCCTGAAGGTTCCTGCGGAATGTCCGGCAGGTTTTATCGATTGCATAACCGAAAAGCAATGCTGTAATTTGTCTCCGACCAATGGTTTCCAGCCCCCAAAACTGGTCAATGCTATGTGGAGATCCGATGGAGGCAGCATTGGTTCCCAGTATCAGGCCAGATTCCAGAAGGCAGAAGGATTGATTGAACAGAAGAAGCTGGACCTCGGCTACGGCATTGCTCGGAGGACGGAGCCTGCAGTAGTTCCGTTAATATATGCATTTTGTAATCCACGGGACCATTTTCCAGAGCAAACGCATTTGGCAGGTCAACCGTGGCCACACTGCGCTCGTGGCGCCTGTCGTGGGTATTTTTAAAGCTTATCCAGGGCAAGGGTTGACCTTTTTCCATGGGCGATGTGCTTATCCTGCCCTTGCATACGTAGCCCAGTAAATAGATGCCCATCGAAACCATGGTTGCAGTCCATCTTAGATCCCCATCTCGATGAGCCACTGTGCAGATCAGCGCACTGCCATCATCCATCCATGGGTTTGATCTTGGGTTCAGGCCCTTCCCCTTGGTGATTGGCGTCTTGTTCAAGGGTACAAGCAATGATCGGATTTCTCTACTTGGTGCATCACGTCAGAATCCACTTTTTCTCTCCACATCCACTGATGCCTGTTGCCCGATTGGGAGCATCTCATCACGTGAGAATCGGGATATCGTCGGTTAGTGTCTTCGCAGCTGCAAATTCAATTCCTATTTAGCCAAGGCCTTCCAGGTCTGAGTCCTTATTAAGCAAGGCCTTTGGTCCGTATTGTGGGATCCTTGCAGTTCCGCGCACAGTACACAGACTGGTGTGGGCGGCCGGCTTGAGATTCCCTATATGTGATGCATAGTAGACTGGTAGCTTCATATCCCTTTGCCTATTGCATTCAATTCCTATACTCCGTAGTCAGATCGCATATCATCCACGTGGGTGTCGAACCATAACACGCCGAGAAATAGGGTCAACGGCGTCACGAGAAGCAATTTATTCGTAACGAATTTCCGAAGTCGTCCGAGTCTGCAATGCCAGGCCACACTACTCGGCACCATTAATCAATATGCAGTGGACCAGATTATTATCCGACCCATAGCCCCATACACCGGTCAAACTTAGAATACGGGGCCCATCAAGCAGCATCCCAACCTTCAGGGCGTTCACACGGGCCCCTCGTCTTTCCAGAAGACTGGCTCAGCTGGGCAGCTGCAGGGGGGCACAATTAGTAGGCCTCGTGGTGGAGAGGGCAATTCCTGGTGGCGTTCTTCTGCAACTAGTTACTGCAGAGTGAGATTGTTATTGATCCTTGGTAGGAAATGAGAAGGAAAAATTGAATTTACTCCGTAGAACAGTCGCTTCGTTCTTAGAATGTGCCAGGTTGATGTGTCTTTATCCCCCGGCCTAGCCCCCAGTCTGCGATTGACATGCGTTGCTGAGCTGTGATACTGCTCCAACACTATGGGCTGGGTGTATAACCTCGACAAGCCCGATCCACAAAGCGAAATCTCCCAGGTCATTGCCGTATTGCTGGTGTTCACGATCGCGGCCCTCCTAGCGGTTGCCCTGCGGTTCTACATCCGAATCCATACAAAGAGAGCATTATGGCTGGATGACTATGCCGCGCTGTACAGTGCGATCATGACCGCTGGATACTGTGCATCTAGCATACTTCGTGAGTGGCCTTTCATGGCGGTTGGAGGAGGATGGATCCCTAACTGCTACAGAAACGCGATGGGGTCTAGGTCTCCATGCCGAGTATTTTCCTACGGCCAATGTGAAGCAATTCAGTAAGGTACGTCGTGGTTTTCTGACTGCGCTTCCGCACCATGTATAGATACTCTAACGTTGGCTCACCAGATACAATATGCTGGCGGCCCGCTATACTCGATGTCCCTGCTGGGGTTCAAGGTCTCGCTACTGGCGTCGTACCTCCGCATCGGCGGATTTGTGAAGATGTATCGAACGATCATTATCGTTGCGATTGCCGCCGTAGTGGTCAATCAAATCATCTTCACATTCCTCTTTATCTTCCCCTGCAAACCTGTATGGCATCGAGTCCACTATACCAGTAAGCGATGATGCTGACGGCCCACAGATCGCAATGCAATGGGATTCTGAGCTTACCGGGACTTGCATCAACACCCTCAAGTCATACTATGGTGCGTATACACACCACTCACCTGGCTGATGGTTAACTAACACCCTCCAGCTCTTGCAGGAACCAGTCTAGGGTTTGACCTCGTCATCATCGCCCTCCCTCTGCCAGTCCTCTGGAACCTACAGCTCGGAAAACGCCAAAAGGTACTCACTACGCCCACCTACCACACAAAAGACAACAGTTGACTGACCTAACCTCCAATTACTCTAGGTCGCCCTCTGCTGCGTCTTCGCCATCGGCTTCTTCGTCACAATCATCCAGATAATCCGCATCTTCACCATCGCGCGACTAAAGACCTACACGGACAGCAAACCGGTGATTCTCTGGTCCATCGTCGAGATCAGCCTAGCAGTCCGTCCACCCTCCACCCCTCCCACTCCATAACTCCCCAAAACTAACATCCCATAACCCAACTAAAAGGTAATAATCGCCTGCGTCCCAACCTACGGCCCCTACTTCCGCGTCTTCGTCTCAACCATCAGCTCCTACCGCCGCCGCCCCACAGGACAAGACTACCCCCTCACGTCTGGGAATCGGCAAACGACCCGGAAAAACGGCCTCAGCAGTCTGGGGCGAGATGACGTCCCCGAGGGCTTGCGGCCGTACGATAACAGCACGCCGCATACGACGACGATCTCGTCGTCGAAAGTGAGCCCGGATAATGACTCCGAGGAACATATCCTGGGAAACCCTCAGGGCATGTTTGCCACCGTGGACGACCAGGAGAGGGGCATTCATAAGGTTATGGAGGTTACGGTTGAGAGGAATTAATGGGATTTAATCTTGGGTCTGTGTTGTGTTAGTAGGCATTGCTGGAGTAATTGGGGTTTCTTTTTGTGGTATGGGTTTTATGATGGTATATTATTTCTTAATGGGCTGTATTGTGGAATAGACTTTCTTGTGTATTATACAAGCTATTAAGCTGTGAGGTGGTAGGAATTGACTTTGGTATCTTCAATCGGATGTCTGATAAACACTCTGACCCATGGCCAGTCTGGATTTGGTCGCATGGTATCGAGGACGAACGATCAAGCGAACTCGCCCGGCGCTGGCCCATTTTATAGCTCCCCACAGCAGAGCTTACAGTAAGGCGAGACCACATCCCAGCTGCCAATAGCAATCATGGAACCAGATCTAATACCATTATGTCATATCAGCCAGACAACCAAAGTCTAAGCAGTGGTGTTGTCATCCTCCTACCAAGACAGGCATAATGCAGATCAGGTACCCACCGTCCAGGGCATTTCTGGACAGTGTCTCGTAAAAGTAAAGCCCATTTATCCAAAAGGCTTAATTAAACCCCTGTCAATTAGCCGAGGCCATACTAGTTCTGGGTCTGGGCGCAGCACATCCCTGCTCCATCGCACGGATTCTGCATCGAGTAGGTGGTGACATTGTCTAAGTTGCAACCATGTAGGTGAATGGGCCAATCTGCATAGAGGAGTATGCGCATTACCTGGTTTTTGTTAAGTCTGGCTGCAGCTGCTTAGCTTCATGCAGATGCTGTGCCACACGATGTTGAGATATGGCTGTAACCTCATGTTATAGCATGCGTTCACGTTAGCAATGGCTACCCCGCTATATCAGGCATTATATACATGGTCGCAAGCATGCTATAACATGTTGTCTTATCTCCGTGTTTCTCTTAGATTCGAAGCCGTTGTACTCTGGTTAATATGGATATCATGGCCTCACTACCCAGCGTTGCGGCAATAGTCAACGGGGCCGACCTGGATCCAAGCAACATACCCCAGGTCAAGAGCCTCTTCGCTCGGTTCGCCCGTTTGTCTCCTGCCGAAAAGGATGACCAGCGCGGATCCTTCGTGGACAGAGTGTTCCCGCTCTTCTTCGGCGACAATGCCGTGACAGACGGATCCAGTGCATACGAAGCCCAGCGGCCAAGTCCCATGGTACGATACACGCTACAGAAACTGCAGCTATACTATCTAGCCTAATTCTACTTCCCAGGTCAAGCAATTGCTGGCTCCGACCGCGGGTAGTGGTGCTCCCCACGTCTGCCCAGCAGGTCGGAACGACATTATCTCTTTGTCGGTTTTTCGGGGTCAAGTTTTCCATCCGTGGGGGTGGGCATTCGCCTAACATAGGATGGAATAGTAATGATGGGGGCGTGGTGATTTCCCTGGCTGCATTTTAACCACGTGAACCTTTCAGAAGACAAGTTGGCCGCAGAGATCGGAGCTGGTCTGAGATGGATGCACGTTTACAAAGCCCTTGATCCGTATGGCCTGGCTGTGGCTGGTGGGAGGTTCCCTACGGTAGGCGTATCGGGTCTGCTTCTGGGGGGTGGTCTTTTGTTTCGACATGGAGTGAACGGGATAGGTGCGATGGGGGTATCAAACTAAGAGGTACGCCTCCCTGAACCACACAGCGTTGGACATGAATTTCCCAAAGTCCTCTCTCTAAAGGTAATCACAATGAACAATGGGTCTACTTGATACAGCCATGATGAAGGAAAAGTACACCATCACATACTTTTTGACTATTAGAGTAAGCGAAATAGTCGACTTAGCACATAAACAACCAACACAACCGAGCCCATCCACGTTAATGCAGGTATTCTATTCTTTCACGTCCCTTCTCGAGACTTGTCAAGTCAAGGAGTTGCTGGCTACAGAATCCCAGAACACCAACACAGAGACAATACAGGATCTCCAACCCAGCGGAACTCACAATGTGATCAAGACAAGGCGAGAACCAATGACTAACAACAAAGTCAGCGGAAGAGCACCACAAGTTGTGATATCCAAACATATCATTATGTGTCCTGTTGCTCCTCCGCTTTTGCGCAGTAGAGGAGCTTTCCTTTCTGTTGCCCCTTCGCGTTATAGGGCCAACGGCATCCATGGCCGTACTCCTTCAGGCATTGATCGCTAACACCGTCAAGGGTGTCCTCTCCCTTTCCTACTGTGTGTGCTATCAGGTATGGTCTGGACGCGGGGCGGTCGCTTTCCAAGGTCCCATCACAGGCAGAGTGCGTTTCACCGTACCATCCGCAATCTGGGTACGTGTCGTTCTGCTTGCAGACGCGTACTTCGCCCTTCGCGAATACAGATGCAATGAACAGTGCTAAAGCCCATAGTGTGAGGTACATGATTGTTTGGCGATTGTATATCGGTCGGCTAGTTGATACAAGGATATAACATCAATATAAAATCAGATGATGAAATTAGCACAAGGACAGACTGGCTACATCGCCGTTTATATATCATAAAAGTATCTAGCACAGAAAGCCCATTAGCCACACTACAGAACAAAGGAGGAAGTGAAACACGAACCTGAAACACCGAAAGAGACGAGAAGGTTCAACACTTTGATTTACACCAGAGGGCTTTCTGGTAGAACCTGTGGCAAGACCAAAATTCTTCATACATGATTCACTTATTTCGACCGGTGGTCTCTCTTATGATAGAGTACCAATACTGAACTTCGTCCCTCATTTGGCAAAGACCTCACTACCGTCCTTTGTGCTCCTACAGAAAGGCGCGCTTCCGTTCTAATAGCATTCCGGATATTCGTCGCGTTGCCGGCATTTCGCCAATGCACCGGTGGCGAGGAGTAGAGCCTAGAGTTTGAGATTCATTGTTGTTCCAGGCAGAGGTTAGAGGGAAAACAAAGATCAAGGTGCTGTGCTAGGTAGATAGATGGGTATATTGCCAGAAGAATGGGCAGTTATCGTTATCTGCTTGAGATCGTTCCGTTAGATCAATGAAGTTAACTCAATGGTACCCCTTTCGCCACGTTTGATCTTCAAATAAAGGGAAAACAAGATGACACCGAGCTTTGTGTGGCGAGGTCGCCCCGTAAAAACTATATTCAAAGATAATGAGCCCTTTGTAAAGGCTCGGGTTTTGCTGCGAGCTGAATGATCATTGTTTAACAAGTGTAAGCGAGAGAACCACATCAAGTATTGGGATAAATATCTCTCACCTGACAAGTTGTTTCAAGGTGAAACATGGAAATGCCCATGTTTCTTTGCTGGAAGGGCATCAAAGATCTCATCGATTCTAACCTATTTAGGAACTTTCAACCATCTTTTCCTTCATATTATTGGTCATGTTACTTCCGGCTGGACTTAGGATGCTGTTGCATAGGTCAAACCTGGAAGATATCTAGTGAACAGATCCTTGGAGAGTACTATCAAGACTTTATATAGCTAAAGAATCTAAGAGTTTCTTCCCTCGTGCGCCATAGCCCCAGTAAAGAAGCCAATATCTAAAATATAAACTGGATCATGTTCAATCAGACCCCTAGTTACCTTGCAAGTGGCCTTCAGCTCAGTCTCTTACCTGTCATACGGCCAGCCATATTGCTCCTGAAGAGATTTCTCGGATTAGGGGTACTTCAGGGGTACTATCTATGGTATATAAGGTTCCTAGCAGTTGTGCAAAGGAGAATAGACCACCACATGATAGTGTTTGCATAATGTATGGTTATTTCTTGATCCATTAGGGCAATCAATGGCTGCGAGCCAGACCAAAAGCGCCGACCGCCTATGTAGAGACATCTGCAAAAGATGAAGGGGACCAAGACAGAGGGGACCTATTACGGTCACTGAGACCCCCTGACCATCTACATGGTCAGTGGGCTGCTGATGGACTTTGCCAACGTACAAGGCCATACGATTGAAGCTTGCCACCAGATGTACTCCGACGATGAACATCCAAGCTCAAATGGATCCACAGATCGCCGTCCACGATTGCCTCAATAGGCTTGGTCTCCGCAAATAAACAATTTGGCTCAGGAAAGAAAGTCCGAGCCTGTGTATTCCTTTTCGAAAGCCGATCTACGCAGTAATGCAGGTACGTACGTACGCCCTCCTCTTGTTCACGATGGACTGGGTCTGCAGAAACCCCACATCAAGTTGCTAAATCATCTATAATCTTGTGTATCATGGTTCCAACCTGAACGCGCGTTCAAAATGAAACTCAGGCACTATACAGTGAGCCACGACTGCAATCTCTTCAAATTCTAGACTGTCGGGTTAGAATGACAGGAGAAGAGAATTTCCGGCTCCTCAAACGGTTCTTTATAACCGGGGCACTTGCACTCCCAGACTCCTTCAGAAACCGTCAACTTGCTGCGTCCTTTTCACGGACCAATAGCCTCGGTGACATCAGATCATCAATCCAATATGCAGTGGTCCATCCTCCCTCTGGCAGGGCTGGTCGCCCGTGTGTACGCAGCAACGAACTGCACCGTGGCCCGCTTGACTGAGTTGCTTCCCGAAAACTCAACAGTCTTCTATGCCAACGACTACCCAGCTCACTACAATTTCACCCCACCAGTTAGCCTGAACTATGGATCAACTTCCAGCCCCAGGGGTATCAGCGCCTATGAGCTTCCCGTTGCTGCATGCATCGCCCAAGCGAACATCACCCTGCCAAACAACACCCAGCATAGTGTTGGCTTCGTTCTACCGGACGACTGGAACGGCCGCTTCCTCGCCAATGGCAACGGTGAATTCTCCGGCTCAATTGGCTGGGACGCTATCGTCTCTCTCTCCTGGTACGGCTTTGCTGTCGTTTCGTCTGATCTTGGCCACGAGGGGAACAACGGTAGCTTCGGCTATCACAATGAACAGGCTCTGCAGAACTGGGGCCACGTTGCCCTCCACAATGCCGTCGTGAATGGCAAGACGTTAACGGAGGGCTATTATGGGAAGGAAATTTCATACTCTTACTACCGTGGCTGCTCTGCCGGTGGTAAGCAGGGTCTGAAGGAAGTCGAAGAATATCCCGAGGACTTCGACGGTGTCATTGCTGGTGCTCCCGCATGGTGGACCTCCCATCAGCAGCTCTGGAACGTCCTAACAGCCATCTGGAACCTCCCCGAAACGGCAGACTACCATGTCACAAGTGATCAGATGTCTGCTGTTGCTGCCGAGATTGTCAAGCAGTGCGATCCCCAAGACGGCGTGAAGGACAATATCCTCCAGAATCCCTTTGGGTGTGTCTTCGACATTACCACCCTGGCTTGTAACTCGACGTCTAGCAACGATACTTGCCTTACATCCCCGCAAATAGGCACAGTCAACAAGCTCTTCAACCCCTGGGTGGACGCGAACGACACCTTCATTTTTCCCGGGTACACTCTTGGTACCGAAGTTGGCGCCCCATCCCTCGACGCCGACTTCGTCACGTACATCCAATATATGCTCCAGCTTGGCGGCGACTGGACCTGGGAGGACTGGAACAGCCAAGAGCTGATCGCACTCTCTGAGAAGCTCAACCCCGGGAATGCGACCGCCGACAACTTCGACATCTCTCCCTTCTACGAAAAGGACGGCAAACTGATCCATTATCACGGATACTCGGATCCAAGCATCGCAACGGGCTCCTCATTCTACTTCTTCAACCACGTTGTGGAGGCCCTCAAGCCGAAGGGGATCCCGATTGAGTCATTCTATCGTTTCTTTCCCGTCCCGGGTATGGAGCACTGCACGTTCTCGCCGGCGGATCAGAACGCCCCGTACTATTTCAACGGTGCGGACCAAAGCGGCTCGCTGAGTGGTACCTACTGGGGTGTGCCTGGCTTCAATGATTCGAAGCATGACATCGTTCTGGCGATCATGCACTGGGTGGAGAATGGCACCGCGCCGGATTATCTTGTCCCTACGAAGTGGTGGAATGATGATCCTGCTGATGGCGTGGAGATTCAAAGACCTATCTGTCCTTATCCCCAGCTCGCGCTGTACAATGGTACTGGCAACACTAGCCTTCCGGAGAACTGGCACTGTGGGACTTTGTACTAGCCTGCTGGTCTAAGAAATTGGGGATTGCTGACGGATTGCTCAAGAGATGGGATTGGGGGTATACAAGGTTGTGTGGATTTGATGTGGCCAAGGAACTACTGGTGAGCAAAGCGAGGAGCAATACCTTTGTCTCTGACTGCTATATACACCCAGTAAAAACAAATGCTTCTATAGGGCCAAATTGATTAGCTCGCATAATATGGATCAAGGATTGAGAATATCGAGCAAACAAGTGAAGTCATATTGTTATGATATAGTACCCTCTCGAAAAAAGAATGACTAGTTGCCTTCCTCACGTTTAGATAACTACTATGTGCTTGGCCGGTAGCTTCTTCGTCATTTGTAGGGAAGCTAGTCCATGATGTAGGCTGAATATTCTTCATATTCCTGCAAAATGCGTCTAGCACTTTACGGAATAGCTGGTACAAGGCTCCAGTCCTTGAATGCTGCCGTCATTTGCGATAAGTTCATAAGTATGTCCTCAATATATGAAGGAAGGCACTGTGAAATTAAGGATCGTTTGGAATACTATTTAGGAAGTAAAGAGGAATGGAGTCTCGCTATAGAATACAGCCTCGGTTAAGCCAGAGCCGGAGCATGCTGCAGGACAATCGCACAGAACACCAACAAAATAGACCCGATCACTCTGGTAGCTCTTCACCATCGTACCTGTTCATTCCTGGATGAGGATCCTGTACGAGCATGTTGAAAATCCTGTCTTGTAGTATGGGCACAGTCGCAATATCTCGTAGAGTGTGGAGTAGGGTAGCTATTAGCACCCCGCTTGTTAACCACTAAGTGCGGGGCAGACAATTCTAGACCATTACCATGAACTAGGGCCTGCAGTAAGTATTCGCCCTCAACAAGCTGTTCATTGTGGATAAACCTACTCAAAAGGCATTGCTATGATGCTCGGGAGAAGTCCGAAGTGGTAGAAATCAGCCAGGAACCGTATATTTCCTGCCCCTCGGAGATGGCCCCGACGTGGCTTTCGCAAGTGACTCCAGTCGCAGGCCCTGAGAATCATTACTCGGTTTGCAAGACAACGCATGATCTTCTGCAAGAGCATAGCATGAATATTGGCCAGCAACCCTCCAGTTCGGCGGTACGTCCGAAGAGCCAGTCCACCTGATGATGAAGAGTCTCCAATATGGCAGCTCGTCAAGTTCTCCAACTTCGGCCTCCGAGCTAGATATAAGTAGCTCTCCTATGACCATTCCAGAAATAATAAACCAGTTCAATCAATACCATACGTATATCCAAAATGGACATCCTCGACCGCAAACCCTACAACCATGCCATCCACACCAGCCCCGCGAACGACCTCCGCCTAGTGAAATCAGACATCCCCGAGATCCAACCCAACGAGTGTCTCGTCCACGTCCGCGCCACGGGCATCTGTGGCTCCGACGTCCACTTCTGGAAACATGGCCACATCGGCGACATGGTCGTAACAGGGGACAACGGCCTGGGCCATGAGAGTGCCGGAGTAGTTCTCAAAGTCGGCAAGGACGTGACTCGGTTCAAGCCGGGTAAGCCCATCTAACCACGTCCCCGTTTACCACCAGCCATTAGAAGCCTTAAATACTAACAAAGCAAAAGGCGACAAAGTGGCCATGGAATGCGGCATCCCCTGCTCCAAACCCACCTGCTACTTCTGCCGAACAGGCCAGTACAACGCCTGTCCGGACGTGGTCTTCTTCTCCACGCCCCCCCACCACGGCACTCTCCGACGATACCACGCCCACCCCGAGGCATGGCTGCACCATCTGCCCGACAACATCTCCTTCGAAGAAGGCGCCCTTCTGGAACCCCTAACCGTCGCCCTAGCAGGAATCGACCGCTCTGGCCTCCGCCTCGCCGACCCCCTGGTGATCTGCGGCGCAGGCCCCATCGGCCTAGTCACTCTCCTCGCCGCCAACGCAGCGGGCGCGGAACCGATCGTCATCACAGACCTGGACGAAGGCCGTCTAGCAAAAGCAAAGGAACTCGTTCCTCGCGTTCGACCAGTCACGGTCACACGAGACGACACTCCCAAGGCTGTCGCGAGCAGAATCATCGAGACGCTAGGCCAGGAGGCAAAGTTGGTGATAGAATGCACGGGTGTAGAGTCTAGCATCCATGCTGGAATATACGTAAGTGCCCCCCCCCCCCCCCCTTTTTCTCCCCTCCTTCATCCCCATTATCCAAAAGCAGGTAACTGATTGACCCGCCAACAGTCCACCCGTTTCGGCGGCTCCGTCTTCGTCATCGGCGTCGGCAAGGATTTCCAATCCATCCCTTTCATGCATCTCTCCGCCAAAGAAATCGACCTGCGCTGGCAGTATCGATATCACGATATCTATCCCAAGGCTATTAGCCTCGTTGCGGCTGGTATTATCGATCTGAAACCGTTGGTTTCGCATCGGTACGCGTTGGAGGATGGGATCAAGGCGTTTGAAACGGCCAGTAACCCTGCTTCGAAGGCTATTAAGGTGCAGATTTTGGATGATTAGATTTTTTTTATGGATGATGGCGTGTGTAATAGAGTGAGTGGAGTAGTTGGGGGTGTATAAAAATGGAGATGTGCTTGGTTCTTTTTTTTCTTTTTTGATTGGGGTTTCACTGCTGTAGATATTCTACTTGTGTCTGCGAATTTGGTAAATGCATGGCCTGGTAAATGGAATTTGTAGTTTGGGTGTTCAGTATAGCTGTAGGCGTATATTCTGTCTTCTAGGTCTTAAGGCTGGATGCATACACCGTGGGTAATATGTTCTGGACCAAGTCTTATTTGGCTATTAGGTACCCTGCTAGAGAGAAGTAGAGAGGTCAAACAGGATGCTGTAGCTCTCTGGCTGTTATAGAAATACAGAACGCCAGCATGCATGAATATTCACGCCGTAGGGCTGGAAATAAAGGCGACGAGAGTAACATTCGTCTTATATCAACGTCAAAATTGTACAAGTACTAGATGAACGAGAAAGCCACTGTTCTAATACTAGAGTCGCAAACATCAACATACTGAAAAACCTTCGGCCTAAAGCTGGGCTGAATTTTATGAGAGATATATTGTAGAAGCCATTGTAATATCGGACAACTTATTTTAACATCATGTATACAGCATCCCCCCATTCGCACAGATCACATCCCCAGTGACCCACCTAGATCTTTCCTCCGCCAGGAATGTAATAATATCCGCAATATCCTGAGTAGTGCCGCAGCGCTGGCCAGCAGGTACCTTCTTATTCTGCTCTTCCATCCTGGCGAGATGGACTGGTCCGGCAGCCTGGTACATGTCGGTATCGACAGGGCCCGGGTTCACGGCATTAACTGTGACACCATACTTGTGGCCCAACTCGGTAGCCCACACGCGAGTGAGACCCTCGACAGCAGCTTTAGTGGCAGCGTACACGGACTGTGTTGGGTAGCCGCCTCTCGCGGAGATAGAAGAGAGATTGATGATGCGGCCGCCGCGAGGGATGTAGGGCAGAACGGCCTGGGTCATGAAGACCACGGCGCGGACGTTGATATCCATCAGCTTGTTATAGCTGTCAAGAGTTACTTCTTCTAGGGGTCTGTTGTCGCCCGCTCCGGCGTTGTTGACGAGTATGTCGATCTGGGTGGTTTGGAAGGTAGACAAAACCGCGGACACAAGGGTCGCTGGGGCCTGGGTATCAGCCAGGTCTGCTTGTATACCGAATGCCTCATGGCCGTCATTCCGTAAAGACTCGACGAGAGAGTCCGCGGCTGTACGTGACGATGGGGAAACATAGTTAAACGCGACCTGTTCTTCGTAAGAACCCCGTTGATGAATAGAATAGGAAAATGACAGTTGACATACCTTTGCTCCTTGTTCACTTAAAGCACGAACTATTCCGGCGCCGATTCCTCTCGCCCCACCTGTAACTAGGGCAATCTTTCCTTTGAGAGACATGGTGTTTAGGGCTTATAGTGTTTGCTTGTTGAGCTTTGGGTAAGCCGTACTTGAGGTTCGAACAAGTAGAAAATTAAATACTTATATTCCTGTCCTTGCCCGATTATTCATGTGGGGTCCAGCGGTCCAAACCAGCAGGTCTTCCACCCACTCTATGCGACTTTCGGACGCAATGAAGCATGATAAAGATCCACAGAAAATAAGGTTTCTCGCGAATATCGCCGAGCAGCTGATGTACAATGGAGTGTCCCTCAGTGGGGACCGGGCTCGGAGATAGCGCCGAAACCGAACAACACACAACGTGGGGAAGTATATCACCTGAGAACTACTCCTTACCCCGGACGGCTTCAACCAGAATTCGTAGAATACTTCAAATTGCAGAGTTCATATACTGCACGAGAAAGTGACCAGGTCGGGGAAGATCGAAATGTGGTCACTCCGGCAACGAATCGATACACCCACCCGCGGGGAATGATCCCTCAGCGACTCGGAAAGGGATCCATGATATGTATACAAACTGGCTGCGCTGTTGTTTGGGTACGGCCAAGGAGTGCTGGGTGTCATCGTCACCGGCCATTTGCGCTATATGCATGTATTTTAGTTGGCCTGTCCGAGAAGTGCATGCTATAGTATCGACGTGCCCGCATCCACAAGTTGTTGGCTGAGCCTAGGGTATCTAGATAATTGGTGACTAGAAAGTAGAGACACAGATCGTGACCAGCTTAAGAGTTCGTGTGTCAAGCGGATGATGATCACATTGGCATCCATGGACTCGTTCCTGAATGTCCTTCTGAGCCCTCGAAGAAATTTTGAATCATGAAGCCTCCCGCCGCGTCAAGAAGCTCCGCATTAGACATGCCCTGCGGATACCACGTAAAGCTATCCTCTAGCCCCATCGATAACGGGTTGTATATGGCTTGGTTTTGAGCACCGGGTGGCGGGGCCCAGAGGGCACGAGAAGGGCGTGACAAGGCCGTTGTTGGATTCGGGCTAATATTTTGAGTCAAGTCACCACCATGCCCTTGTTCTACTTAGGTTAGTTATGAACCCTGTGGCAAAATAGATCGGGAAGACGGGGTAGGTATGCTCACCAAGGAGCTTCTGTAACACATTCCGTGCGCGGAAGGCCATGTCATGCGATGATCCAAGGCTCTCGAGGCAATCTACAGCCTGTTGGAGATGTGCCTTCCATGACGGAGACATAGTATGAGTGGGGCTGTAGATATAGCAAGTGGCCTGCACAAAGCTCGCTGTGATTAACCAATACGTCGCATACCACGCCAGACCTCTTTTTCTACTATCCGTATGATTGAGGAATCCACATATAGACGTGACACACTCGTCAGCTGCAGCGAGGCACGACTTGATCGGGCCCTCCAATGTACTGATGGCTGATCGTGTAGCTATAGCTTCGAATAAAAAGGGTCGGTTGAGCACGATACGCAGGTGAAACGACCTCCATAAAAGGACCCTCTTGGGCAACTCCAAGTGCGGTTCCAGATTGACGTCTTGGTTGAAATATGGGGGCAGGTCCTTCCACCAGTTCCCAATACTCTCTTCGAGTTTTACAGCTTTCTCATATCGCGGAACGTGGTGTGTGAGAAGCTCCACCTGAACGGCATTTGCGATCTTAGCTAGCTTCACTTGAGCAATGAGAGCAGATGTGATAGTGGGCCCAGGCTTGCACTCGGGCAAATGCTCCATATCGACCGCAATATCCTGGTCATCCAAGTTTGACGGGAGGCGAATGTTCACTCCGACTAAGGACACTGCAGGCCTCCCTAGAGTCAACTGAGCCCCAGAAACGAAGACAAACAGCGTCCACCAAACACGGCGGCGGATCTCCATGGTGAAAGGCGACGTGCTTGGCATGCCGAATTCGCGGTGCAAGCCTATAGCGAGAGCCATGCTGAAGCCGATGCCGATAAGAATAAACCCCGCGTTAGGCTTGTTGCGTTTTTGCAAGTAATTCGCCATTATAACAATAGCTTGCACGTAGCTCAAAGACCCTTTCTCGAGGACATCCATCGTTAAGTGTCTACGCGCTTCCTTGTAAAAAGGGATGTCGCATTTAGTCGCATTAGAATCGCCCACGAACGCACCGATGGCGAGAACTGTGTTATATAATAGCGGCCACGAGCCGTCCCGCGGCTTAGCCAGGGCACCTTTAATCACTTAGTAAATTTGATATGTCAGCCTCGTGTACAAGGCTTACCTGATATTCGCGCACGGAAGGTCCCTTCATGTAAGATAGGATATGCGGGATGGTAGAGAGCAAAATAGTCATCAATATAACGGCTAACTGTAGCCGTTGACTGAGATCGCACGGCAGGAAAATCATCCTCATCCAAGGATGAAGGCGTGTTCACGCTGTTCAGTGGAAGGTACAGGGGAAGAGACTGCAAGAATTTTAAGGCAGCTATGCCAGACTGCGGTCCTGTATATCCAGCTTTATGTGGATCAGCAGTTAAGAAGCCCATACCGTCGATTGAGTTATCGAAGTCTTGAGATTCGTCAAATTCATAGTCTTCTGCATTGCTGTGTTCGGTGAAGTTTGTCGGGAGTTGCTCAGTATGGTGTTCCACCTCCGTACTCAGCTTATTATCCTGGCTTGTATTTACCAGAGCTACCTGGCGGCTCTCTCGTACAGTCCGAAGTGCTTCTTGCAGATCAACTGTCGGGAGGTACGTCCTCCAGGCCTTTTCCATGTCCTGCCGAAGTTGTTCATATTCCTGAAGACGCCTTAAGTAGGGTATGTAAGTAAAAATATTCCGGCCATCCAAAAATTACAGGTCGGATAATATAATTCAAACCCGCGGCAGATAGCCTCACCTTTGCAGTGACGATAATTTTTGCGACGGGGACGAGTACCGGCATGCTTTTGCATCTCTGACGCAGTTGGAGCAAGTATCATCGCCGGAACATCGAACTTTTCGCCGTTTACACTCATCGCACGCAAATGTTTTGCGTAATATTCGACGGGCTCTAATTGCATCACTCATCTTGCTGAAGTATATGTATCCATTGACAGTGACATCTTGCATCGGTCAATTGTTCGGAGGGACGAGGCGACACGGGCACAGACATCGTGCGGGAAGCCGATTGCGAGCCAATCCGTTTCAGGTTAGCCCGTCTTCTCTCCACGGGGTGTCTGCCTCAGGCAGCGCGGAGCCAAAGTCAACTACAAATTGGGGATATTCCACCAGAAGAGCATACTATACAATAGGCCTATCTATGTGCGTACTTTCATGGCTGTAAGTTTTTCAACTCAAGTGTCATTCAACTGCCAATGTCAAGTCATATTTGATTCAGAAACTGTTTATTCAGATGTGTCGCTCAATGCATATCCTCCAGAGACAAGGCCCCGCCCCCCAACCTGGACTTAGATCAACTACAATCCTAGTCGTATTCAGAACCATTGGCCAAAAGTAAGGACAATGAAGAATATTGTCCCTAGTTCATCACAGCGTATCGGTAGCTTAAAGCTTGAACGTCAAGGACGTGACGAGAGCGCAACTATGGGTTGCTTCTGACCACGGATGAACCTGAGAACACTTCTCATCACCAGCAGCACAGCTGATGGAGGGGCAGTCTTTGGATGAGGGCTGAACAGAAAACCCACGCGTAGTAAACTCAGAGGGTAGGTGGAGGTCAGCACATGAGACATCCCAATAGACCTTGTCGCCTTTCATTTCATACTCGAACTGTATGACATCGTTCGCTTTTAGGTCAGGCTTTGTTGACACTTTAATGGAGATGCGGCCCCCTTTAGGATTCACACGCCATATTTCCTCGTAAGAACCACCCCTGGCAGGAAGCGTATACATCCTGCCTGCTTTATCGGCCACGGACCAGGCGTAGATTGGGGCGGATAGGCTATTGACAATCTTGACGGCTCCGATACTGCGAGGTGAAATGTCATCGACGGGTTGACTGAGGGCGGTGGAAAGCAAGGTCATAAAAACGGCAAAAGCAGCGAAGAACAACATTTTCGCGGTAGATAGGCGTTCAACTGTTTTCTCTATGAAATGAATCAAGACTTTCAGTTAACAGGCTCTAGAGGTGCTTTATATCCCATTTGAGGCTATCTCCTTGTAGTGAATTTGTGAGCTATTTGGGATGGAAAGTCACATACCCAGCTCTGAAGCTCCAGTTTATCAGCCCCCATTGGGTCATCTGGGGCGTCCTGCAATTTAATATCTACTACATATTCACTGCAGGTCTCTACGCGGAACCTTAGATGATAGGTTGGTTCCACTAGCTTCATTCAGTGAATCCCGTGATATGAACCAGCGGAAGCCCTACCCTTTGTGAAACGATGGCTGAACACGGTGTGGACTACATCCAGCCTTCATCTTTGTTGTCAACAAACAAAGAAGCCATATGGGGTTTATACCTTCCCAATTCCTTTGAGAAAAGCAAAATTGCTTTGTTTGTTGATGGTTTCAAAGGTACAACCAATCACATCGTAGTATAAGAATACCTGAAACTGTGGCGTCCTCAAGGTGCACATGAAGTTTTTCCCTGATGTTGGCTGTTTAGCAAGAAGAACTAGATTAACTACTGATAATATGCTACTACAAAAACGCCATTTCTGTTTTTGCCGTCTCGCTCCCAATTTCATTGAGCCTCGCATCTATCAGCTGGAACGTCTTCGGCATGGGACCTGTGTTGCTCTCAGCCGACAAGTCCAGTTCCCTCTCGATGTAACCCACATAGGTTATGTTGTTTACCACAGGGCCTGTAACCAGAGTAATATCAATCTTGTGCTCTTCCATCAGACGTTTCAGACCCCAAGCCGCAACAGTGTCACTCGCCGTAAGAACGAGGGAGGCTACATGCTGCCGGAACTGCGGTGAATCCAAAACGGTCATGATGTTGTAAAATCCAAGGAGACACGACCCGAACTCGACAACAATAACATCAGGATTAATTTTGTTGAGCTCACGTAGGATGCCCAGCGACACCTCAACTACCTCAGTTGGGTTACCGCAAGTGGTGGGTAAACCACCATCAGCGAAACCCAGAACTAAATCAGCCCCTGTGGCAGCCAAACAACGCAATTCGCCCCAGAGGGCGACTCCAGATAATTTGGCGCCGGCTACTCGGAGTCCTCTCGACTTGAGATGTTGGATTATATTCCGGGCTGTGGTGGTCTTTCCAGTGTTTGATGCGGTACCGGCGACTACCACTATAGGTGCCGACTCGCTTAGGGTTTGGCATCTGGGGATCGCCGAATGTTTAATGTTAACAGGAGCCCCTGCTTTCAGTATACTACCGAGTACTCGGACTTGAACCGGTATCTCTGTATCGTTAAGGGAGGCCTCAACCACCCCCACTATTCCGCTCTTGCTCACATAGGACAGAGTATCCCCGGGGGAAAGTCTGGAGGGAATATCACAGTTGAAGACCTGAAAGGAACGTCGCTTTGCGAGAACAGCCGCGACAATATCACCTTCCACCAAGTCACTTATATGTCCGGTGGTATCTTCGATCATAGCCCATCGGTTCAGCGTCGACAGCACCTCCACTGCAATCACCTCTCCTTCGGCCGGTACTATTATTGGCGTTACTGTGACAACATCGTCCAGTTCTACTCGACGAAGTAAGGACGGCTTCCTCGAAAGACGGACACTCGTAGTCGCCGCAGATGCTGTAAGGCTGCTCGTTGTGGGATCCATCGAGGTTTGTCTCTTCGCCATGCCTTCCCTCAGCTGTGCTATAAATTTCAGATAGAAATCTACTACCAGCTTAGCAATCTAACTCCAGCAATGAACTCATCTCAGTATTATGAGCTAGAGCTCCCTATAATAGTAATCACCCATGCAACAGGTAGAAAGACGAAAATAGCCGAAGTCAACGTAATAGCTTGTGAATTGCTGACGCGTGATACTGGGTTGGGTACCCCTGCAGCTATTTCTTCGCCTTTCTTCGCAGCTTTCCAGCGCCCGACCGCACTTGGTGTTAGTATGAATGTCTCTTCGGCCAATCATCCTGGTGTTTCTCGAGTCGCCTCACCTTTATGGACCCATCAATAAAAGGCCGGCAAGAAAGCCTACAGCTAGGATTAACCTGCGGTCAGAAATAGCCACATAAGCTCTGTAACTATGCTGTTTCGAATTGTTCCTTTGTGATATGTGAATGAACCTGCGAAAGGATAATCCTGGTCCTATTCACAACATGACTGTATCGCCAGTGTTGGATTGTGTTGTACAGTCATCAGCACGATTGTAATACTTTTTTCAAGTGGACTCTTTTGCTAAGCTGGGTTGTAAGTTGTTTGCTCGTACTCAATAAACGACTAACCATTTCAGGAATCCTTATTTCAATCCATGTTATGGTCATCCATCGGCCCTCAACAAAATGTAACAAGATTATTTTCTTAAGGAAAGAGTTCAATCATAATAGATATAGTGACACTTCTATGATTCTATAGGTAGTTGCTTCGATCCTAGCATCTCTTTTCGTAAATGGTAAGTGGTGGTCATTCAATTACGATGATAGTGCTGAGATGCATCGGAATATATAAATTTAGGAGGGCGAACAACTTTTACGTCCCCCGCAGGGTTATCTTGAGTCTGCAACGCTTTTGATAATCTAAAAAGAAAAATAATATTTATCTAGAAGAATTTGCATAGGAATTACCTATCAAGTTTCAAATCGATAATTTAGAGAAATCTTTGAGAATCGCAACTTAAACAACACTCAAGGCCAAATTGCCAGCAAAGCGCTCCTGCTAGTCGATGAAAGATTTAGGCGAAGGTTGAACGTGAAGTCGCGTCATGGGCGAAAAATAAAACCAGAAAATCCGATATAGTTCTATTCTCTAAAAGTCTATCTGGCGTCTATGCAATTGGGCATATTGCTAGACGCAGGGAAGTCAATCCCCGCACACAAGAGAACAAAGGCAAACCGTCAACAAAATAAGAACACACGTCCATTGCGGATATCAAGATACGCTATCATTCAAACATTTTTTACACGCGAAGATTGAAATTCGTCAATCATTTCTTGAGGCCCAGGAGGTTGATACTCTTAGGGCGCTCAATGGGCAGGCCGAGGGCACGGTCCCAGATGAGCTGGACGAGAGGGCCCAGAGCACGGCTGACACCGAAGGTGACGGTGTAGTACAGGGGCTGCTGGAATCCATAGTGGTAGAAGAGCACACCAGAGGCGGCATCAACATTGGGGTGGGGGTTCTTGGTCTAGTATCGTTAGCATACGTAGCTTGGAAAACACCGAAATGATCATTTACCTTTCCATGTTCCGTAAGAACGCCAGGGGCAATCTCGGAGTTCTTCTTGACCAATTGGAAGACAGGGTTGGCCAGAACATCAGGGCGAGTGGCAGCAAAGTCCATGAGAGCCTCGAAACGGGGGTCAGGCTTGCGGAGGACACCATGGCCGTAGCCAGGGACGACACGACCCGACTTCAGGGTATCCCAGAGGTAGGTACGGACATCCTCCTCAGTGAACTTGGTTCCGATCTTGTCCTGCATGGCCAAGATCCATCGCAGGACTTCCTGGGCAGCAAGACCGTGCAGAGGTCCGGCCAGACCCAAGAGACCCGCGCTGTAACTCAGGAAGGGGTCGCTCAGGGCACTTCCAACCAAGTGGGTAGCGTGGGCGGACACGTTACCGCCCTCGTGGTCACCGTGAAGAGCCAGGTACAGACGCAGCAAATCATGGAAGTCCTGGTTCTGCTGGCCACCTTTGCCGAGGAGCTCCGCGAAGTTGTAAGACCAATCCTGGTTCACGTCGAGAGCTTGGGTGCCGACGGTGTCGATCTCATTGGGGCGGAAGACCAAGGCGGCGACACGGGGGATCTTGGCAAGCAAAGAGATGCTGTCATCGAAGGTGGGCTCCCAGTAATCGGCCTTGTTCAGACCCTTCTCGTAGGCCTTGGCGAACTGCGACTCAGTGTTCAGGGCAGCGACAGCGATGGAGAGCTGCGTCATGGGGTGCATGTCGCGGGGGAAGGACTTAATGAGGTCCAGGATGTGCTGGGGGAGGTGGGACTTCTCGGCCAACTCGCGCGAAAAGGCGCGCACCTGGCTGGTCGAAGGGACCTCACCCGTGAGGAGGAGCCAGAACATGGCTTCGGGCAACATCTCCGTGCCGGAGGTACCCTTGGGGAGCTCCTTCTGGCAATCCTTGATGGTCTTGCCGTGGAAGCGGATGCCCTCCTCGGGATCGAGGACCGAGCCCTCCCAGAGCATCGACTTGAGACCACGCATGCCACCAATGACATTGGCAACCTTGACCTCGCCAATCACATCGTCCCCACGTTGTTTCACTTGCTGGAAGAGTTCACGTTTGGCGGGGATGACCGCCTTGAGGGCAGACTTCAGATCGGGTTCCGCCGTCGCATAAGATCTGCGAGAGGTATACTGAGCCAATAAACGTGAAGACTGTCACAATGGCTGGATTTAGTTTCTGCATTAGGGTAATACCCATTGCGATCGGTGACTAACCTGAGCCAGCTTGGTAGCATGGCGAGTGGTTCGCATGGACATGGCCATGGTGTGTTTATTTATTTGTGAAGGAAAGACCCGTAGAATTACACTCAGCACAGGACACAGAACAGGTTTTCTGTCGAAGCCTATCAGGGAGGACGATGGGAGTTTTTAAATCTTCGAGTGAAAATATACAGGGAAGAGAAAAGAACGGCGAAAGGAGGGAGCACGAATTATACGCGGAGGGTCTCCCTTGCACCGCACACCGATTGGAACGCACGGTTGGCCGCGGAGGAACGGTGAAGCTGACAAGGAGCTACCGAGGCAATGCCGCGGCTGCATGCGGAGAACGCCAACCCCCATTACTTCTATTTATTTGCTAGAGGTCAAGTCACACCACTTCTCCTTCACGGTCGGATGGAAGGATGTCATTGCTAGTACTAAATAACTCTACCTTTCTTATGATCATAGAGAGCAAAAAATACATCAGTATTCTACGCCGTTGGCCCGCGTTGATATTTATTTGTTGTGATTTTTGTTACCGAGGGTCGGGTATTCTCACAAGGGATGCGATGGACCATATGCTTCGGGATAAGTTGGTAGCCGATCATTGACGGACGAGATGATTGTTTAATTCATTGTTGGTGGAATAAGATGACCTGCAAGCTACACAGTCGAAGAGGTCTATAGCGGTGTTCCAGAATGCAAGAGAAAGAGTATATAAATGCCGCTGGTCCTCTCCCAGGGGTTGCATGTCAGATACCTAGTGTATTGAATGTTTGGACGAGACACTCCGCCCCCGTCACGGTATCCGCGGGTTGGCGGATCCGGCGTGCGGGGTAACCCCGATGTGGATTAGCCTGCTTCGGGCCGGGGGTGAATCGATGTATGCCTGAGGCAGAAGAGCCAAGCGAGCACCGCCACAGCCGGCACCTGGCTAGACCCTTACCAGCCATAGTTGCCTCAGGCACCTTGCAGCCACCCGACAGCCACCCGGGCTGAGCCAACAATCAGGACCCATGCAAAGGCGGTGTATTCTGATTGGTGAAAATCCTGTCCTCCTGCGCCTCAGGCAGAGATTTTCACCCGCGCCCAATCACAAGAGAACTTATCGGCGGCCCAAAAAAAAATAATCGCCGCCCCGCCATCATTATCAGTGATCTTTCTTTCCAGTTCAGCCTGGATTTTCTTCCTTTTCCTCTTGTCTCTTCACTCTCCCCTCTTTCCTTTTTCTTGTTCATATACCCTGTTGTTTCTGTTGCAGACGGATCCTCGTCCCGAGGCCGATCTAACGGTTGGATTTTCATCAAAAAGTTTTGAATTTTGTGTAGATTTCTTTATTACTTTTCTTTTCTCCTTTTTGTGGTATTTTGAATTTTCCACCAGACGACGCCGCTTTAGTGGCTTACAGATTTAGTGCAAAGGTCGAAGCGAAGGCACACTCTCCGGTGAGAGACAAACGGCATTTGATATCGCCCTATATACAATAGAATGCCTCATTTCGAAAATACAACCATGGCTACCGCTGTTTCCAAGACTCCATCTACCGTCCCTCCGACTCCGGAGGAGATTTCGTCCCTTTTCAACACGATCTTCACCGCAGAGACCTCCCAGCAATCTCTTGATGCCTCCTACGCCTTGACCAACTTGCTGATTCAAAGTGTCGGCAGCCTCGGCTTTCAGAAATATGATGTCTTGTCGCATGTCAAGAAGGCGGCCAGCGATAAGAAGAATGGCGCCCTCCGTGAGAGTGCCATGCTGATTCTCGGCGCCCTGTTCGAACGTTTCCCTCGTGAACATCCTCTGAGCGAAGTTGTATTCCTCCTTCAAGATGGCGGCGTTCTTAATATTGCCCTGGATGCGTTGGCCGACAAAGGCGCAGTGGTTCGCGATGCCGCTCAGTATGCAATCGATGCCTTGTTTGCCTGTCTCAAGCCCGAAGCCATGGCCAATGGTCTCCTGCCTGCCCTGTCTGCTTATCTCAGCCGCGGCACTGGTAAGTGGCAGGGCTTTGTCGGCGCATACTCCCTGATAGAGAAGATGGCCGTCAAGGCGCAGATGGGTAACGGAACTCTGGAGGAAGAACGTGAGAAGGATATACTGCGCGAGGCAATGGGCAAGACTCTGAAAGACTTGATTCCTCTGGTGGAGTCCGGCATGCACGATCTGAAGGCTGAAGTGGCTAAGCGGGCTTGCAAGGCCATGAACGCGGTTACCACCCTCTTGTCCAACGATGATGTTGCCCCTCGTATTCCTCTTTTGATCAAGACCATGGAGCAGCCGTCCGAGAAGACACTACAGGATGCCATCCATGCCTTGTCGCAAACTACTTTCGTCGCTATTGTTACCTCGCCCGTCCTGGCCTTGCTCACTCCTTTGCTCGAGCGCTCCTTGAACGCCCCAACAACGCCCCAAGAGACTTTGCGTCGCACTGTCGTGGTCGTGGAAAACTTGACAAAGCTCGTGCATGATCCCTCCGAGGCACGTACGTTCTTGCCCAAGCTCATTCCCGGTGTACAGGCTGTCAAGGACCGTGCTTCCTTGCCGGAAGTCCGAGAGCTTGCCACCCGCGCATTGAACGTAATGGAGAAGGCCATGAGCGACAGCAATGTTCACGCTGGATCTGTCACCAAGACCACTCCGGATGAGGTTCTCGCCGTCTTGAATGCCCAGATCCAGGCCAACGGCGGCCTTGCTGTGCCCGAGGCGCATACACTTTTCGAGCTCGGTAAGACGTACATCGCAGAGATGGTTCGTGAGGATGTGAACTGCCGCATGCACGACCGTATCCCTGTCTGTGTCGCGCCCTACCTGCGTGGTTTGCTCCCGGAGGATACACATGAGGCTGTCGCCTCCGCTCTCCAGGCACATTTTATCGAGGAAGATCACCGCAAGTTTGGTAAGCCCGAACCCGACGATCCCAATGAGGTCGAGATTGTCAACGCCAACTTCTCCCTTGCCTACGGTGGAATGCTTCTTCTCAACCACACCAACCTCCGTTTGCTGAAAGGTCACCGTTATGGTCTTTGTGGTCGCAATGGAGCTGGCAAGTCCACTCTCATGCGCAGTATCGCCAACGAAAAGCTGGAGGGCTTCCCCCCGCAGGATGTTGTTCGAACCTGCTTTGTGGAGCATAACCAGGGTGAGGATGCTGACCTGAGCATCATCGAATACGTCTCCAAGGATCCCAAGATCGCGGAGGCTGGCCAAGAGCATATCAGCCAGGTGCTTCTCGAATTCGGCTTCACGGATGGCCCAGAGGGCCGCCAGTCGCAGCGTGTTGGGTCGCTGTCGGGTGGTTGGAAGATGAAGCTTGCGTTGGCCCGTGCCATGCTCATGAAGGCGGATGTTCTACTCCTGGACGAACCCACTAACCACTTGGACGTTGCCAATGTGAAGTGGTTGCAAGAATACCTCAAGAAGCACACTGATATCACCAGTTTGATTGTCAGTCACGACTCCGGATTCTTGGACGAAGTCTGCACGGATATTTACCACTACGAAAGCAAGAAGCTGGTCTGCTACAAGGGTAATCTGGCTGCTTTCGTCAAGCAGAAGCCCGAGGCAAAGAGCTACTACACTTTGTCCGCCAGCGCTGTTCAGTTCAAGTTCCCTCCCCCTGGTATTCTGTCCGGTATCAAGTCCCAGACCCGTGCCATCCTCCGGATGACCAACTGTTCCTACACCTATCCCGGTGCCTCCAAGCCATCCCTGACCGACGCATCGCTCACCCTGACGCTGTCGTCCCGTGTGGCTATCATCGGAGGAAATGGTGCTGGTAAATCTACTTTCATCAAGATGCTCACAGGAGAGACAATTCCCCAAACCGGCAAAGTTGAGAAACACCCCAACCTTCGTATCGGTTATATCAAGCAGCACGCTCTCGAGCACGTGGAGATGCATCTGGAGAAGACCCCTAGCCAGTACCTCCAGTGGCGTTATGCCAACGGTGACGACCGCGAAGTCTACTTGAAGCAGACCCGTGTTCTCACCGAAGAGGATAAGGCTCAGCTGGAGAAGCCGGTCGACCTCAAGGATGGCAGGGGTCCCCGTCGCATCGAGGCCCTTATGGGTCGGCAAAAGTGGAAGAAGTCGTTCCAGTACGAAGTGTAAGTTATCGCTACCTGTTCGTCTCCGCGCGCCGCCACTAACAGATATCATAGTAAATGGATTGGTCTCCTTCCCAAGCACAACACCATGATTTCTCGTGAGACCCTGCTTGAACTTGGATTCTTCAAGCTGGTTCAGGAATTTGATGATCACGAGGCTTCTCGCGAAGGTCTTGGGTTCAGAAACTTGGAACCTCCTGAGATCTCGAAGCACTTCGAGGATGTTGGCTTGGATCCTGAGATCGCCAATCACAACCAAATCTCTGGTCTCTCTGGTGGTCAAAAGGTCAAGGTTGTGTTGGCCGGAGCCATGTGGAACAACCCCCACTTGCTCGTGCTGGACGAACCCACTAACTTCTTGGACCGTGACTCTTTGGGTGGTTTGGCTGTGGCCATCCGTGACTTCAAGGGTGGTGTGGTCATGATTTCTCACAACGAGGAGTTTGTGGGCGCGCTCTGCCCCGAGCAGCTTCATGTCGCTGATGGACGCATTGTTGCCCGTACCAACACGGGCGTGTCGCTCGATCGGTTTGAAGACAGTGCGGCCAATTCTCCCCAGGCCGGCACCGCCGTCAACTCCACCGCCACCAGCGCGGCCGCTTCTGCTGCTGCTTCGGCCGTGAACTCTGGCGCTGAAGAACAGGGCGAACTCAAGTTCAAGGCGAGGAAGAAGAAGAAGATGACCCGTGCCCAGCTGAAAGAACGGGAGACTCGTCGTCGTCTCCGCCATCTTGAGTGGCTCAATAGCCCTAAGGGTACCCCCAAGCCTCCGGATACTGACGACGAGGCTTAGTAAATATTTTATGTTTATACTTATTTTCTGGACTCTGTTTGCTGCATGAGCAGCATGACGATTTGCCTGTTTTGGTCATTACGATAGACGGCTCGGCGTTTGTTTTTGTTCTTGCTCGATATATTCCGGCGGTTTGCTTTTCATAGATGACGAACTATCCTACTTAGAAAAGTCAGAGATCTTTTCAGCAATCGACATAATCGCACCGTGGTCTATGTCTATGTACTCTATATGTGGGAAATCCTAGCTTTTCCCACGTTTTTTTTGGTAACGCGAAGCATTGCCGTTTGCCCAACTCTCGGCTGTAGTCACTATACTTATATCGCACTGATTTATTGAGGACACTGAACTATAGACCCTGGAAGATTTATTGAGATCGTACTAAAATATTGACATTGTTTGACGTGAACCAGTGTAAGTTTACTACAGGTTGATGGTCCAAATACAGAGTTAGGGCAAACACGACGGAATGCCTAGCCTCACCCATGTACGTCTTTGACGCTCCAGCGAGTTTTCAAGCCCTGGTATCTAGCACAACAAGTGCTTATCATGATAGGTCCTTTCAATATAGTCAAATCAAGACAAGCCACGATCTTATCATGTGGACATCTCCATATGACCAAAGGGCATCAATGCTCAGCCACGAATTAGTGGCGTTCCGTGACATCACCCAGTCCTCTCTTCCATGCAACATACTACTACCTAATAGTAGTCAAATCCTGCGCGCATAGATCATGACGAATAAGATGTAGACGTCCAGCGCCCGATGTGGCGCAGGCTCATCCCGTAGCTCACATTGGTCAGCTTCTCATCCTCTAGGATTGGGCTATACGAGTTGCAATCTATGGCTCGAGTGTAGTCTTACGCCCCCAACATCAGGCAACAAAGTATTAGACTCGTCTTCTACGGTGAAGCAGTCTTACCTCAGCGAATATAAGAATATAGCAGGTTTGCCCTATTTCTCCACCGATATTTCTCCAGGTCGCTAGACTTACGTCAGCACATCTGCCTCTCCTCACGCAGACATAACAAATACCCATCCCGTCTAAGAATGACCTGCTTCAGAATGCGCGACGAACCCCCAGCCTACGAAGAAGCCGCAGGCTCCAGCTCGACCGCCATCCCAGGCGACACCAAGACACAGTTGCAAGATGAGGATCAGCGATCGCAATACGGGCTGATTTCCATCTCGGGGTACGACCGTATTCGTCTCATGCGCTTCCCGGAATCTGTTGTCGCGCTTGTATCGGAGACACTCCAGAGACACTGGCCCAAGGGTATACAAAATGTAAAGGCCTACTATGAGAGCACGGAGTTCAAGCTGCGTGGAAACCCTTTTGAACACGGCAATGATGATGAGAAGGTTGCGCTGCGGAATGTTATCTTAGGGCTTCTGGATGCTCTTGCGAGAGAGGGTTGGGGTGTTCATCCTGCTGCCGGGGGGTTGGGGCGCATAGGGAATTATAAGTCGTTTGGGCAGAAGGGTATGTTCGTCTTGTTTTGTAGACAGTCTTTATTTGTATTGTTCGATTTATTTATTTATTTATTTATTTATTTATTTTTTTTGTTTATTGCCTTCCAATGCTATGCTACTCGAGCTACCCAGATAAACCATCCATAGAGCAGTGAAGCTGACAGATCACAGATAGCTTGATATTCAAGCGCCAAGACTCACAACAGCTCTCATGGATGTGTATCTCCTTCGACTCTGAAGACCTCATGCACCTCATCAACGCTCCTCCCGAGTTGGCCCTGTCCCTGGTTGCAGTCTTCGGGGACCGGATCAAGAACTGTAACCAGGATCTTGTGAGCGGAAACTTTGAGATCAAGTTCCAAAAAAGGTTATGGGCTAAGTCGTCGGACGAAGGAGCGGTGCTGAGTAGAGTGGCCATACTAGATGTGCTTCAGTGTCTGGAGGGCCAGGGGTTTACGTTGTGTTCGAGCTTGGATATCGACCATGGCAATGGGGGTGAGTTGTATAAGAGTAGTGGGGAGACATGGTTTTGTTGCCGTTGAGGTTGGCGATGTGTATGACTATTATGGATTTCTTTGAGTATATGACTAACATGGTATGAACGTCGTGCTTTCAAGGATAGTTGGGCTTTGAAAGCCTTATTCCATTTGAGTCATTTGATGCACCTCTCGTACGTCGATAGAGTTTAAGACACCATGGACAAGTTAATATCAGCCACGGACTCACCTTTGACCTTCGTCTAGCGATTCTAAGAGTAGTATATACCGCTACATCCACATCATAATTCTCAATTTATTCCATTAATCAAGGGTACTTTTATTACTAAAGCAGCCTCGATCGTTCTGGCCCTCCTTTCACCTCCAGATTTGGCTGGAACCTGAACCTAAACTCGCACGCGAAACATGGTTCGATCCCACTTTATCGCATCTTGTACCGTTGTGCGCTGCTGTAAGATCATCTGTGAGAGCAATTGTTGAAAGATGACTGGGTTCGGTGGCATATACATATCAAAAGGGTAACAGCCAGCAGTGGTTAGGGTTTACCAACTCTATCTGATTCATTGGGCTGAACCTAGTCAAATACTTCCACAGATATTTTCTCACTCTCAGTGTAGTTTACGGGGAACTTGCTTTTCGGTCTGGACATACCGATGGCGAGTAGTGTCGGTGCGTGGCCGGACAACTGCTGGACTTTACGAGCTATGGTGTCTTCCTACTATGAGTGTGTGCCTTGACGCTTGATGGCACACAGACCATACACTTCATATATACTACTTCGGTCTTTCAAACTGTGGAACATATTTGAGTAAAGGTGGCACCAGAAGTTCTTTCATATTTGCATCGTGGGATGACTTGATCAACTGGATGATCAGAGACAACTCTACAGGTCATTGACTAGTTCAATAATCCCATCGCTCCATTGACCTTGTGTATTCAATACAATGTTTGTGCTCCAAGCAAAACATCTTACGTAGTAGTATGTGCAAGGCCAAAACCCGCAATAGCCAGGTAACAGGTCAACAAATAGCATGGACAAGGCTTTACGAAAGATTCATAAGTCAAATAATCATCAATGTTCGTTGCCAAGTGTCTAAAACTATATTACTTTTATTGAACCCATTCTTCACGCCTCCTCTGGCCAATTATCATACCCAAAGGTATCCTTCATGTTAACAAACCGGAAATGCCTTCCCTCCGCAACAGCATTAATAGCCTTGAACTCGTCGTCCGACAACTCGACCGATTTGAAGTTCGACTCAATTCTCGCCGGGTTCGAGCTCTTCGGCAAAACCACATAGCCTCTCTTCAAGCCCCAGGCGATCAAGATCTGCGCCAAAGTACAGCCCTTCTGCTTGGCAATATCATTCAACGTCGGGTTCTCCGACACCTTCTCGCCCGTAGTAGGGACCTGATTCTGAGACCCAAGGGGCGAGTACGCCTCGACCACGATGCCGTTCTTCTGGCAGTAGTTGACGAGCTCGGTATTAGGAAGGAAGGGGTGGACCTCGATCTGGTTGACTTGAGGCTTCACCTTGGCAATCTTGTTGAGATGCTCCAGGCCTTCGATACGCCAGTTGGACACGCCGATGGCGCGGGCTTTGCCGGATTCGTAGATCTTCTCCATCGCACGCCAGGTTTCTTCGGGGTTCTTTGTCAACTCCTCAAGGATGATGTACTATTCATTCATACCGTTAGTGATATTATCGGAAATTCTGGATATCGTGATTGCCGCACCTTTCCATCCGGTCCAAGCTTCGGCTGATGATTCTCGTCTTTCTCAGCAGCAATGGGCCAATGCACCAGATACAGGTCCACATAGTCCAATTGCAAGTTCTTCAGCGAATCCTCCAACGACCACAGCACATCGTCATACCGATGCAGGTGGTTCCACACCTTCGTCGTCACGAACAGATCCTCCCGCTTCACTGACGGGTTCTCTTTCAGGAAATCTTGAATTGCCTGTCCCACCTCGTCCTCATTGGCATAGAACCAGGCACACTCGAGGTGTCGGTAGCCGACTTTCAGCGCGTGGCGGACAGCCTTGTAAGTCTCGCCTTTGGAGCCTTCGTTGGCAAAAGTACCGAAGCCGACGCCGGGGATGGTGACGCCGTTCTTTGTTTTGAAGGATACGCCGGAGGACATTTTGATGGGTGTTTAGGGTAAGGAATGGCAAGCAGTACTCGCGTAGTTGGAATTCCAATTCCAGCTTTGACTGGGTGACTCCATATTTAAAAGGCCAGCACGAAACAAATACATTCATGACCTCATGGCTGCAGAGGCGAGCATTTCGTCATTGGGTCCATTTACTGTGTAGTTCGGTTGGTTCCAGTCTCCGGTGTGCACCGAGTGGATTCATACCGAAGCTGTCATTGGAACCGTCCCGCTTGTCGGGGGCTCCACCTTTAGTATTAGAGCTGGAGCTTGTCGCATGGGTAGCTTCGGATTTAACAAATGCTGGATTTAACAGCTGTGCTGAAAATGCACAATTGCAAGAAATACGTTATTCGTTATTTGTGTCGACTCTGATCCACATAGCGCCACAGATCCTAGGGCTCGCAAGTCCGCTTCCCTGAGCAACGCTGTGGAACTGTTACGCTGTGAGGTTTTGGGGTCAAATATGAGTTAAATCATAGCTGTATGATAAAACAGAATTCAACCATATGACGGCCTAGCTACATAACGTCAGCTGTTATTAGCATTGTATTGCCCCCAGCAGTTCAAAATTATTAATCAGCGACTGCTCTACTTTCTCAGCCTGAGGCAGGAGACACCACATCCAGGTCACGTGATAGCTGCAGTCCCAACAAAAAAGCCACAATAAAGCCCCTGAAAGACGCCATGAATGTACAACTAAAATTCAAAACCCGGCGCCCGGGTCTTGTATCCTTTCATTGTGTCCCCAACCCTAACACCATAAGCCGCTAAACTACTTTTAGACACTTAACGGACCAACTATATTCCAGAACGGGTACAGTACGGTATGTATTTGTAAGATACCCTCAGCATCTATAATACGTGTACATAATTCGTATGGGAGATCCATGGCTGGCGGGATGATTTATGCCTTAGGCAACAATGGTGACACTGACAGCTCGAACTCCAGAATCACTGACATGTTAGACCACCAGGAAATGGCAAGAACCTCGATACGTGGCAGCGTAAAATGACTTAAACCATATATCCCTAATGTTTGATGGTTTTGGCTATACAGTATCGATCTTCTGCAATCTTCGATGATCCCTGCTCACCTGCAACCATAACGTAATCGGTAAGCGAGCCGCCACTGTACGCGGCCCGCCATCTTCTTTTTTCCATAGTAAGCAGCTTATTTTTAAACAACAATATCTCAACCATTATTAGATATATCAGTATACTTTATAGTAACAGACTTTATTATTAATATTAATTTTTACTAATCAATCAAGTTACGCGGTGCACGAGACAATAATGATAGTATTATAAATTTCCAACTGATACTAGCTGTAAATCTATATACATCTTGCTTACTGTAACTACAGTTGCATCACGCCAAATAATAGAGCAAAAGGGAAACATCATGACTTGCTAAAAGTCGATGCCCACTTTTCCCGTATGCTGTCTGCTCGCAAGGTATGTGTACGCCTCGGTCACTTGGTCCCGACTGAACTTGAAAGTCTTCTCAACCGGAACAGGTATGTTGTGAGTGCCGATGAATCGAACAGCATCCTCAAGTTGTTGCTTGGAGCCAACCATAATACCACGGACAATTACTCCTTTTGCCAATGCTAGACCCGCTACATCTGGCATGGTATACTGGAGAGGAGGGGAGAGAAAGCCGATGACAGCAATATTAACACCGTAAGAAACAGCTTCTAAGGACTGCTTGATAGTCCCAGAGCCACGGTTTTCAAGTATGTAGTCTACGCCGCTGCCGTGGGTGATCTTCTGCACCTCTTCTGCCCATTTTGAAGTGGTCTTGTAGTTGGTAGTATAATCAGCTCCGTACTTATGCTGAACATAATGTAACTTCTCCTTCAAAGAAGATGTGATGATAGTGGTGGCGCCAGCAGCCTTCTCAAGAACGAGACCAGTGCGAATCCCCGAACTCCCTCCCCAACACCAACAATATCACCTGCAGCATCGGATCCAGGCACAACAATCATTTTTTTTACAGGAAACCGGTACTTGCCAGTGGATATAGCAATGTCCCGGAAGTTCAATACTACATTGCGCACCTTTTATAACTATCTCATATTTGCCAGCGGAGGGCACTGATCCTTTGAACTCAGTAAATCGTTCCCAGGAATCGTGACCAAGAAGACGAAGACCAGTTTGAGAGGCCATTTTGTATTCAGAAGTTTCCCTCATAAAACAAATAAAAAAAAATTCTTTTAACAGTCAATACCGACCTTGGAATTGCTCGAATATATCACATTATCCAGCGTTCTATTCCAATATCTAGTGCCTTATATTTATTCGTATTGTTTAGCGTATCGTCCGTATTTTGTCACAAACGCAAGTCAGGTTACCCACAGAGGCGACATATATCGTTAGTGGAAAAAAAGTTAGCATGGGCGAGAGTTCTGCAGATGTGGATTCAGAACAAATGTATGTTTTCTATATCTCCACAGCTGATATCTGAAGTGCTGGGATTCTGCGACCCCAGCGACATAATATTCTTGGATGCCCATACTTTTAAATAATGCAACTTGAAAATGATCGGTAATTATATCCCACTGTTACGAAGAAAGTCCCTCGATATTAAACATATCTTAGAAGCCCAAGAAACTAGCAATAGAATGTTTCTTATCTTTCCTCCGCACCTTTTGGACACCCATGAGTTGATATATCGCGACCTGAGCTCCGTGTATACTATAGTCCATAGTCGCAGCAGTCTCATCTGGTATCTCCACAAATTGACCGACCACTGCGAGATTGGTTGTACACTCCGGTATCACCCTTGGACGATCTGCACAAGCCCGAGGCAGCAACGGCGCCGCTAAGCGTGGCATCACACGTGGGATGGTAATTGAATGGTCTAAAATGGATTCCGGAGGTACATTGAGATGCTGCAGCAATTCAATTAAGATCTCCTGCCCAGAGCACCAGAGCATTGGCTTCTTCACAAAGTTTCCTATATGCTGGGGGGCTGAGCCATAGCCCCACATAACCTGCACATCTGTGGGTTGATAAGGAACAAGTGGTTGACGGGGAATAAATAAACTAAGTAACCAGTTGCTATTTTGGAGAACGATTGAAGTTGAATCATCTTCAGCACTAGCCAAGTTCATAAAATGGTCGGAGAACTTAACACCTCTTATTGAAATTGTGAAAGTCTCCTCTCTGGATTCACCCACTCGCGTGCAGAAATTGTACGGGTCGCCGAGACTTGCGCCGAGGCCTGCGCCGAATGCCAGCCAGAGTGACCAATTCTCATCCAATTTGTCTTCCGCCTTCAGTATTTCCAGCGAAGGTGGTCTTGTATTAGTACCTTTTGTTGACCCAGAAATGGATGACCCAAGTGATGCAATAACAACATCAGGAGCACTGACAGTGACAGTATTCTCTAATCCATTCTGAACCGTTTTGAAAGCTGATATGGATTGATAACCTCTTTGCAGATCTACTGTGATGTCTGTGACCGTGGTGTTGAATTGAAAATGAACTCCTTTTTCCTGAAGGAAGTTGGTAATGGGCAGAATGATATCTTCCTGCGGATGGTATCTGCACCGATCTAGTCCAGGAAATTCCTTTCGACGTTGGAAGTCGTGGAAGTAACGTAAGAGACCCCGACGGAATTCGACGGCACTATGCCAAGGACAAAGGCCAAACCTTTTATAAATCCCATTGTTAGAGTTAACGGCTTGCCAATTAGGATTAGACGACATACGCTGACGACCAGACAGCCCAGAATCTGCTGTTAAAAAACCATTTGTCGAAGAAGTCGCGGATGATCTTTCTCCCCAGGCTTTTCTCGGACTTCAATATAAATGTCACCAAGCTCATCCGGACTTTCCAACCAATGCTGATGTTCTGGGGCTGTAAAGCCTCCACCTGATGACCATTTTGGCTGAAAAGACGAGTAGGGGGCGCATTCCTTCTTGCTTCATTTAAATTGTCCAGCATTGTCTTCCCTGGACTATTGGACAAAGGCACTAAAGAAAGCAGATTTTCAGTGTATTCATCGCACAAAAGTGGCAAGCATGGAGCTCGATGGTCATACCCACTCACCGAGTCGCCCGTGGTGGGTATCCCATCTTCAGGTGCTATGCGGGACTCCAGGATATGAACACGAGAGGCTGGCATGCCTGTGTCCTGAATTAGATAAACTGCAGAGGCCAGAGAGGCGATGCTACTGCCAAGAATCCAGGCATTTCCATGATCTTGTACTCTCTGATTTCTCTTCTGATAAGACTGTCGTTTGCAGGCCATAATTATATGTTACTTTGTAATACTTCACAGCCTGATCCCAGTGCTTGTATAATCAGTCGCCACTGCATCAATGCTAGAACAGTCGCAGACGTCACTGAATAGCCTACGGCACGGCTAACTGCTTTTTAACTAGCATACCATAGGATTACGGTGGTTGCCAAGCCCTACCAACCGCTAGTGGTTTAACCGTGATCAGTCAGTAATATAAAGTTAGCGCAGTCTACGGAGGATGAAGCGTGGGATTTTATTTGCTTTTCTATTTCTTGATCAGTTTCTTGAATCATTGGCCTAGAGCTCACCTCCTATAGTACTACTCCACTGAAGTGGCACTACCGTCCACAAGATGTCAATAGTAATCGGTTTCTTCCAGGTAGAGACAATAGTAGTTGCTTAGGGGCACCAAGAATAACCTTCTATGTACTCATAACTAGTTTCAGCATAGAAAATACCAACAGTTTCTCCCAGAACACATCTTGCTTTCAAAGGTTTCAAAAGGTTAGGGATTTTCTATATTTATCGTGCACCCTGATACGAGAACGGTCCTTTTCTAGAAATGCTTCGACCGTCTCATTGGAACAAGAAGCATTTATCAAATAGTTCCTATAATGGATTATTATTTGGGTTTCGGCGTGGGGTATAGGTAGGAATTTATTAGGAAGATATCTGCACAATAGCTAGCTGTTTCGTATTATTATGAATTGAGGCTTGACCGTCGTTATAAACGAATGCCACTGGCGGATATTGGCCGTAAAAGTTCAGTGCATTAGAACTTGTAACATTTATTGGTTCTACCCATTAGTGATGATAAATTCTCATCGCAAAGAGCCATCCATAGCCTAAATCAAATGCAACTAGACTATTCCATACGCAGAACCGTGGCGAATATCCCCTTTTTTTCCCACTAACTATTTGCGCTCCGGATTGCCCCAAGAACCTTATCCTGAGATGCGCCAGATTGTATAAGACCAACAATGCGAGCTACCATTGCTTGATCTTCATTTCGTATCGAGTTTACCAGCTCATTAGGAAATTCACGGTAATAATTCTCATATTCAGCAGTGGCAGCAGGGCTTCGAGGGTCTGCAATTGGGTCTACCTAATTATTGTCGTTGGCATTAATTTCATTGAATAGATTACTATTACTGCCAAGTTTTTTTTCAGCTAAGCTATAAACCCATAGATATATTAAAATGAAGGTTCAGATAGGATCTGCTTACCTTCCTAAGCTCTGGTATTTCTCTTGGACCATTATTGCTCAAAGAGTTGTTACTTTTTCTACAACTTGGAAATGTTATTTGGTATCTCGGTCACTGTAAGGTTTGGTAAAATGTGACACAAAGTACACAGGGGAGCCATCAGTTGGAGACATGTTGATTGTTCGAAGACAATAATATTTAATTAAGCATTCTCTCCTTCGGGGGACAAAGGCGAACCTTGGATACTCTCTAAAGTAATTCTCGATCAGAACAACAAATCTGCGACCTGAGAATTATTTTCTTTTTCAAAAGTTAAAAATTTGGTAGTGTACATATGCTGCTACACCCTTAGTCTTTTCTCTCTTGTTTTTTCTTTCGGCTGATTAATATTGCCACGATCGAAGCTACTCCAAGAGTTGCCGTTGAGGACCAGTAACCCGAGAGTTATATGTATCCAATGAATATGAACGTTGACGAAATGACGAGGTACTTAGGTCTATGGGAACTATCATGACTTTCTCAATACACCTAATTTGATACGATACGGTGAATAATCCATACAAGTGTTCTAAAAATGCTTTTCTGTTCTTTCAGGACCCGACATGTGACCTCCCATATTGAACTCTAAAGGGGTTAACGTTCTATGGATGGGAAGGCAAGTGATAAAATGATGACATGATGATTCGGTTGGGAGGCTCTCATCCATAGGGCGAACACTGGCATTTATATTGTGGCAATAAATATAGTTCAATATATTAATGTGCATCATTCTTTGTTCTTCGCTATTAACGAAATAGCCTATGTACGTGACACAAATTATAATGGAAGCAAAGCCGGATAAAGAAGCCCACTCGCAGGTTAGACGATTCCCCAGCATCATTAAGATATAGCGCACTGGGCCAATATGTTACTAGACCCTCTCCGAGGATGAGAAACGCCGCCTCCGCCTTTATGGTAGGCTGCCTCATGGAGGAGGACTGCTCAGACGACAGTCTAGAGTATGTTTCTGATAAGGCAGCCCAAGGCAGCTACTGACAAGTGAAAGGAACGGAAGTACTTTGATTCGGGTGATTTGGCTCTCTCTACAGCCGATAGAGAGACTGATGAAGGCGCAATTCAAACTGGCACAGCCCATCCTAGACGTGATAGCATTTCTCGCCCTTATGCCCCGGTTCCCAACACCAGTAATGCCAACAAAGATGCGAACAAAGGCTTTAGTGGCAAGAAACCCCAAAATCCGGAAATGATAGATAGTCCTCTGCATCAACCAATCGGCAATACCAATAGGATGCAGAAACCAGAAGGAACAGTTTAGGATGGATGCTTTTCTGACGTTTGTTTCCGTTCAAGTTCAATTCAGAAGAACCTTATGTGATGCTCATGTCAGGTTTGGTAGAAAGAGATCACCAGCTTAGTTACAGCATTTGGTGGAGTATACTACTATTGTCATGTCTGCTGGGCTATTGCTTTTACCCAGACATAATCATGTCGAGCTTACTACCAGATGGAAATATTTTCCCGCTTGCACCGTTCATGATCAAAACTTTCCGAGGACCAGTTTCGGGAAACCCACGTGTCAAATTATAGCTGCTTCCTGAGGTAGAGTACAAGTGACGTTAAGCACTATCGCTGCTGCTCTTGGAACTATTAAGTCTGGTGTCATAACTGTCGCTAGCTGAACTCTCGTATATAGGCTCATAGCATTGCTGTACTCATTGAATGGTGTTGGGGAGCGGCGCATAGTCGTCATTACTTGAAGTCTTTACTTGTGTGATAACAAGCCGTTTAATTCCTTGGCTCTGTTCTTTGGTATTTGTCAGATAATGTAAATCAGTAAGAAAGCCTAGGATTCGTACCAATTTGCCAATGTGGCTGCATCGTCGGAACTAGAAGGAATATGGCCAAATATTAGGAAATATCTGGAAAGGTACTTTATATGGGGGTAACAAAATGCCGAGAGGAACATGGCTAAAGCTTTTTTCTTTTTTTCTTTTTTTTTTTTTTTTCTTTTAGAAAACAAGGAATGCGTTCGTTATGACGTCGGCAAACTTGACAGCAAACAAGAGGCCAACGAGAAGACGACAGAATATCTTCAAAGGATATTAGCACGAACGGAGGTATCATTCTCCGACCCCATTCACAATCTGTACTTTCTTCCATCGTCATATTTCTTCATGGACGCATGTGACCCAGATCCACCTCCTAACCCCATAATTGAGATATTTAATTATGCTCCAATCTCCTTTGCATAAACGTGAGGTATTCTTTCCAAAGGGGGCACAAGATATCAGCGTAGAAAGACATTGGGTATCTTAGCCTTGTGCTGGTGCCAAAAATGTTAGAAACCTGGAAGGATTTGTACTGCAACTTATCGAAGGCGATCATGATTGGTAAAATGATGTATTAAGGGCAGATACCGCCCCAAGGAACGGGATATCTCGATGCGGGAACGCACCTCATAGCAGCTACTGCGGCACGTATGAACTTATGACTATAGTTTCCTCGTTGTATGTCGGTACTCACCTAAACGTCCATGACGTCACGTGATAAGGGATTGTTTACGCGCCAAGGAATGTTTTGCAAGGCACTGACCTGGTATATATATACTATTTGGTATATAGGGACCAAGGATATATAAGGACACTCATTCATGTACTTAGTCTAGTTCTTCGTGATCAATATCATAAGTTACTTGATAGCTACATTCAAGATTTGTTACCAGCTCAACTTGTTGGCAGTATCTAACAATTGAGTATACGTACTCAATTGGCCTGGCCTTTCGACCTTGGACTAATACTCGATTCGTTGTTATCCCATTTCGGACCTCCGGTCACCTATTCATCGTCGATTACTAGGGAATTATAGTCATCGGGATAAGTCGTATTTAACTAAGATAGCTACCTGGTCGCAGAGTTTTTTGATGGATACCCGGGCGTAACAGCGGCCTCCCACCCTTAGGGGTGCTTTCACGCTCCCAAATAAGCGTTTGTAAGTACGTAGCCTTCTAATTGTACGTTCGTGACAGTCAACAAAAATCAGCCATCTGGGCCGCTGTGAGTTCACCGGTTGCTATTATTATATTGGTGGCCTCTATCTTTGATGTACTAAGATTAGGTGCTAATTCTGCCGTTAGATTGTTTTGGGAGAACGAGTATGATTGACAGATCATCACCAGGGAGGGAGGTGTAGGGCAATAGGGTCTTGTATTAGCAAAACATACAGTATGATAATATTACTGTAATAATATGCATGAGTACGATACAATACCTTCACCAAGGATCGGGGTATTCCATAAGAGGTTAGTATTTTCTTGGCATAGGGTTGGGAAAACAATGAAAGGATACAAGACCGGGGCGCCAGTTTTGAATAATTTTAGTGTATCCGACTAGAAAATGTAGAATCTAAGTTGCCTTCTGACCCCTACACACCAACCAAGTAATACGTTGGTGTGGGATGTGATCGACAGTTGCATTGACACACATCAAAAGCAAGAGTTGTGTGCATACGACTCTATAGTGAGACATATTTCTTGGCTGCTACCCTTCATATCCTCATGTTTATTGTGGTTATTTCTATCCCCCACGTCAAAAGTACGCCTGATTCAAACTTCCCCCTCCAACCTAATATGAACAACTCCTGAAACTTGAACACATACTTCGGAGTTTATATCTATCTACCCTTAATCAATCTCGGTTGGCACACACACACACCTGTGTACCCCTTGCTTAGTCTAGCGAGCCCTAATGTGCATTGTGACAGGCCCGAGCTAGCCATAGAACTATTTTCTCAGCCTTAGATAGCTTCCCCGGAACACTTCCTCCGTAAGCCACAGACCTAAAAATGGTGTCTTGGAACTTAGAATGCCGTTCCGCGGGCTTGGGCCTTGGGACGGCTTGGAAGCCACACACCCCACTAATGGATAGTTTCTGCTTGAATCATGGTTCCGTGGACAATCGAGTGCTACTTTACACAGGGTTGGCTAGATATATGGAGTCGTGTGAGTACTCATGTCACCTTTGTTACTGTTTGGGAATTTTCGTGTGATAGATCTACTGGGGAAGGGGGGAGAATAGTAAATCCGATTGTGATGCATAGACTAAAAGAAACTTCGTTTTGCCTAAGAGGTAGTCTGCATCGGCGGGTAAATACTCCTCTGCCGATTATTCCGCAGTCATTTGGAAGTGATACGGAGAATATTCCTTTGCGTTCTCCTTTTTTTGAGGAAATGACCACGAGCCTAGGAGAAATTCCCTAGTGGGGATCCACGCCCCATTCAATGAACTTGGGAAATCGATCGAGGACAAAGGATTTACTGTGGACCTTCGGAAGCTTGTCTGGGGAGACGGACACATCGTCGTTATCAGCTACGTTTCTTCCATAACTCTAGTTAGTAGTCCCCTCCACCAATCACCCATACTCGACCCTCGGACATCCTGGTTCAGATCGCTCTCCTTCCGGCCCAAATTGACAAGTAGACATCGATCGGCGTACTCGACAGCGTGAGCCGCTTCCTAGACTTTTTTCTCAACTTGCTCATAGCTGACGGAAACCTCGTCTGTTCTTGCGATGCCTGCAGTGTCCCCCAGGATATGCTCATTGCTAACGTTGCTGGTGTTATAGTGTCCAGCAGGTGTCCTGCGAGAACCGCCGATCGTTTCAAGGGTGGAAGGGTCAAGACCGGATTTCGAAAGTCTGCCGTACTTGCGACCGCTGCCGTACAATGGCAGTTTGTAGGAACTGTTCCCAGAATTGCTTTCGTCCTTGGTGCCGTACCTAATGCGAACGTAGAGAGGACGGAGGACGGGAATCGTCGAGCACATGATCGTGACGCAACTTTCGGTTGCGGACCAGATGAGCATTGGTACAGTATCATCTTCGAGTTGGGTCAGCTCGACCATCATGACCGGGGAGGAAGAGAACGTACATATGTATTCAGATGCATTCAGGCCTGCCAGAGCTACAGTGCGCACGATACCACATACTCCAGCGCTGGAGTCTTCACGTCAGACGTTGGTCCAAAGCAGCGGGGCTTCCAAGCTTACAAGATTCCAAGACTGAGACCGCAGGCAACGGTGATCTTCTCCTTTTGCTTCATGTTAAGATCCCAGACAATGAACCATGGAAGGATCGCAAAGGAGAAATCGGCAGCGACGAACCACGCTGAAAACAAGTCAGGCTTTTTCATTCATGAACCCACGCTAGGGCCAAGGTCATGCAGCACTCACATCCAACCGTGTAGCCCACCTTGGAAAAGTCGAGCCAACATGTTCCTTCCAGAGTTGGGTTCCAAGTCTTTTGGACTGGAAAACACTGAATCACAACGGTAATGCTGGCGAACAGTGTGATAATAGTGGTGATCGCAAGACAACCCCAGATAAACCAAATCTGAATTTTATTTCGCACAATTCGTAGGAGGAAAGTGCCGACAGCCCATTTGCCAACACCAATGACCATGATACCAGCCACCTGGCTGAACACTTCATACATGGTGGCTTTGGAATAGGTAACTGGATCGCCGACATCCGCAAACAGTTGCCCGACGCCGTAGTGGGTTCCTATGCTGACAAAAATGGTGTAAAGGATGTGAAGTATCTGCCGCATGTCAGCCTGCGCCCAAGTAGCTTTGTATTACTGTTAAGTCTCTCACCAATGCAAGTACGACCATATAATCATCAAGGCCGATCGAATTCAGAATGTGTTTTCGCGTATAGAGCCTTAGCCCTACGAAGACAGCAAAGATCACGACCTCTACCCAAAGGACCGCATTGGTCATGGGCCCTAAACCTCCGTATGCGCTCATGTCGAAGATGGCCACAGTAGATTCACAAAGAAAAGTGAACGGTCATTGAGGTGAGTGAGGGAAAAAAAAAAATTTCCTACTCGAGATGAGAAGATGCAGCCATTCGTGTAGTATTAGTATGGAAGGGTTTATGACCTGTAGATTGAGCGACACCATCTTGCTGCTACTGCTCATCAACCAAAGTACGCCAGGATCTGAGCATGGTGACCTCTAATGTATTAGTATGAAAGGGGATATGACCTGTACTTCAAGCGATATCGTTTTCTGTTGCCGATCTAAAGCCAAAGAACGCCAAGAAATCGGTATAAGTGCCCCGTAGTGTTGCAGGATGGACATAATTACTCAGGACCCGAGTGACAGTGCGCGGCCCAGACGATCCGGCGAACTGACCCCCTGCATGTTGCTATCGGTGCCTAGACTGGTGGTGGCGTGGCCCAGATATGCAGCGATCTTTCCTGAATGGGCTTAACCGCGTACATTAGCACCTGAGCCGGTCCTCGGAAGTGTACAAAATGATGATCCTGCCTACTCTCTTAACCTAGTCCAGAGACGAAGGTTTCCAATTATTTTCCATACTAACGGCTCAGACGCAAGAAATCTTGAACTTTTGTGGGCCATTGGTCGTTAGTGCTGAGGGGTTCACCCCGCTGGCTTCATCCAAGATTCGACACTTGGCCCTAGCGCTGCTAGCCAAATGGCACCGTCGGCCCTTATATACCGTCGCCCACCTCGTCCGCCTGGCCTAGTGCAACGGTGTCATATATTCCTTCCCTGATACCCCGAAATCCCAATCCGAAAGTGCAATATGCGGTCTCAGATCCTAGAAACCATTGCTGCTCTAGATGCAGTTAAACCCGAGGCATATAGCGGCAGCGAAGTGGAACGCTTACAAGTGCGCGCTGCAGCACGGCGACTGCTTGCCCGAGTGGAAACACCCTATGAGCGCGCCTGGGGCTTCTGCTTTGAACACCCTGTTGTCTTTGCCGCTCTGCAAACATGCATTAACGTGGGTCTTTGGAAGTCCTGGACAAACGCTGGAGGGGGTGAGAAGTCGATCCACAGCTTGGTAGAGCTCACCACCCCCACCGTTGATACAAACCTGCTGCGTAAGCCTTGAACCGCATGCTAGCATAATTCCATAAGGCTCACTGAAGGCGTACAGGGCGGCTCTTCCGGTTGCTAGCAGCCTTCAACGTAGTGGAGGAAACCGCAGAAGACACATTCAAACCGACTGCGTTCTCATACGCTATCGGTGATGAGAGCACCAAGGTTCGTGCCTCGCTTCAAGCAGCGTAAGCATGCCTGTCCAGCCATCGGTCTAGATGCTGTCCTGACGTGTTGGCCAGAACACATCAATATATTGCGGCCGGCCATAACTTGCCGGCCTATCTGGCCAAGATCTCTTATAAGGAGCCTACGGACGTTGATCTGAATAATTACACGGACATTGATCCGGACGGTCTCACCTTTTTTGGGCGATTGCAGAAAAGCCCCGCGTATTTCGAAGCCTTCACTGGCCATATGGAGGCCTGGACAGCATGGAAGACCCCATGGACTAAGGTTTACGACACCACCACCCTGCTCGAAGGTGCCAAGCTGGATGATGGCTCTCCATTCGTGGTTGATCTTGGTGGAAACACTGGGACGGACATTTCCCACGTTCTTGCCAAGCATCCAGATATCCCTGCTGGATCGCTCGTTTTGCAAGATCTTCCCGAGGTGATTGCCAATGTTCGGCTCGATGAGAAGATCACAGCTATGGCTCATGACTTTTTCTTACCGCAGCCTGTGACAGGTGAGACACTCCGGACCAGAAATGCAGTCTGCCTACTGATACCAGAACCGCAGGGAGCCGTGCTTACTTTCTGCACGCCGTTCTCCATGACTGGCCGGACGAGAAAGCGAAGCAACTGCTCGTGAACACCAGAAACGCAATGGTAAAGGGCTACTCCAAGCTCCTCATCTACGACATCGTTCTTCCGCCGATAGGAGCAAGCCTCAGCCAAACCACAATGGACGTGGAGATGATGTCGTTGCTGTCAGCTTCCGAGCGGACGCAAGGCGCGTGGGAGAAGCTGTTGGCCAATGCTGGCTTCAAAATTATCAACTTTTGGCCTGATCCTCAGGAGTATGAGATGATTGTCGAAGCCGAGGTCGCATAAATCCCGGACGTCACTCAGCTTGAGAATACAAGTAGAAAGGTAACAAAGGTGCCACATTTCAGATTGAGTTGAATGATAATACCTAATTTGATCTCAAATCCATATAATCAAACAGTTTTTTTTTTGTGGCAAGGGGCTGCACGACCGTTTAATGCACGTACTAGGTCTGTATTATGAAACGTATCACCACGACCTGGGACATAAAATTTAGGCTTCGTAGTGCTCTGGTATGGGTTAGGATGACCGAGCAGGCTAGCGGCAGGTAAGTTCGACTTCATGGGGTCCGGAATGGACGATATCTGCTACATTGGGGGCTGGCTGAAGGTATTAAAATAGATCTTCTATTGCATCTGCCTTGAGACAATAAAGACATTCATCGACAATCGTGGTATAAGCATAAACATGCGGATTTAGTGGCCCAAGTTCTTAGGGGCCGGGGTGGCTGGTCCCTCGGGGGTGACGTATGCCTATCATACAATCAGCTACCCTCCTCAGCAAGTTCCTAATGTGAAAATCACGTACCTTGGACATTCCACCGTCAACAACAAAATCGTGACCGTTGACGAAGCTGCTTTCGTCGCTGGCAAGGAAAACCACTGCGTGCGCCTGTTCAATGGCCTCGCCGAATCGTCCAGTCGGGAAGTGCACCTCACGACGGAACCGCTTAGGTTTATCATCACCCAGCCAGTCTTGTAGGAGCGGGGTACTGTCATCGTCAGCATGATAATCAGTCAAGCTCAATGCTAATGCAAAACGTACTTTAGCGGGGCGGGGCACAGTGCATTGAAACGGAAGCCCTCCCGAGCATGCACAATGGCGAGTTCACGGGTCAGGGCCAGCACCGCACCTTTGCTGGCAGTGTAAGCCAGCTGAGGAGTGGCACTACCCACCAAGGCAACTACACTAGCAGTGTTGATGATGCTACCCTTAGTCTTCTTATGACGACGGAGACTAAGCACGGCATGCTTGCATCCAAACCACACTCCCTTCACGTTGATATTCTGTGTCAAATCCCAGATCTTCTCCGGTGTGTCCACGGCGTCGGCATCGTCAGCGTGCATGATACCAGCGTTATTGAAGATCACGTCGGTTCCGCCCCAGCTGTCTTGAGACTCTACCATCGCTTGTACCTCGGACTCCTTGGAAACATCGCATTTAAAGGTTTCGACTCGGGAGGCATTGGGGACAACCTCCTTCACTTTGGCGAGAGCTTTCTCAAGGGCAGGGGCAGATATATCGGCCATGAGGACATTGGCACCTTCGCGGGCGAAGAGGATGCTAGTCTCGAGGCCGATCCCTCTACGCCATTTTAGCATGTTGCTGCAAGGAATTGCCTCTATGGAACTCACCCTGCAGCACCAGTAATTATAGCATTCTTTCCTTGAAGACGACCTACTGGAGTAGCCATTGTATCGTATTCCTGCCCGCAAGCAATGATCAGTGGTTATCCTCGGCGGGAAGAACGGACTCTGGGATGATGTCATAAGCAAGATGTAAGACTCACGTTCAGGGTGATAACCTTGGGGATAAAAGTTCCAATCCGACTATGGTTAATTGAGAAGAATGAGTCAAGATTAATTAGCACAAGATAAGTTTATATCAATTGAAGAAGCAGTTGGTGACAACACACCACCAAACGCGGGGCACGTTATTATCTAAGCTACGGCGGAAACCGTGGAATCAAGTGACATCAAGTGACTTAAAAGATAAACCGATAACGAGTGACGGAAGAGTAGAGGATTCTCCTGGTCTCATCTTCCTCCTCATTTTTCTTCCAGGACGACGCATTTGAAGAGCGCAATGTCCCAACCAGGCTTTCCGGTACTAGGCCCCTCCATACGAGCAAACATTATTAAAATGAAGATGGACAAGGAGGAAGGACGCAGTTTGTCTCCTGGGGGGTCATTTGATCCGCATGACGATAAGGCGCCTGATAACAGATGACCCGCTGTGGCTCCTTCGCTCCGCCTGCATCCTTCTTGAACCGTGATTCTCCCTTGTTTGTAGGTTCATGCCTTCCAACTATTTCCAATCCTAAATTCGAACTGACGTCGCTTCACTGCTAGCACCAATATGAACTCTATAGCCTCCCCCGAAGTTACACTCGACAATGTCGCCGAGGTCCTGCAGCAAGATACTCGTGTCAAGTTAGCCGGTGTGGATGTCGATGGGATGCTTCGCGGGAAGCTTGTCTCCAAGAAAAAGTTCCTTTCGATCGTGTCGGAAGGCTTTGGATTCTGCTCAGTGATCTTCGGGTGGGACATGCAGGATCAGACGTACTTCAAGGAATTAGCCATTAGTAACAAGGAGAACGGTTATCGGGATATTGTTGCCATTCCAGATCTGAGCAGCTTCCGTCGCATTCCCTGGGAGAACAACGTCCCTTTCTTCCTCGTTAGCTTTCACGATCCCGATACTCGGGAGCCTGTGTGTGCATGCCCTCGAGGTCTGGTCAAGACCGCACTCGGCAAGGCTGAGGCGGCCGGGTATCAGGCGATGGCAGGGGGTGCGTAAACTCGCCGCATCCTCCTCTGAGATATGGACATGCTGACTTCTCTCAGCGGAGTATGAGTTTTATCAATTTCGTGTACCGGAATCCCATCCATCTCCCGAGCGCAGCGCGTCTGCCACAGCGACCTTCTTGAGAGAGAACCCCGTTGAAGCATTACCTTCCCTGACCGAGGGAATGTTCGGGTACAGTTTGACCCGCCCTATTCATAACCAAGATTATTATTACGGCATTTTCGACGCGTGCGAGCAATTTAAATGCGACATTGAAGGATGGCATACAGAAAGCGGACCCGGGGTGTTTGAAGCTGTGAGTGCTCTACCCGGGGTTTGACCCGCCAATGTTGACGTTGTTAGGCGCTACAATTCGGAGAAGCCAGGGAGATGGCCGACAAAGCAGGACTATTCAAGTAAGCCAAATATGGGATCGATTTGACCCATAGTAACCGCGACACAGATATGTTGTCAAATCGATTGGAACCAAGCACGGTATCACACCCACTTTCATGGCAAAACCCCGGCAGGGATTGCCTGGTAATAGCGGCCACATGCATATCTCGCTCATTACCAGTGATGGAAAGAACGCTTTTCTGCGCGATACCCCGGACCCATCTCCACCGTACCCCGATGTCGCCCATCTTTCCGACTTGGGCAGATATTTCTTAGCGGGCGTTCTCACGGGTCTCCCGGATATTATGCCTATGTTTGCGCCGACCGTCAACTCCTACAAACGGCTGGTGGAGAATTTCTGGGCCCCCGTCACGGTTTCGTGGGGCCTGGAGCATCGGGCGGCCTCTATTCGATTGATTACACCGCCGACAGGTAGCCCCAAGGCCACCCGGTTAGAAGTGCGAGTTCCTGGAGCAGATGCCAATCCGCATTATGTCATGGCGGCTATTGTCGCATTGGGATGGCGGGGCGTGGAGAAGAAGCTGGAGATCCCTGTACCCCCGCTATCTAAAGGTGAGGAGATGGGGGGTGGTAGCGACCAGGGGGTGCGTCTGGCCAAGTCCCTCAAGGAAGCGGTCGCCGCGTTTACGCGCGAGGGCAGTGTCGCACGGGAGGTGTTTGGGGATGCTTTCGTCGACCATTTTGGTGGCACCCGGGAACATGAAGTGCGCCTGTGGGAAGAAGCCGTCACTGATTGGTATGTTTGGATGTTTGCATTCATCTAGTCTTCGTTGTGTACTGACCATGCTCTAGGGAGGTGCGGCGATATATTGAAACGGTCTAGACTTTGCCCCGGCTGGCGGATATGACATAGAGTTATTAGATACCAATGAATTCATTTTTAGCGTTGTCTGTGCTCTGCAGTGCTCAGAACTCTCGGGTAGACTTTTGGATCAACCAGAGCACAGCAGTAGTTGACTGCCCGTGTCATCCCGATCCTTGGACTCCCGACAACCGGGAGTGAAGATGATGATTCACAAGCTACATCACATGCTCAGAGGATCACATGCCATTCTCTCACGTTGGGCGAAAGGGACAAACAATTAATTTCAGTCCCAAACGCAGGTTACTCTGTAGTATGGTAGTATGGTAGTATAGTTGAGGACTACTTCCTGTCACCTGAGCCTTGACTTCTGGTCTGGTTGTAGTCAAGTTATCCATTGCGTTGGGAGACCGAACCGAAAGATATATTTTCATGCCGCGACTCCGTCCTATAAGGTTGGTGCAATTAGGTTATCTTATCGTAGCGCGACCACATCGGAATCAATCGGTAGCCTGAGGCAAGCCTTGCTTTTCGTGGTTGCAACAAATCATGGGTGACGTTCGGGAGGGCCGCGGTTGTGAGTGGAAGACTCGGATGTGCGGGGAGTTTATTATCTTTTTCCCTCGGTAGTTCCTGCGCGCTGGAAGTGAGTCGCCTGGAGAACAGTACCAAACCGTACGGTCGTGGTCATGATCGACTGGACTCGGTAAGGACTGATAGCTAAGGAAGCCATAGAATTGGCACATCCCGTAGATTCTGGCCGGTCGCAGTAGCGAGGCGGATATAAGTATAGAGTAGTAGTCATCTTGTGTTCTAATATCGATAAAGAGCTTATCGGTATACGGCGGCCCCCGGGTGAGGGGATCGAAACGGACGTGGGGAATTATCGGCCGAGAGCGACAGACACTGTCAGACAGCTCTGGTCGTGTATCGGTATTACCGGGACCCATACCGACTCTCCGCGGCAAAGTCACGGGATGCAGCTGGCAGCTCTCCAAACGGCATCCCGATTAGGAAGTTTCCGCTCATCCTGGCCGATATCGAATGCGACGGTGGCCAGTGACTGGTTCCGGGCCTATCGTAGGTCCATTCACCATTGAATGGGCACTCCAGAGAGACTGGAGCATGCTGAAATACAATACGCTGCGTTACCGTTCCAATTGGAGCTCCTGCCTATCAGGTTGAACCCAGAGTTCCCATCTAGCCGCGGTTGTCCATGGTCCTGACGTATGCTCCATTGCTCCAGCCGATTGTACTTATATACCCGTTGGTCGTACCTCGGACGCTTCTTGTTTCTCTTTGTCTGTTTCCAATTTGTCTTCGTACACTTGTTCGTTAGCTATAAACGAAAACAAGAACAAGGATTACCATCATGAGCCAAATCGACGTGCAGCTCAAGGATGTCGCCATCCTGGGCGCTATCCCCAACGATGCCCGCAAGATCCTCACTAAGGAAGCCTGCACCTTCCTGGCTATCCTCCACCGTACCTTCAACCCAACCCGTAAAGCTCTTCTCCAGCGCCGCATCGATCGCCAGGCTGAGCTCGACAAGGGTAACCTCCTCGACTTCCTCCCCGAGACTAAGCACATCCGTGAGAATGACGCCTGGAAGGGTGCTCCTCCCGCGCCCGGTCTCGTCGACCGTCGCGTGGAAATTACCGGCCCAACGGACCGCAAGATGGTGGTGAATGCGCTGAACGCCGACGTTTGGACCTACATGGCGGATTTTGAGGGTATGTTCTTCGCGGGGAGGTCTTGGTGGAAGCCACGCTGACGGTGGAAATAGACTCCAGCGCCCCAACCTGGGAGAACATGATTAACGGTCAGGTCAACCTGTACGATGCTATCCGTCGCCAGATCGACTTCAAGCAGGGCAACAAGGAATACAAGCTGCGCACCGACCGCACTCTCCCCACTTTGATCGCCCGTGCCCGTGGCTGGCACCTGGACGAGAAGCACTTCACCGTCAACGGAGAGCCGATCTCCGGTAGTTTGTTCGATTTCGGTCTCTACTTCTTCCACAACGCCAAGGAGCTGGTGGCTCGCGGGTTCGGACCGTACTTCTATCTTCCCAAGATGGAGTCCCACCTGGAGGCCAGACTGTGGAACGACGTCTTCAACCTGGCTCAGGACTACATCGGCATGCCTCGCGGAACCATCCGTGGTACTGTCTTGATCGAGACCATCAGCGCTGCCTTCGAGATGGACGAGATCATCTACGAACTCCGTGAACACAGCTCCGGACTGAACTGCGGTCGCTGGGACTACATCTTCTCCTTCATCAAGAAATTCCGCAAGCACCCCAACTTTGTCCTTCCCGATCGCTCGGACGTTACCATGACTGTGCCTTTCATGGATGCCTATGTGAGACTGTTGATCAAGACCTGCCACCGTCGTGGTGTTCACGCTATGGTAAGCATCCCTAGTAACGATCATCTATGTGCGAAGCATGCTAATTGAAACAGGGTGGTATGGCCGCTCAGATCCCCATCAAGGACAACCAGGCTGCCAACGACAAGGCTATGGAGAGCGTGCGCGCCGATAAGCTGCGTGAGGTTCGTGCTGGCCACGACGGTACCTGGGTAGCGCACCCGGCTCTCGCCGCGATCGCCTCCGAAGTATTCAACAAGCACATGCCCACTCCCAACCAGCTCTTCGTGCGCCGCGAGGACGCTCATGTCACCGCCAACGATCTCTTGAACACCAACGTGCCCGGCAAGATCACCGAGGAGGGCATCCGGAAGAACCTGAACATCGGTCTTTCGTACATGGAGGGCTGGCTCCGTGGAGTCGGATGTATTCCGATCAACTACCTGATGGTGCGTTTCCTTCCCCTTCTCTGCAGGCTCTCAAGGAATATCAGACTAACCCCGAATAGGAGGACGCTGCCACCGCCGAAGTGTCTCGCAGTCAGCTCTGGCAATGGACCCACCACGGCGTCACCACGTCCGAGGGCAAGAAGGTCGACAAGGCCTATGCGCTGCGCTTGTTGAAGGAGCAGGCCGACAGCCTGGCGGAGAAGGGCCCCAAGGGCAACAAGTACCAGCTGGCAGCCCGCTACTTCGCCGGCCAGGTGACTGGCGAGGATTACGCGGATTTCTTGACCAGCTTGCTGTACAACGAGATCTCGTCAGCGGGCCAGGTGTCCAAGCTGTAATTGCGTTATGATTTGTATGATTATACCATGGAGCATTTGATTTCTTAATTTCCTTTGTCTAGTTCCAAACAAGCATCAAGGTTTTGTGCATCAGTGTTGTTAGTCATGCCCTTTCTGGGGCCTATCAGTATGATGGTTTTAGGGCCTAGTTCAATCATAAATTAACTTGAACAATATGAGAAGGAGCAGCTGGACATGAGAAATGGCAAGTAGTCTGAACGATTGGGATAATAACTTAGTACACATACTAGCTAGCGTACTTGCATTTATCATAACAGCATTTTCGGGCCTTGTTGTTTAGGGGCTGTTGAACTAAGCTATGTACCTCTATAGCGTCACGATTATGATAGTACGATCCACCGCTAACACAGCAGATAAAATGTATAGTCAACGATGAGGATAAATCAGAACAACTTTTAAAGTCACCCTTCCAACCTGACCCTTTTAAAACCCACGGCAAAGCCTCCCATCCTCCTGTTCCGTCCATGCCTCGCTCCCAACACACTGACGACACTAGAGCAGACCCTCTGGATCATACTTCTGCTTAATCGCTTGAAGTCTAGCATAGCCAGAGCCGAAAAAGGACCACTGCCAATTTGGCTCGTTTGCGTTGGCCTACTACATAAGAAATATACTCATCAGCGACGAATGCATACTCAAGTAGACAGACTCCTTGCAGTCTCACCTCATTGAAGTAAGCACCCGTATCAGGCGCAAGCTGTCGCAATGCATAGCCTTTCTGGCAGGTCATATTGTGAATTACCTGGTCAGCCACAGCGGTAGGTAGGGATTCGTCCCAGCTTTGCGATGTGATGATATGCACAACAGCGTCTCTCCAGGCAGGGTTAAGTGCATTGTCAACGGGCATCCTGCTACCGGTCATGGTTCCGGAAATCGAAGGAGTCGAGACTCCATCCCATGTGGTTGTCATCTCAGCTGGAAGTCTTGAAAAAAAAAAAAAAAAAAAAAAAAAAAAAAAAAAAAAAAAAAAAAAAAAAAAAAAAAAGGGGAAAAAAAAAAAAAAAAAAAAAAAAAAAAAAAAGGGGGAGTGAAAGCAATACTCACATTCAGAGGCCCCAAGGTGATCGCCTCTAGAGTCTCCGCAAATAATTCAATATCATTCTTGACTACCCTCCGTGGGATGAACCGCAATGTTCTGGCGCTTTGCTTCGTGCCTACTGATTCGATAGCGGGCATCATCTTGACAAGTTCATACCATGGCAATGTGGCAACCGGCGTGAGGCTCGACGTAGCTGTTTCATTGGAAGCCTCAAAGAACTTTCGCATAGGTGCAAGAAGGTCCCCCACTGTTCTATTATCGGCGTCATATAGGAGCAAAGCACCCTGCAGTGCCAGGGATCCTCCACCCATCGAATAGTACTTATGAACGCCGGCATCTTGCAGGAGGTCCAAGTACCCGTGGGCCCGGGCAACAAATCTATACTAGCTCGAAGGACGAGTTCCACTCTTGGCTGACATTGACAGATCGACGAGGATCACCGATGGCATTGGGTACGCTTTCAAGGTAACACTTAGTATAACCCCAAATGTCCCTCCACCGCCTCCGCGGATGGCCCAGAAGAGATCTTTGTTCTGACAAGCATTGGCCGTTACCAATTCGCCTCTGGGTGTTACCATGACGGCCTCGATGATATTGTCTGCTCCCATGCCATAGTTGCCGGTGGCCAGGCCATGGCCACCACCCGTCGCCCATCCCACGACACCAACATCCTATTCATTCTTGTGAGCTTGGATTCGGGGCACTAGCAGTTTATCTTGCAGCATTGGTTCCGCCCACCGCGATGGCGTTGTGCTTCACCATTGCTTTAAATAGCTCTCCATCTTGTACACCTGCGCCGAGGGTGACTGTCATTTGACTTTCGTTTACCCCTGTTTGAGTCTCGCATGGCTGAGGCTGGAACGTCTCATGGAATTGGATTTGTTTCAGGTTATGAGTCCAGATGCTACAAAAACGTTAACCAGGTGTTGTTCTCTCATTGAATGGATGGGCCTCACGCACGACAAGCTTCCATGGGCCGTGCTAGAAGTAAGTCAAGTTAGCCAACCTGAATCAAACAGCAAGGAAAGACATCAAAATAGAATATCCCAATGTACAGACTACAATAAACGTACCTTCTTTCAAAACCATGTCCAGTGTTTTTGATATTCAACCGCAAGTTCCACCGCCGTGCAAACTTCAGCGCAGCCTGCACATGACCAGCCTCCGTTGCGTTCACGACATACGGGGGATAGTTTCCAATTGAACAGCCCTTCTCCCCGGCCCGGGTATTACCTGCGAGACTCGTTCCATTCGGATATATGGAGAGAGGGATCATTTGCGCATTTGCATTCTAGCGCGGTGATTAGCTGGGAAGCTGCCAGGATCAGAGCGACGAGGTGAAACATGATGGTTGAAGCATTCTTCATGGGATAAGGGGGGCTTATTTATGCTCGAATACGTCTGCCTGAGAATGATCGATACCACCCCTGACCTCATACATATTATGGAATTATTTTCCCACAGACCCATCTTCTTGTCACTTGGATACTATACATCTCCTTGGGTCGAAGCGGGCCTTCGCGAGAAAGGGCCCGAATACGAATAAATTCCATATCCGGCAACCCCACCATCAAGCCCTAAGCATAAGTTGAATACCGTGTCAAAGCTCAGGCGTCATCAGAGAATGATCGTGTATCCCGCTCGCTCTGTGCTTATTTCCCGGATTGGAAGTTAATAGCATGTTATACGTGAACGCTTGCTGCTGATTTATACATATAAGATCGCAAACTGTCACCACACACCAATGATCACACCGGCGATCTCTATTGGCTATTCTACATGTAATCCTTTCCAAGCCTTGGACCTGGTTCACAACATTCCTCCTCTCCAGCCCTTTTCCGTGAGATGTCCTGTTTATAGACGATGAAGGTAAGGGCAGACTCCAAACGGACAACACGTTCCCGCCGAGCTCATCGGAAATCCCGTAACGGCCGGCCAGAACATGTGATGGGCGAGATCTCCCGGCCCTTCAATGAGCAACAACGGGTCTGGCTGCAGTGGCCGGCTGATCAGATTGGATGGTCTCCATCAGGTACGGTGGATGATGCTCAGTGTGTCAGGGGTACTCATCCAGGATCCGCTTGAAGTACGTGGATTGTTCGAATCGCTGAGGTTCTTGGACTGGCCGTACAACTCGGCTGTTCGAACAATCTAAGCAATTCATACAAGATAATTGAAGCTTTCTTGTCAAGCTGAGCTCTCGTGCAAGCGATCAGCTATCGCCCCTGCTGTGGCTGAGTTTCAGAAGGCCGAAGGAGAGACAGCGCTTGTAGCTCGGCGCGCTCAACAATAGCAAGAGGCAAGGAGCCTCAGGCAGAGAATAGAACCCGAACAGCCTAACAACTAGCTATCAGGAAAGCCCAAGAACAAACTAAACAGGTTAAGGATCCCCAGATGAGAGGCAAAAAGGCCTCGTGAGGATGATCCTAGGAGGGCTCCGCAAAGCGTTGGCCGACGCTCAACAACAACACTGCCATGTTATCCAAAAGAAAGAAAGGTCAGCGAATAAATACCAGCAAGAAAAGCGGGATTAATTGTTTTTGAACAAAACTCCAGCTGTTGTTCGACGACGGTCTAAAATGCAATGGGCATAGTAGTTGTTGTTAGTATTCAGGGTCCAACATGCACCAGACCTAATTCGCCCACACTAGGACAAAACGAGTTAAGGCTGCGGATGGCCCAAACGAGTAAGCGTGATGTCTGCGACGCTTGCAACTGCTTTCCCCGGCTTTTCTCTTCTTCTTTTCCCTGATACCTTCCTGATGCTGTCCACAAGAATACCGGACATCTTCGTCGAATAAAATTACACATCGCAATCAAACGAACCAAGCGGATCGGCCCTCATGGCGTAAGCTCCGACATGTCCGCCCTCTGATTGGCCCATTCCGGGTCTGGCCCGTTTGGCGGCAATGAACAATCATTACTATTTCTGGTGGCACACACTGCACGCCGTTTCTCCTTTTCCTCGAACATGTGGAGGTGAAGCACCGACGACTGGTTAACGCTGGCTTCCTTTTTTCTTCCTACACTCGTTTCTCCATGCTTCCTCGCGCGTAAACATCATGCCGCCTCCCCCTTTCCGGGACACACCATCATCCGCCAAGAGCTCTCAGCGGTACACTCCGTTGCACGAATCGATCCCCGAAGAGTTCAACAACAAAGATTACGGCTCGGACGCCGACTCCCTTCCCCTCTCCGACCCATCTGATGGCGAGGATGACTCCGACATTAAACTCCGTCGTGTAGACCGCAACGGAGCCCGCAGTAATGCAACGACCGCCTATGTGCCCGTCGTGCGAAAGTCTGGCGACGTCGAAGCGTACCTAGACAGTATAACCGAGGCAGAGCAGGAGCTACTCTCGGCAAGTCGACAGTATGACGTCGAGGATGACGATGACGACGATTCGGACGGATACGGGATGAAAAGGGGGCAGAGGCAGGGGTTACTACAACGGACAGGCGGTCGTCGGACAGGTTGGCGGACGGTCTATTACTCGAGATATTGGTGGCGCATATTCATTGGTGTTGTGGTGGTCTTGGTCCTCCTGGTGTTGATATTCCTGAGCCTTGCGAGATCGAGGCGGGCTGGGGAAGACTTGGATTATGTACGTTGTCTTACTGTCGTCTATAAAAGAATCGCGGGGATAAGGTGGGGTGTGCTGACAAGTCACAGTCAATGATTCCGGCGGAATCATGGTTTCCTACTCCACGGGGCGGGACCTTAAAGGAATGGGAAACGGATTATCAGAAAGCGGCGTTGTTGGTTGGGAGCATGACACTCATTGAGAAAGTCAATATCACGACTGGGACCGGTTGGAAAATGGGCCTCTGTGTGGGTAATACTGGTATGTCTGTTGTATGCCCTTGTGTGCGCAACCGTTTACTTACATGCGTAGGGCCGGCTGAATCCGTTCACTTCCCGTCTCTGTGTTTACAAGACGGTCCGATGGGTATACGATACGCAGATCACATCTCAGCCTTTCCTCCTGGTTTGACTACGGGAGCCACCTGGAATCGCGACCTAATCCGGGAACGAGGGATTGCGCTAGGGCTGGAGGCACGCTTGAAGGGCGTCAATGTCCTTCTCGGACCGTCAATGGGACCTCTCGGAATGATGCCCGCAGGTGGACGAAACTGGGAGGCTTTCGGTTCTGACCCCGTGCTGCAAGGAGTTGCTGCGGCGGAGACGATCAAGGGCATTCAGAGTAACGGCGTCATGGCTACCGCCAAACACTTCGTGATGAACGAGCAGGAACACTTTCGACAACCCTTTGAGTGGGGAATTCCGACCGCGCTTTCATCGAACGTGGGCGATCGTGCCTTGCACGAGGTGTTTGCTTGGCCTTTTGCGGAGAGTATCCGCGCGGATGTGGCCAGCGTCATGTGCGCATACCAGATGGTGAACAACAGCCACGCCTGCGAAAACAGCAAACTCCTGAACGGTATCCTCAAGGACGAGCTGGGGTTCCAGGGGTTTGTGCAGTCCGACTGGCTGGCTCAGCGATCGGGTATCAACAGTGCTTTGGGTGGGCTCGACATGAGCATGCCCGGCGACGGCTTGCACTGGGCGGACGGAAAGTCCCTGTGGGGCAGCGAACTGACGCGTGCTGTGTTGAACATGTCCGTCCCCATGGAGCGATTGAATGACATGGTGACCCGTATCGTGGCGGCATGGTACCATCTCGGACAGGACCAATGGGAACGGCCACCGCCAGACGGTGAGGGCGGTCCCAACTTTTCCTCCTGGACGGATGACCAGACCGGTTGGTGGCAACACGCTAGCGCCGAGGCAAACGATCTGGATGGGGGATGGGGTGTTGTTAACAAGTACGTGGATGCTGGCGCAGGACACGGGGAGATCGCAAGAAAAGTAGCAGCAGAAGGCATCGTCCTCGTGAAGAACAACAACAACACCCTGCCGCTGTCCCGTAGCCCACCGAGTCCTTATCGCATTGGGATCTATGGTGACGATGCTGGCCCGGCCTTAGGACCGAATGCGTGCCCCGATCGTGGATGCAGTCAGGGGACATTGGCGTCGGGTTGGGGCAGTGGGACTGTGGAATTTCCTTTCCTTGTGAGTCCCCTGGAGGCTTTGCAGGATGCCTGGGAAGCCGACGTCGACATAACTCCATATCTGCAGAATATGGTGATGCCAGTGGATGTCCAAGATAAGGACTTGTGCCTGGTGTTTGCCAACGCAAACTCCGGCGAGGGATATATCTCTGCTGGGGGAATTCACGGTGATCGGAATGATTTATTCTTGCAGAAGGGAGGCGACACCCTGATTCAAGCTGTGGCTAAAAACTGTCGAGGCCCGACCGTGGTGGTTATTCACGCCGTTGGTCCGGTCGTCGTGGAGTCATGGATTGATCTCCCAGGCGTGGATGCGGTGCTCTTTGCCCATCTGCCCGGTCAAGAAAGCGGCAATGCACTCGTGGATGTTCTGTTTGGCGACGTTGACGCGAGCGGACGACTACCGTATACGGTTGGAAAGAGCCTGGAGGACTACGGGCCAGGGGCACAGGTGCTATATGAGAACAATGCGACGGTGCCGCAAGTTGACTTCTTAGACGCACTGTACATTGACTACCGGTACTTCGACAAATTTAACATTACGCCACGATATGAGTTCGGCTTCGGTCTCTCCTACACCACTTTCGAGCTGTCGAGGCTGTCCGTTAAGTCGATGCAATGGAAGTCCCGACTGCCAAAGTCGCGACCGCAAGACCACGCTTCCCCGCCAAAGTATGATACTCATCCACCCGTAAACGAAAACGTGCTTTTCCCGGAAGGTTTCCATGCGCTGGCCAAGTATATCTACTCGTATCTTCCATCTCTGGACGGCACGGCCGCAGCAAATTATACACACTATCCCGACGGTTACAACTTACCACAACAGCCGTCCGAAGCAGGAGGCGGCCTTGGTGGAAATCCGTCACTATATGAAGAAATGGCTAAAGTGCAAGTGCAAGTCGCTAACACAGGCACCCGCGCTGGTCAGACCGTGGTCCAAGCCTACGTGTCATTCCCATCGGACGTGGTGGAAGACGGCGACTTGGTAGAGGTGCCAGTGGACGACAAGGGGGAGAGGGTGACCTTTGTGCGCGATAAAGAACGGGTCGAATTTCCGGACAGGGTTCTGCGTAACTTCACCAAGGTTGCCCTACAGCCGGGCGAGAAGAAGACGGTTGCAATGACTCTAAACCGCAAGGATCTCAGTTACTGGAGTGCTCGCCAACAGAATTGGGTCATGCCGGACGGCGACTTTCAAATCTGGGTCGGGCAGAGCTCGCGGGATCTGCCCCTGCACGGCAAGTACTGAAACTGATGCCCCTTCGTTTATACTCTGTACAGTAAGCGTCATGCGTTGTAATTAACCTTCTTTCTGCACATAGAATCTATCATAGATATTCACATATATCAGTGCTTGCCCTTGTCCCGTGCAGTTCTGTCTCTCTTATTTATTCTTCCTCTTAAACCCCCGCCTCTCGATTCAGTCCTTTGCATTCTGTATTGAACAAACCCAGTGACAGAGGCACCAGCAGTGTGTATTCTGTACCCGTTGTCCCGCTACTGCCCAATCCTCATAGTCTACCAATCTTCTACGTCACTCCTGCTAGCGCCCACAAGAGAGTCCTCTTGTTCTTCCTCTGGCTGTCCCTGTGACACTATCTCGGCCGCTCTTGCCTAGTGATTTAGGTATGGAGTTAGCCGCGAATACAGCCTTTGGGGGTCATTTCACAGTCCGCCGCCTGGAAGGAAACATGATCGAATCAGGAATCTTACCAAGTTCTTGGCATTTGCATCCCGAAGCTCGGGCTCCAAAGTCAATTGCCTTACTGGACTCATATCATCTTCCATTCGCTGTCGGATATCGTTGGTGCTCTCCGCGACAGCCTCTTTAATCATCTTGCGGTCAACAGGTGTTTCCATCGGAAGATTTTCTGAGTCAGAGAGTAGCCGTCTCAACTCCTCAACACGTTTTTGGGACGTTTCTGTGATTGTGTCCGTTTTCTAGCGTGTGGAAGGCCAACAGGTTAGCCTTGATGAAGTCCAAGCTACATGCGGGAGTCAGGGAGCAAGTGCAGAGGTATCACCAACCCTTTGAATAATTTCATTTATTCCAACCTGTGCAGACGCCGAATAATTGCTGAGCTCCTTCTTTTTCTCTTCTACATGGCCGGGGCTACTACTCAGTTGGCCCATCTCGTCGACCAGTTTGAGCCCATTCAAAATGTGATTGGAATCGACCTGGATATACATGTCGGAGATGTCCTCGTACAGAGAAAAGCTAGCGCCAACTTCCATTGCATATTGGAAGATCACCTGTTGATTGTTAGCTCGGTGCAACAGGTTTCCTTTTTCAACTGCCAAGTTTCTTACGTTGATACGTTGTCGGCTGAGCAGTTTCTGTTTGGCGAGCGCTTCTGACGCGGATCCTATCAACTTCGTAAAGGGCTGCACATGGCTTTTGTTTGCCGAGTCTATTAGGGTGGCGACGGTGCTGAAGAAGATCGTCAACCTTGTGACCTGGTCCTTAAGTTGGATCAAGAAGGCAATGCAGTTACGCAACACCCTTCGGACCTCTTCCTAGAACTGGGTTAGAGTCCGCCATCCGAACAAGCTGATCTGGCTTCTTACCAATGTTGTTTTCTGTGTATTAAGGGATGCGATTTCCTGCCGAATCGAGGCTAGTTCATTCTGGAGCTTGAGGCATTCTTGAGTCATCTTGTGGGCCGTCTCCTGTTGGGCAGTGAGAGCATCCAGAGAGATCTGAAGTTTCACTCGGGCACTATCAATAGTCTGCTGGCAGAGGTCTTTTCTTGCCTCGATTTCCTTTGCCGAGTTGTCCGGGATCTTAAACAGTAATGGCGGGCGGCTCACAGCCTGCTGGTTTGAGGCCATCGATTTCGCATGCAGTTTCTGGGCCTTGGAAAGCAGGTCGGCAACGGTCTCCCTCCATTTCTTCACTTCAGGGGAGTCATCATCAAGTGCCGTCCAATTGACATCTCGAGACTTTTTACGTTCAGCGTCAAGCTCAGTTGCGACCTAGAGAGTTAAAATTAGCACCAAAGACATCAATACCGGGTAGGAGGGGCCCTCTTACTTTCAAGGCGTTGCTGAGAATGACCCGCAACTTCTTTCCGGTAGAAGTACGCTCATCCCGGGCCTTCTCGATATCTGTGTCCGTGCGTTGCAACAGCAGCTTTACCTGCTCCAGGTTCATACTTGGTTTCTTGGTTTCCTTTCCTTGGGTCTTCTCCGTCTTCCCCTCCGTTGTCTCTTTCTTCTCCCCCCCGTTTTCCGGGGCCTTCTCTTCTTTGCGTTCCCCACTAGCACCAGTTATTAAACTCCAGTCGATTTTCTTCTCGAGGAGCTCATTAAAGGCCTCTAGGCACTGGAGGACTAATGGGCATCGCACAAATGCTGGGTCAGTTTTCGCTGGAGACTTTTTCTGCGTCTGCCCACTTTTCTCGCTACTTTTCTCGTCCGCTGTGGCTGAGGCTGGCTTGGTACCTGATTCCTTGTTCGCTGAAATAACGTCTTTGACTGTTTCGGCGCCGAGCCCCAGTGCAGACGCTGGCGATGCATATGCAGCTGCTGCAGTCGCTGCAATCTTCACAACGCTAGCTGTAAGTTCTGCACCCATCATGATAAGTTGCTGTTTCATCAGGTCGTCTCTGCGATATTATTAGCGTCACTAGGCATATCTGCTCGTAACGGCGTGACATACTTGGTGGGGAATTCGTCCAAGGTACGATTGTACGAGTCTAACGCATCCTTCACCTTCTTCTCCTGTGCCTGTACTCTTTCGGTCTGCTGTTTGACAAGCTTGTCCTTCTCTTCTTTGTATATGGCGTTTGCCTTTTCTTTGCTGAGTATATTCTGAAACAACGCTGCATCTGCGCTCTCCTTGTCCTGGCAGGCTTCATGCAACTCCATGATATAATTCAGCCACATGGCAAACTCCTTTTCCATCGCTACAGAGTCCTCGACGCAGCTGGAGGCAAGTGTCTTCAACGTATCTAACATTATCTCTGTCGTGTCGGGTTCGAAGGGCTCATTTAGCAGATACGACGTGATTTTCTTGATCTACGCCGAGTTAGGTCTCGTCAACAGCCGGGATTCTGGATTATCATCTCCTCTCACCGTTGAAATCGCTTCCCTAGAATTTACACGGATTTTGGTCATGCTATTACGCGCCGTCATGAAAGCCAAGCGGCCTTGGTTGGACACCTCGACCAAATGTGCGGTGAGATGCGAATACCTATTTTTAAAAAATAAGAACTTGTCAACAAAGCATGTTCCATTCATCTCGTGTATTACAAGACCTACCCTTTAAGATATTTAAATCCTCCTACCGGAGGCTTGATTGTGGTGGTCCGCGCAATCTCGCTTGAGGCTACCAGGCAGCACGAGCCTAGAAGCTCAAGACAGACAGGCGCTGCACTGAGCATGCCTGCCCAGTTATGGTCGACCCAGGCTTTCAGCTTGACATCTGTTCCAACTGCGGTCAGGCCTGATCGTGGACTCTCTTTTATTTTCATTTTTCCTTTCTCCAATTTCGGGGGGTCGATCACTGACCATTGATGTAGTCGCGTGCTGTACCAGGCTTCGCCGCAGCGTAGACGAGCTGACCCGCAGTAATGGAAGTGCTAGGCGTAACAGTCATGGCTATTTAGCGGTGCGAGGTATAAGTAGCTTGGGATTGTAGATACGCCTTTATGGATGAGATTCGTTCAAAGAAGGGGCAATTGTCGAGGCGATTGTTTTCAACAAGGCGAAGAAGATTCCTTGCTCTCCTTTTTAAATGTGAGTTAAATAAATCCCCCGATCACGGAATTCTGTTAGATAGCCTACTGTTCGATTATAGCAATTGGGCTCCACCAATCTTCTCTCTGGTACCGTTACATTGTTGACATGGTGGTTCTTGCATCCAATGATGTCTACCCACCACGATCAACGACCCGTAGCCGTATGGCTGGCTGAAGATTACATTTTCCCAACAAATGAAAACACCATACTCCGAAGCATCTGCATCTCGTCGATCGTTCAGCTCGCTATCAAGCGGTCCCGGGCTACTATGTAGAGTTGTTGGTGGTGGGGGTGTGGAAGGGGACAAAACACGAGGGGGTTGATTAAACACCAATAGAATAGATAGGGCGGTAGGCAGATTCGTTTACTTTCTGGCTCTTTTTCTCCACTTCAGGCATCCAGGTGCAGCGAGGTGGTGCCAACGCAACCATGCACCATACTATAGAACAGAGTTTGAGTGACCCTCAGCTGAAAAAAAAGAGCCGAGCGAAAGGTGGATCCATATGCACCCGGATTACTCCGTTTACTGAGATAGGGCGTGTGCCAAGCTGGTGTATCTACTCTCTGCCGGTTTTTGTAACATGAGCGATTGTGAGGCTCTTCAACTCTCATGGCATCAGAGTACCTGAACCGTTGTTTGAGGATATTCAAAACTGGGTGTCGTGGAAAATGCCTCACAAAACACCCCGTTCGGGGAGCTGTCGGGCATGGGGCAATCATAAGAATTATCACATTGTCACAGCGGGGCGAGCTGGACATGCAGATCATTGAGTGGAACCGCAGAGGATCAACATTTTCTTGTACAGAGTACTATGTTACCCCTCATGCTACAGTGGGTAGCTTTACAGCGTGAAGTTCACCAGCCGGTATGAAAAATCTTAGCCATCAGTGGAGTACTTACTACTATATGGGTCCTCGTCAGTCACGCAGCAACGTAACAGATAGCGGCCTATATATTCGTTAATAGTTTCCTTCCTCGGTTCCATTCATCTGGTACTCTCCCCCCTCTTTCTGCAGTATATTGCTGCTTGATAACGTGCCGAAAAAGGGAAAAGAAAAGAAAAGAAAAGAACCTCCCCCCCACGATACACAATGGAGTTCGACACGTACGAGCCAGTGAACACCCTGGAACAGATCGACTCGATATACCCCCGGCTTACCGAGGTGATCAACAATGTTGACAGTCTAGCTGATGCAGAAGGTACCCTCGAACAAGCAAGGAAGGAGTCTGTACATGTCACAATTGAAGCCTATCGCGCACTCCATGAGCTCAGTAGCCAATTCCGTCCAGAACCAGTGGACACAGAGACTTACAAGCTCGGCCCGGAGTTCCTAGAGACGGCGAAACGCGTTTATGACCTCTTCCAAAAGGCACTCCAGAGTGTTGAAAAGTGGGACACCGACATACGTCTTTTGCACGAGAAGGTCGGTATCGTTGTCCGTTCTATGAATGCCGTTCTCTGACATCCCAGTCCAGTGCACCGAGTACACTAGCCAGGTAGCGTCCGTTACTGTCAGAGCGACTGCTGCCGACAAATTTTTGCTTTCTACACTCACAGAGCAAATCAACAAGATGCACAAGGAGTTGGAGGAGAAGGGAAAAGCAATGGATGAAGCAGAATCGAAAACATTGCAGATGTACAGATTAGAGCTTGAAAAGAAAGACCCAGAAAGTGTGAGTCGGAGAATCAATCTCAACTGCGCACATACGGGGGTGTTAACTGTTGGCAGAGAATAAGAGCTCGAGACAAGATATTGGAAGATTACAAGCTGATCAGTTGGCTTGTACCGGTCGATAGAGAAGACGACGCCAAGGTACTTCGTCTAGAGGGGGAGCAGAAGGGAATCGAAGCATTACTCAATGACCTGAAGAGGAACATCGACCTTCGGAGACAAGCAATTACCAATCTTAGCGCCCGTATAAATGACTTGAAATCAGCTCGTGAAAAACTCCTTCCGAAGAAGGAACAGCTAAACCGCATCTCCCAAGCATGCCAGAAGACTATCGAATCACTGGTCCAAACCAAAGACAACTTTACGAAGGCCCATGCCTCCCTCGCGTATGGGAAGGCTTGGGTGAATCCCACGTTTAAGATTCCGGTGGTGTCATCATATATCCGAACGGTTCTGGAGACTATCAGACTCGCACCGCCTCTCGCTCTCTTTGATGAGACCGAGAGGATAGATTTCAATGGCATACTGAGCGGCATATGTGCCAATATGGGCTCTCTTCCGTCAGCACTCTTTGCAGAACTAGAGTCTACTGAGTTTGATTTCGGCCCTCAGGAAGAGTCGCTAGGTGTGCTTCTCGACAATGTCCGTGCTTTGGTTCAATCCAGAGGACCGGCCACACCTATTTCCCAGTAGCGGTTGCAGCTGCATTCGACTTGGAGGATATACTGAGAAACCCCATTAGGTGCAAGGATAGTAGCCAGGAATTCGCCTTGCAACTAACGGGGTTTCTCAGTATATAGTTACTTCAAAAAGGAATATACTATCTTGGTGAGACAAGATCTAGGTCTAGTCAGGCTTTAGAGATAAAATGTAACTCGCAGGTTAGCTGTCCTATACGGGGATGCAAAGCTACTTCAGCTGTACTTTGTCAACCCTTTGCTATTAAAACCTCCCCATGCGACGCATAACTTAACACGAATTTGATCGCTGGTGAGCCTCAAAGCGATGTCCGAGGATAATCCCATTCAAACTTTCCGGTAGGCATGAGCGACAACATTATCCGTCTAAGTTATAAATCTGTACTGTACTCTCCCCATTATTTGTCGTCACGCATTGCCGGATACCAAATTACTACCACCGGTTGCGCCATGTCTGCCACAGTTTCCTTCGTAGGTATGTTGGGCACATAGAGCAACAGCACTGACTTTGATCTACCTCAAGACCTATATGTCGATCATTAATCATTGTTGGCATCAATACCATGCTGGCGAAGCACAGCCTTTTAGATGGATCTATATTACAGATCCTGGGAGTAGTAGCGAAAGAGCTTTTTCCTAGGTTTAAAGTTGGCCACTGCATATTAACAAGCAGAGTATTTGCAAGCTGCCACAGCGGCCACAGCGGCCCAGAGTCCTAGTCCCAGTAGTATCGATAAATATAGAGCAGGCTACACAGCCATGAAACATGAGATCATCGGCAATGGGGGAGCCACAGATGCCTCCACAAGAGCCCTTCTTCCTTCGCAATCAGCCACGCGCTAGTCGCACCGGGAAACGGTCAAGACCCTGAGTCGTGGCCAGTGATAATCCGCCGGAGATTACCCACAGGGCCAGCCGGTATCCCTCAGACGTGCCGATCGGGCCGATCATTGCTGTTAAGCGCAGTTTCTGACGGCAAATTCCAGTCCGATGTGGGTACTGTCTCACATAGATGCTGGCCACATGCGAATATTATCGCTTGCAAAATGTGACCCTAGCATGATAACGAAAGACCGAATTTTCTAGATCCCAAAGTCCCGTATAAATAATTCCCTGCGACCCCGTCCCAAGCCATCATCTCCTAAATTTATAACATCTATCTTTAAGGACCACCCACGTCGGATATAAACAAAGACAATCCCATTCATTCACCATGAAGTTCCTCGCCATCTCCGCCCTTGTTGCCGCAGTCTCTGCTTTTCCCTCCGTCCCTGCCCCCAAAGCTCAGAATGACCCCAATGCCTTCGGCGTCGTCGCCACTCGTTCGGGCTCTCCCATCCACTTCCTTACCCTGAACGCCGCCAGCTCCCACTTCTACCTCGGCGGCAAGGCCTCCACCTACTGCCCTGAGCCCGTCGAGAAGCTGGGCGCCTGCCCCCCGGGCAAGGAGACTGCTCTCCTGGGCGACAAGTACCTTGTAGGTTCTTCCTCACGTTGCATCAGCCCACAACCACTGACCCAGAACCCAGGACGTCGCTGTCCCCGGCGGCCAGAGCATCTATGTCGACCCCAAGGGCGCTCTCTCTTTCACCGCCCCTCACTCCGGCTACTTTCCCCCGGGCTCCTCGACTGAGGGCTTCGCCTACAAGCCCGGCAAGAACGGCACCCTAGGCAGCTGGACCTACAAGAACGGCTTCATGGCCTGCCCCACGACCAACAGCACCATCGTGCCCGGTAACCCCAAGTGGCAGGTCTTCGCTGCCTCCAACAACGCCACCGTCCCCACCGGCAACGTCCGGGACTGCCTCGGATTCTCGGCCGTTGCTGCGCCTTACAAGGGACCCGCCGCTGCCTGGGAGTACATCTAAACTTGTTACTCCAGGCATGTTTCTTCAATCCCCTCGACGAGTGCAAGAACCAGACATACTCGAATAGTATATACGGCCCCAAAATAGAAACATACAAGGGGGGAGATATTCGACACGCGCACCATGTGAAATCACATCCTGGAGTCGAGGATTATGTATTATACGCTTCTATTCTGTGAATATGAAACCCGATCCTTAATATCTAATACAACACCATGCATGCAACGATCTACCTTAGAATCAAACAAGTAAAAGCAGAATACAATCCATTAATCAGTATAATGCTCCTCCACCTCCTGGTGCTGACCCCCAAACCTCCTCTTCCCTCTCATTACCCAATCCACCGCAACAATGGCCCCTACAACGGCATACACCACACAAACATAATTCATATCTGTATCCTCGTTAGCACATTCCACCCCCCAACCCAACACAAACCCCAAAAGAAAAAGAAAAAAGAAAGGAACTCACTCGCAGGGGTAACGGGATAAACACTCGGAAACGAATAAACGACCAAACAAAACGCCGTCCAAGCGAGGACGACCCAATTACAGAAGCAGCCGAGCTTCCCCAACCAAAAGGGACCATGGGGAATATTCCGCCTTCCCTTGTAGAGCAGGGCGATGACGGGCACGACATAGCTGGAGTAGAGCAGTACAATGCACGCCGAGACCATGCTATTGAAGGCGGTCGAGGAGCCGATGTACAGGAGGCCTAGGAGGGCGACGATGGTGCAGCTGACGGCGTGGGCGTTGAGGGGCACGTCGAGAACGGGGTGGATCTTGGCCAGGAAGCGGGAGAAGGGGAGGCCGTTGTCGCGGGCGAAGGACCAGCAGAGACGGGACTGCCATGTGTGGCAGGCGATCTGGCAGCCGATGCCTGTGATCAGGATTAGGGATTCGAGGGCGATGGCGCCGGGTTTGCTTTGCAGGGCTTGGTGGAAGAGGGCGAGGATGGGGACGCCGGTGGGCGAGGAGAGGATTGGGGCGAGGTCGTGGACGCTGAAGAACATGGCGATGCAGTAGAACCAGGAGGTGGTGAAGCCGATGGCGACGGTGGAGAGGATGGCGATGGGGATGGAGCGTTCGGGGTGCGAGACTTCTTCGGCCAGGTGGGTGGCGGAGTCGAGACAGGCGAAGACCCAGTTGGGGTTGATAAGGCCGACGAGGAAGGCGAGGCTGTCGGAGGGCCAGCCGGTCGAGTTGACGAAGTTGGCGAAGACGAAGTGGGCGTTGGCGTGCGTGGGTGCGGCGGCTGGCACGGTGATGAGGATCACGGCGAAGGAGATGAGTGAGATGTACAGCGTTGCGGTGGCTACGGTGGGGAGGGCTTTGCCGACGCAGTTGAAGAGGAAGGAGAAGAGGTTGATGACTTCGTAGGCGACCACGGAGTGCCAGGGCTTGGGGACGCTGTGGTTTTGGTTAGATGAGTGTTTGGGCGGGGGTTTTTTCTGGGGGAGGTGTACAAGTCTGGATGGGATAGCTGCCACATGCCGACGCCGGCGGAGCCTAGGCTTAAGGCCACACTGGCGCAGGTGAAGATGGCGCCCGCCCAGGCGAGCCATCCGGTGAGGTAGGAGGCGAATGCGGCGTATCTTTTGGGGGCGAGCTCGCTGGCCCAGAAGTATTGTCCGCCGGCGTTGGGCATGGCCGAGGCTAGCTCGGACAGCGTGACGGCGACGCAGGTCGAGACGAAGGCGATCCAGGGAATTCCATAGATGGTCAATACGGTTCCACCTGATTTTATACCGGTGATCAGCGAGGCGGAGATCCCGAACCACGAGTTGGCTAGCGAGAAGGCCACGCCCAGCAAAGATATCACGGAGAAGTTCCGTTGCATGTCCTGGGTGTAGCCCATCTCGGCCAGCCTTCTCGAGTCCGCATCCAGATTGCCTGCTGCGACGTCGCCATCGGCGGCCGTGGTGACGACCTTGTCTGCTTTGGACGTTTGCATCGCGAATTCCGTAGGGCTGTGGTGCACGGGCTGAAGCAAAGTGTAATTGCGCGGGCGCGAAGAAAATAGCGTTTTTAAAAACATTGTCAGTTACTCCGTACTATGGGCAAAAGTACAGTTGCATTGGGAGGGGCGCAAGGGGTTCAACTAGTTGCGATCGACTGGTGGTCGAGATCTGGTTGTACAGATTGATGATAAGCTGGTTGGGGCAGTCAAGTAAGGGAGGTAAATTGTTTAGGGCACGCGACAGCTGGACAATAATACAAGAGATAAGAAAATCAATCAAATTAGACAACTGGCTGTGTCCCAATGCAGTCAATAAGAGCCTTAAGTCGATAATACCACCAAACCACTGTCAACAAGCGCAGTGATATGTTCCAGCTAGAGTGCGATCGGAGCAAGCAATGACGAAGGGAATCGGTGAATAAACCAAAGTACTTAAACGAGTCCCTCCAGTGAAGCTAGAATCAAAGCTCCGTTCATTAAAGATTTCTGGTGGCCCACAAAGTAGAGGGTCGCACTTCAGACCGTGGGTCAATCAGGGAATGAGAATCTCCCCCTTGGACAGGAGAGGGGATAGTGTCCTGTGGTGTGATGTCGATGGCTGTTCCTCGTATCTTCCCATAGGATCCTTCTCGTTAGTGGCAGGGAAAAATACGACCGGTGTCTCTTGGCCTTTGACGGTCCCCCTGGTACACGTGGAGATCTCGAAATTTGTTGTGAAAAGAACCGCTGCACGGTCGGAAAGAAATTTCACAATATCTGGAACAAATAATTCTGCGGCTGAGATTAGAATATTTTGCTCTCCACGCACGTCCCTTACTCGGCATCTGGGGATCAAGGGCAGCCACCCCCACGTGAGCGATAAGACAGTGAAACATAATGAAACTGATGCTTTGGTTCCTACTTTCTAGTCGAGGTTTAAAAGGTCTCCACAGACGGACCGGTCACCGAACTGTCTTTGCCTAGTGGTTATTGGTCGGAACTCATGAAACGACAAGGTTTACTTTATGATTCTATACTCGAATGTTGGGTTGAACCGGTGATACTACTCGAGGGGTAGACCTATCAAGGTGAGACTTACGTGGCCTAATACATATTGCGCGAGCAAAATTCTTTCCGGTCTAGATTTTAGTGTCCGGAGCTTCCGGAAATCGTATCTTATCTGGTTCCGTACATAGGGCTGAGATGCGTCTGTATTGAGGGTAGTAGCAATAATAGAAAACACGATGTGGCGCCTGCTATTATATTGGCTCATAGAAAGCGTTGGAAAAAGGATCAGATGTGTCTTTTCTCCAAAGTAATATCGACCAATTTCATCTTAACTCAAATCAGACAATTATTGTGCAATGGAGAGTTAAACTGAGCGACTATCCCGACCCACCCGGTCTGGGGCAGGGAGCATCCATGATGGATAGCCTGATATGTTGTGATACCAATATCAAGTGCGACATTGTCCCTACTAAAGAGTGTAGTCATATAATTATGAATCAAGTATCACCTTCCTTGAGATAGTGACAATAGACATGCGAGGGTACGTAGCACGGTCCCGTGATTATCCCAAGCCTAAGGTGGTACATTGCCCCTGACCAGGGTGATTCTCCTTGATAATGTCCACACCATCCTGTTAGAAATCATTGATACTTCGCAAATACTTCACTTTACTGCCCTTGACAAGACAATGACATCCGCAACCTGTCATCCAAACATCGCAACTAGAGACCATAAAGCGTATATGGAATATGCCCTGGAAAAGGCCCGTCTGTCCCCTCCCGCGCCTACGAAGTTTTGCGTGGGCGCAGTGTTAGTCGATGCGGATCGAAACGAAATTTTATCAACCGGCTATTCAATGGAACTTCCAGGAGACAGACCCGGAGATCCTGGCAACACACACGCGGAGCAATGCTGCCTGATCAAGATCGCTGAACGGTACAAGGTGACGGAAGAGGAGTTGGGTACGGTGTTGCCGAAGAACACCATTCTTTATACGACCATGGAGCCATGTAGCAAGAGGTTAAGCGGTAATAGAACCTGCACAGAAAGGATTCTGAGACTTGCGAGTCGAATCAGGGTTGTGTATGTGGGAATCAAGGAACCAGGGGTATTCATCGCCGAGAACATCGGGAGAAGTATATTGGAGGATGCAGGTGTTGAGGTCAAATATGTGGAGGGAATGCAGCATCGTATCTTGGAAGTCGCTACTGCGGGGCACAAGAATTAAGGACCCTGGCTTGTACCCCACCAGCCGAGATTTGCAACGTCTTTGTTCGTTACTTCACTATGTTACAGTAACAGGAACCAGCGTTGTCCTCTCCACTTCCATTGTGAGCTGTAGCAATCTCTTCCTCAATACCTAACACATGTTGGCCTGCTTATCATAAACATTGCGGAACTTTCTTTATATCATATTCAGCTAAAGCACAACGTCATTACCTAAGTAATGGGAGATACTAGTGACAATGCTTCTAATTTTGACTGGGACACTACAGTTGACTCGAACGTCGTGGCGCGTGAGTTTAATACAGTCGCGAGATATACATAATACTGACGTTAATAAGACCTACCAAAAGGATGCCATGTTGTATCCTCCCAGAGCCATAGAAGCAGCTTCTGGGGCCACACTGGCCGCATTAATGTCGAATTAGCCGATGGAACGCCAGCATCATTCTTTATCAAGATTGTGCCAGAAGAACGAGGCAAGAATATGGTCCATGGGGAATTCGAATCAATGAAGGCCATATATACCCTGCTTCCAGACTTTGCACCGATACCGATAGCATGGGGGACATACAAGGATACACCAGACATTCATTTCTTTTTATGTGAGTATCGAGAGATGACACATGAGATGCCAGATCCGCAGAAATTTACAGCGCGCCTCGCGGCTCTTCATCAGAGCAGTACGTCACCGACGGGGCAGTTTGGTTTCCATGTGACTACATACAGTGGTAATTTACCGCAAATTAATGAGTGGGAAGACAGCTGGGAGGTTTTCTTCGCGAAGAATATGAGGATGGCCCTTGATCTGGAAATCAAGGCAAAGGGGCCAGACCCAGAACTAGATTACCTAATTCCAATCCTCTTTGACAAGGTCATACCGCGTCTACTGCGTCCGCTTGAATCAGATGGTCGGTCTGTAAAGCCGTCACTTGTCCATGGAGATCTTTGGTATGGAAACTCTGGAATTGATGTACAAACCGGCGAGTCTCTCGTGTTTGATGCCTGTTCCTTCTACGCACATAATGAATGTATGTTGTACCACTTGACTAACACATACATAATGTTCAAGCTGACATGTTGATGTCCTTTTAGATGAGTTTGGCCAGTGGCGGCCTGTCTGTAACCGATTTGGTGAGGAATACTTGGCAGCATATCACTCGTACGTACAGAAATCGGCGCCCGAAGAAGATTATGATGGCCGTCTAGATCTGTACAAGCTGTGAGTATACGACTATCCGAAACTAAACTGTCACTGGGTGTTGACCGTGTGATAGGAGATTCAATACCCAAGTCTCTGCCCTCTTTACAGAGAGTCAAGCACTCAGAGAGCAGTAAGAGTTCGTTCGATTCTAGTGGGCATACTTTGCACTAATAAAAGCCGCTAGGATGCTCAACGATGTGAAGGACCTTGTCCAGAGATATGGTTAAATAAAATACTCAGTGTAGTCAAGTTTAGGCTGGCCTTGGGATCAATTGGCTGTGATAAACGGGAACCAAATAAATACATAGCCCGTAAGGCTGTCACATAACAGCTACATACACATGTAGAGGCACTGGCCCTTTCGCGACTTAGAAAATAATAAGTGACATAGGCTCACCATATTGTCTCTGGTATTAAACTCCCATATAGCCCATACTAGCTTTCTCAAACCCCTCACACTGTAGCCGCCATGTCGATGATATTACAATCCAATGACATATGACCTCATAGAAAGAGTTTTAGCCAACCCTTTATTCTGCTTCGCATAAAATCTCAATACCATTAACGCAATAAGGCTTACATATAAGGCATGCGCCAGACTGCTTCCGATATCGCCTTGAACAAGATTAAGCCTGTATTGAGAAACTCTGCCACCGATTCTTAGCGATGCATCTTCCAACGCGAGAAAGACAACTTTCGAATGTTTGGAACACTTTAATGACAAAGCCGAGCCAGGTATCCCTCCCTAAAATCCCATCCGCAGCCGCGAGCGCTCGTTCTGTTTTTTGAACCTCTTGCTCTCTTTTCATGTCTAGGTATAATGCCTGATCGAGCTTAGGCGAGTCAAGTAATATCGGTCCAAGATGTTGTAATCTGTCAAGCTTGGATAGCTGACCCTCTAACTGCTTCTTGGCATACTTTGGTATTCGATTATCCTCAAGCCATTTGCTGTCTTCGCTATCCCTCCAGGGCTTTTGCCGATCCCATACAAGGAGGAAATCGCGAGGATATACGGTTACCGACTGTAGGATATCATGCCACTTATCCAGTACTTCCCAACTCATCATGGGACTAGACCCCGATGATGGAGATGCATGCTTAGGGATGAATCCGATTGCCACAACGGCACAGTAGTCAACATATGCCCTTATGATCGTAGCCTCAGATGCTCCTTGCAAAAGGCAGACGATATCGCGCTCCTTGGTCAACGGCGGCAGGCCTCGGAAGTACCATCCCTGCAAATGCATGGCTGTCATCCGTATACTGTACGATATGTGGTCATAACGTACTCCCGTGCTTACCACGCCCAGAACACAACCTTTGCCTTTAATCACCGCAACGTCTCCATCATCCCAGGTCTGTACACACACTTGCTCGCTAACATAGAACCTGATGAGTCGATCAAACACATCTTTCCACCGCAAGCTACAGTCGGGCAATAGAGATTACGAAGCATTATTGTCAGAACCCATGTTTAGTAACGCATAAACCTTGTCTCGGCGATCAGTGGCCTCACAATCCTTAAGAACATTCCATATCATTAGGTGAGAATGACTAGTATGGTTAACTTGATTAACACGTTTGTTCTATTCTGGATAGTCCCAGTATGCCTTGAAGAAACAACTTTCCATATAATGCCGTGATAACGATATGTAGTGAATGCCATAGGCAGCTGGGTATGTAATTTCTCGAAAAGCTAAATTACCAGGCCAATCAATCATAGTTCTATAAACCATAGCGTCTCATGCCTCAATTTTAGTCGGTGGTGACGTATCATCTCCATCCGAGCGCTGAAACTATTAATGATATTATCAAGCAAGCTATCCTACAGGAACTTGAAGAAACTCAACATCGATTGAGTTAAACGCGACCTTGAAAATCGCATAAACAAATCATCCATTGTCAAGAGACTAGCAAGATCATCACCGAAGATCTCCTCATTCAATACGGTGGAAGTAGCATGTGTTTCAATCCTTGCCAGCCGGGTAGAGACCACGGCAGTTAAACAAACAACCAAGGTAATGATGACGCCCCATGTTTTCAATATCATTACTAAACCCAGGTTTATTACACGGGTAAAACCGCAGAAGAAGTAGATCGGGCTATCATTGCATCAATGTCACGATGATCAGCAGCTGCACGGAGTTTCATGACCGACGTTGAAGATCATTTAATTTCCATCATACGATTTCCCCGATCATGCCACACCAAGAATCACATCACTGACTCTCCACAGCCCCAACTTAGCAGATTTAGAACAAGATATATAACAATGCTCTCGTCAACCCCATTCAGAACTCTAATTTCCCCAATATTTCTATTCCCAAGCTGAACAAGTTTTACCCCATACAAAGACAATCAATCAGTCTTACCCCATGGATACATCCACCACCCCGTCCGCACCGCAGCGCCCGCACTTCAAGCGGCCTGTTTACATTCCCCCGGTCAAGGGAAATATTGGTAAATGGTATGTGATCTTCACTTCTAGCGCTGTTTCATTGATCACAGGAAGAACATGGTTCTAATATTGTCGTGAATCCAGGTACCTCCCAGCCATGGGAATGATAGCCCTCGGTAAACCACCCTCATTTCTCATCACCATGAATGACTCCACCGAAACACAGCCATCTAACAATACAATCGCAGGCTTCGGCGTCTACAATTACTACAACGCTCCCGCCCCCGCATACGACCCCGAGGAAGCAGAGCGCCTCCACCGAAACAAGGCCTTGATGGACGCATACGGAGACAAAGAGACCTTACAAGACATCGAGCGCGCGTTCGCCCTCTACGAGATCCAGTAGTCGCTGGCTTCTCAATGAATGATCATGATCTCGGACTGGTTCTGATAGGATAGGATCCTGCATTTGTGGAGTTTGGGTGCTTTGATGGTAGCGAGTGGTTACTGGGTTTTATTATGTTTTTTATTTAACGCGAGATCTGGGATCTAGGTAGTATGCTGGCATATGAGTTAATGACATCTTTTTTTTTTTTCTTTCAATTTTTAAGATGGTCTTGTTTGATTTCAGTGAGGTAATGGTTGTCTACTATCCAATCGATGGCTATGGTAACCCTCTCTTCTGCAACCCTCAGGCCATTGAGTATGATGGTTTCGTAATACACTGGGTCTTGGACCCTTCTGATTCGGGGGTATACACAGCTATGCTATCTCCATTTAGACTCTATTCGTCGCCTGGGCAGAGAGGTCATGCAACGTCGCACCCAAGGACAAGACACCCCTCAGTGACAGGGAATAGATGCCACTCTACCGACATTAAGTTACATATACCGACCGACCTAGGTCTCGGTCTCAACCCTCGGCCCCGTGAAATTCCTGCGTCCATCCACGATCCACTGCACAACCGACACCAGAACAATAATTCCGAATGCAACGATACAGTAATCTACACATGTCAGCAGTTACCTCAGATAGAACTAGAGAGTCGCCTAGGATGCACTTACTCATACTGCTCCCCGTCACCGGCCGAGAAGGAGGGAACAGGAACAAGACGGTCGTGAGAGCGATATAAGATAGGGAGATCTGCGTACATATATCATTAGTTGACGCCAGATCTATACAAAAAGGTAGATGCTATGAAAACTTACAATGTCAATCACCCATCCGATCGCAGTCGGGATCTGGAATTTCCGATCGGGTAACGACCTGCGTCCTCGGAGGCAGTTGACGGCGATCGGCATGGCGTAGGATAGATCCAGCGCTACGACGGACGAAGAGATGATGGCGTTGAAGGCGCTATTTTCTTAGATGAGTGACATATCTGGCTGATGTATGTGGAACGTACCTGGAAGACCCGAGGAAGATCAGACCGAATATGATCACGACCAATGTGGTCAATGCCAGTGCGTTCAAAGGCAGTCCGAGTCCCTGATGGACATGCGCGAAGAAGCGCGAGGCGGGGAGGCCACCGTCCCTTGGGAGAGTGAGTAGTTCGTCCGGGCCATGGGACATAGGGCTAGAGGCTCACCGAGCGAATGCGAATATCATCCGGCTGCTCGTTGTCATCACGCTAAGCAAGGCGAAGATCAGACAAACGAGGGGTAGCCTATCACGTTAGTTGACCCCAGCGATTCAAGGGTGACAAGGACAAACGTACATGAGTAGGCAGATCGCGCCTGCGGTATTCTGGGTCGCGTGGAGGAGTATCTGCAGCAAGGGCCCTGCTTTTGAGCTCACCACGTCGGTGATATCGCCTGCGACGAAGAGCAGCACGATGAGGAAGACGGAGCCGGTGAAGGTGCCAATCCCAACGCAGGTTAACATAACCTTGGGTCCTTTAACGGATGGATTCGGGATTTCTGTGCGCCAGTGAGGGTTAGTCTTGTCGCGTGATAAGGCACGGGGCTAGGTGTACCCTCGATCATGTGCACCACGGCATCCTAAGAAGATTAGAAATATGATGGATATCGGAAGGTAGAGCAACCTACAAATGCGGTGACTCCCAGTCCTCCTTGGAGAAGCTAAAGAATCAGTATGTTTCATTATCGGTGAGTCGGGATGGGAGACAAACCCCCAGTAGCCACGCCACGCCATCAGGCCCTAGTAATCATCAGCGACGTTCTATCTCTCGGAATTTGTAAACTCACAGCCAGTTTGATTCACGAATTCACAGAATACGAAGCTATCTCATCAGCCAATGAATATCAGTACCGACGGGATACTTACTAGGCAGAGTTATAGTCCGGGGAAGCGCACGCCAGCACAGTGATGGAAACCAGAACAAAACCGCCAATCGACCAAGTAACTACCAAATTAGAACCGAGCGTATACGGTCTCAGGTATACATACAAGCGCCGCGATAGATGAGTGGAAGCACGGAATTCATGAACGCGTTAATAACGAACGCGCCCAACGTGAGACCCACGTAGATAAGAAACTGCTGCCATCGCTGCCATTCAAAGTCCTAGCCACGATGAGCGAAATGTCTAACATGGAAAGACAGACCTACCGGATAAACCGCGGAGACTACGCCCGCAATCAACTGGCTTGAAAGAAGGGCGTTGGTGGCCACCAGCGCAACCTATAGGGTTAATTTCGCTCCTAGCCTAAATCTCCAACGGAGTACTTACCCATCCAGCGACGTTAACCCAGCCGGTAATCCAAGACAAGATCGGAACCCATTGCGGCCAAGACACTACCCTGTTTAACATGCGGAAAGAACCTAGTGTGTTGGGCCAACATACCAACTGACGACATTAGTGAGGATTGTATGCAAGGGATAGGCTACGTACCAGCTACCCAATGATATTGTCCACCCGCCCTGAACATGCAGTCACAGGTCAGTCTCCCTCGCTTTCTCTCCTCTTTCTTTCTTTGTTCTTTTTGCTTTTCGAAATTGCCAAGAAACTCACGTTGGGAATGCCGAGAGGAATTCAGCCAGGGAGGCTGCGATGCACAGGTTGCAAGTGCCAGCTGTTACCAGACCTACAAACCGTCAGCGGTATACGACAATTTTGCATTAACATACTCACCCCAGATCACACTGGTGCTACCACCCGAGGTCAGACTGATCGATAAACTCGCAGAGAGGGCCGTCCAAGACTATGATTCGTTAGTGAGGGCTATCCAGGGATGGCCTTAACACTCACATTAAGCACCGCGAACGCTAAGCCAAGCATAGAACTATAAAACACGAATTAGCATTTAACTGGTCAGCCATATTCTTGGAATCAGCTTACAGGGTGGAAAAATTCCGATGCAGTTCCGGCTTATGGCCCATTCGAGCCAGCTGCGCATCGTCTTCCGGTACATATTCGACCTTTCTTTCCTCCATGGCGATCAATGAAAGTATGGGGGAAATGGAGTTGTGTGGTGGAACCGTACTTGCAGAGTTGACAGATATTAATATTGAATTAATGCTACCTTGGTTTCTTGCGACACCAAGATGGAAACGGAATGTCCAACCTCGGATGCGGGGAAAGCTAGGGCTTGCCGACTTGACTGAATTAGCCTTGATAAAAGACAAGTCATCTCGCTACAACAATGCATCTGATTTGCCAACTAGAACTCAAGGTGGATCCCATCCAAGGGTCACTGTTTAGAGCAAGTGGCTCGCTCTTAATCTACTAATTAACCCACTATTTAAGCATCCTGACTGGCCCAGTCAAATGCTTATCAGCCCTGCCACATGACAGGGGGTTCAATCCGCCTGGACTTACCCATCTCGTGCTAAATTTCCTGACCACCAGTCTAAACGTCTACTGACTAGTCGACTATCATGCCAAGACTGTCCTGCTGATCACAGGCTGCTGCATATCGCCTCACGGTCGATCTGGTGAGCGGGTGCAGAGATAACCCATTCTACCATTTGGTGAACGCCAAGCGAAGGCCATGTACCAGATATGACTTGCCCAATGTAGCCCAGTAGTGATTACAAAAGCTCTGCGTAGCGCTCTTGGATTCCGTTGAGAGCCAAACATCGTGTAAGCTTTAGACAATATGCATTTCACGTTGTCAATATGTTCGAGTCTCTTGCTAGCCACGGGAACAATAAAGTCGACCTTCGCTCACGTCGCACAGCCTCCACCCGAGGATAGAATATGCACAGAAACCACAGTGGCAATCCTGTAAGACAATAATAGCCTTCTTCGTCGTGCGGCAGGGGTCTAACGTAACCCAGCGGAGGTGGAATGGCCGGTATCACGGCAGCAGTAAGTGGATCACCGAGGTTACCAGCAAGCCCCGAAAAGGACGGTGGGGATAATTATTCATTGATTTAATTTACTAGCAAGCTTTATCAAACGCATCGATTCATGACTTTGTCATTTTAGAATACCGAAATACTATTGGCGGGCGCGTTTGGAGTACGGACTTCGGTCAGGACAAGACTGGAAAACCTTACGTGATAGAACTTGGTGCGAACTGGGTATGTTCATGTAGCTTTTCTCGAAAGAAAATTTTGCTAAGCTATCAGCGCAGTTACACGGTGTCGGAACAAGTGGAGCAGGTAGGTGCCCTTGATCCATGTATGTGACCTTCATTAACTTCAGGAAGAGAACCCACTCATAACACTGGTATGGGACAGAAATTTCCCTCTCTTCTATATGTAACTGACAGAATCCTGCCTTGACAGGCCAACAAACACAGACTCAAGAACACACCGGACAATTTCAGCTCCGTTCTTACCTATGACGAGACCGGCTACAGCGACTACCAGGATCTGTTAGATGCCATCAGCGACGTCAAGGATGTAGCCTACAGAAATGCGGGACAGATGCTACTAGACAATATTCAAGATCATAATGCGCGTACCGGATTTGCTCTGGCGGGCTGGAACCCCCAGCGCAGCGATATGAAGGCACAAGCAGTGGAATGGTGGAATTGGGGTACGAAGCGCATGGGAGGACAAGACGTCGCAGAAAACCCTAACTAACCCGTAATTCACAGACTGGGAATGCGCAGCCAGCCCTGAAGCCAGTTCATTCATTTTCGGAGTAGCCGCCGAGAATCTCACATTCAACCAATTTGGCGAAGACAACCACATGGTGGTGGATCCTCGCGGATACAGTACAATCATCGAACGCGAGGCGTCAACCTTCCTCCACAAAGAGGTCCAAGACCGTCGGCTCCGGCTTAACACTCAAGTGACTGATATCAAATATTCCAATAAAGGTGTCAAAATCACCAACAGCGATGGTAGTTGTGTCAGTGCAGCATATGCCGTTTGCACGTTTTCTCTGGGCGTACTGCAGAACGATGTCGTACAGTTCGACCCGGCCTTGCCCAAATGGAAACAAACTGCCATTCAGAAGTTCACCATGGGCACATACACCAAGATCTTTCTACAGTTTGATGAGACGTTCTGGCCACCCGACTCACAGTTTTTCCTCTATGCGTCGCCTACCACCCGCGGGTACTACCCGGTATTCCAATCTCTTTCGAAAGACGGCTTCATGCCTGGGTCTAACATCCTGTTCGTGACTGTCGTGGAAGAGCAAGCATACCGTGTAGAGAGACAGTCCGACGAGGAAACCAAAGGGGAGATACTCGCTGTCCTTCGCGAGATGTTTCCAGATAAGCGAATACCCGAGCCAACCGCATTCGTATATCCCCGATGGAACAACGAGCCCTGGGCGTACGGCAGCTACTCCAACTGGCCAGTGGGGACCACACTAGAGATGCATCAGAATCTACGTGCCAATGTAGACCGGCTGTGGTTCGCCGGAGAGGCGACCAGCGCGTCGTATTTTGGATTCTTACACGGAGCGTGGTTTGAGGGCCGTGAGGCGGGCGAGCAAATCGCTGCGATGTTGCAAGATCGATGCTCGACTACTCATGGTATAGAGACCTGCGGAGATCGCACCCATTATGATGTTTTACATGGCACGACGCCAGGAGATGCGTATACTATCATCAATGGGTGGCCGGTTAACAGCACGAATCTATAATCAGTGGACCATACCTGCGATGCATTAGGCTAACACGGCACGGTGATCCTATAAACTGTTGTCAATAGCTGGTTCAATTCATATAAATGAGGATTGTATCCAGACTAATGAGATCAATATTGCATTGGCATTAGTCTAGGCAGTTGATTCTAGAGAGTATATACCACGTTTTAAAGTGATCTAGGACTCATATCTAAGACTACTACTTCACAGCAGCTGGGCGGCTGGCCTAATGGTAAGGCGCTAGATTTCGGCTCTAGAGATTGCAGGTTCGATCCCTGCGTCGCTCGCGCTTTCTTTTTTTTTTCTCTTTCTGTTTTTGCTCCCACCCTCTTTTTTACTTAGAGTCTTGCATCCTTGTTTGAGTTCCTTCTTTTGTCAATTTACCTTTCTCGCTTTTTATTCCTGTGCCGTAAATTTCAGCAGTTAGCCTAACATAAAGTACTCCGATTTTTAGTTGATAATTTGACATGTCTTTTCACTCAACGGTCGGGAAAATATATAACACAACTGAACTTCAACTACGACCACCATCACCACAATTTCATTTCCTTGAATATTTGCTATCTCTTCACCCTATACTCTTAGACCTTATCCTTGCTACCTTGTCTTTTCCTTTCCCTGTTTTTCTCTCTCGATCTAGAATTTGACATCTAGGTGCACAATACTTGTAAATTGCAATGGTAGCCGACCGCCCTTAAGCAAAACATTCGGCTTCCCTCTCTGGGACTAGAGTCAAGAACTGCCGGCAAAACCTTAATGAAACCGAATACAGCAGGCGGCCAGATAATGTCCTCGAAGTATACTCATTTGACATTGTCGATAACCCTGCAGGTAAGAGGGAAAAATAAAATAAAATAAAAAAGACAGAACGAGTATTGTTGATGCTTGTACCATCCTACATACTGTATATTCTTCTACCCGACAAGGGTTGAGGTACAGAGTGACTTGATGCCACCGTCCTTGCCTCGCATTCGGCCTGCCATGCATCATGTTAATGCGATGGTTGCTAACTGATGCAACGAAACCTGCTAAAAGTGAATTGCTGGAGACATATGCTGAAATACCAGACATCTATTCATACACACATAATTACATGAACCCATACACATACACATATATTCATATAAATTAATAAATACCCCCCACCAAACCCATCCAAAACCCCACTCTATAAATTACAACCAAAAAAAAAAAAAAATCAGTGCTGTCTACCATTAACACTCGGACTCGAAAACCTGCCATGAAAAACATGATACTCCGTGGTGACGGAGATGCCATGTTCATCCACGGGCGGCGAAGCAGCATCTTTCACCAACTCGTCCTCGGAATCATGTCTCGACAGCCCCGAGGGCATACCACCATGGCCATCCGTGACCGCGTTCGACGCCACCGACGCCGTCACCTTATTCAGGGGACCCGACTTCCCCGGGGCGTGGGAGTGCGACAGCTCGTATGCTCGGCTGCTGTAGTATGTCCCGTTGCGAGACTTCGAACCAAAAAAAAGAGTGCGCAGGACGGGCAGCGAGTTGGCGATGATTGCGATGGCGGTTTCGATCATGGACACGGTGCAGGTGATCATTTGTTTATTTTGCCAGGAGAAGATGGCGCGGATTACTGTGTTTTGAAGAGTTTCTGGTTAGTTTTGGTTGGGTGGGAAGGGGAGTAGAGAGGGGAGGGGACGTACTGCTTGTGATGACGACGAGGATACCTAGCAGGAAGATGGACATGACGCCGAGCTTTTGTTTGAAGGGCATGCGGAGGCGGAGCACTTGGGAGATTGGGAGACAGATGACTGCGGTGGTTTGTTAGTTGTGGTTTGTCGGGTTGGATGGTTGGGCAACTCACTGATTACATCGCTGAAGATGTTGACTGCGGTTTGGGGATGAGGTTAGTGGGGTTTCTTATAGAGGGGATGTGTAGGCTGCGACTACGTACACAAGATGGTGATCCAGTAATTGATCCGGCTCTGCTTTTTGGAACATGCCCCTGTGTATTGTTAGCTTGCGCGGGTTCATCGACACTCGTGTGGGCAAAGCTCACGGTCTGGGTTATCCATGTCCCAAATACGGTCGACAGGGAAGCACTTGAAGATGATATTGAGAAAGATGGTGAGCCACGTAGCGGCTAGTAAGGCAAGGATGATATTGTAGATTCGTTGGTAGTGGGTTCGATCCGCCAGACGTTTGTAGAAGCAGACCTGCATGCGCAACTGGTTAGTCCACGGCCCTGATCTCTATCGCAGTCGAAAGTACGAACCATGCCGGCTTTGATCAGCCACAGAGAAGTCACATAAAGTGTAGAGCCGGGAATGATCATCTATCACGGACGGTTAACGTGCGATGCGACAAACCCGGTTGTCCAAGCTACCACCAACCTTCATCATATTGATCATATCCGATTTCGACGCATTGGCCATGTCCGTCATGCCTAAACAACCGAGAACCGTCAGAAACCTTCCTCGTGCATAACCAAGCTCAACCCAAAACGTACCCCAATTGAACATGAGATGCTGGATGACCAGATCACCGATCAAACATATACAGGCCGCCGCGACGAGGTAATCGTCGATGTAAAATTTGTTGAACCTCTGCCATCGCACAAACAACCGCGTAACGAAGACGGCACATGCGACAACTGTACAGATGTACCATCCGACCTACAACGTTCGTGTCAGAAGTGATCGTCAGTTCACTGGTTCCCGTGCCGATCAATTGCGCTCCACGTGGAGGGAGAAACCAGAAAAACAAAGCACATACCACCTGTCCGACTCCCGGGGGAGCCATGGGGACGATCTGCAGGCGTTCCCACCGTTATGAAAGAGCAAACGAAGGACTGACAGCCATTTAAACAGTTGGAACGAGGGACGGCCGGCTGGACGGCCAAAGAGAGCGAAGGGGCCTTCACTTGTACGTTAGCGTGCTAAAGACAGAGATTTTAACGCACTGCTGAGCTTGATAATACGGACCTTGTTTCTGCGACTCAAATCCCAATTTGTGGAATCTTGCCAACGGACAAGGAATTGATTCCGCTCTCCCACTGGTCCAACTAACATGGCTCGATCAGAGAAATCTGACGATGGCGAAGCTTATTCCAAGAAAGTGCAAGGGCCTGCTAGTGATACACCGATGCTATTGGGCAAGTATTAGATCTGTTTTCCACGAGCCAGTGGCATCCTTGGAAGGGTCGAATAGTCTGTATAAACTCCCACGGTTCCGCCAGCTCGGGATGGCTGGACGGAGTGGAGATGTTTCCACTTAAAACAATGGCTACATTACCGGATGCGGCCAATGCCGGGAGCACAAGCTTGGATCGTGAAGTCATGGTCTGGTTGCTTAGTAACTACGCTACTCCAAATCTCCAACATGAGACGTGAGGTTACATAGCCTGCAAGATGTGCTGTGGTCTCGTAACACATCTAATTTCCCTTTTCTCGGCGCTGCACAAACCCACCAACAAAGCTGTTCTCGATGTTCGAGTCATAGAAATATACTTCAGCCGCCGCGCAGATTTGCACTACGAAAGTCAAATATTACCTGATAGCGGAGAATCTCCAGCCCGGCTATGCATACACTACTGTATACAATACGACCTTTACGATATAGGGAGAGGCGACCGAAATGGTGTAATTAAGAGAAAGGAGAGAGTCTAAAGACAGGAGAACACACGAAAACAGTTAGATCAAGCGTGAACACACCAATGCAGGGACAACACTCGATCTCGATGGATGGCGCTATTCTAGAAATTCTATATGCCGAGGCTCCAAGACCGAGACTAGGCAGTCAGGTTAATGAAGGGGAAAACTTCGGCAGAATGAACCTCTGGGACGGAATACGGAGCACTCCGTCCAACTGCCCCGTTCACTCTGTTAAGGGGTTTTATTTTTCTCCTACTCGGATCCTTCCCGATCTGCTGTCGGATACGTCGTTCATTTTCTAGTTTTGGCTAACAGCTCTATGTAAGTTTGTAAAAGGATTTCGCTGAACTATATTTAAGGGACGGGTGGCTGGTGGCTATGTCAATGATGAGGATGGCCGAGAATTAGGGTTAACTAGGGATGCTACCCTACCGACCAAAAATGTTTTCAGTCCGTGTTTCTGGGTCCGTCGCCCCACCGTCTAACGTCCAGTCCAATGGACCGTTAGCCAAAGTGGAAAGTGTGGCACCGTACCTGAATCGATCCTTCTACACGAGATCCTTCATGCACGATTTTTCTTAGCGTGAAGGCCGAAGGCCAGGTCTACCTGGGATCATGCAATCCTTCGCATTGGTGTCCACTGGCCCAAATTTAGTATGGAGTAAATACGCGCAACTGCCGGTCGTATTCATATTTTCATTTATAATTGACAGCTAATTAAACCTGTGCGATGGGTATATGTCTAAATAATGCTGCATGCTAATGTCTAATTGCCGCTGAGAAAGAAATTCAGGAGGATTTGGCCAGGGTGACCGGGTTCTGGACCACAGGATACTTCGGGATGTTGGGGTTGAACACGGATTGGCAGCGGCCGTTGTAATCGCCGGTACTGCCGATTTCCATGGCCAGCTCGTTGCCAGGGACGCCGAGCTTAGCCAAGGGTCCATTGGTGGGCTTCGCCCGGTCCCAGCCCGGTCCGGCGCTGGGGTTCTTGATCCAGGCAACAAACCAGTTGTTCATGTAATCAGCCAACGCCTGCTGCGCCTCTGTAACGCCGGTCAGTTTCGAGAAACACTCGTTGCCTCCGTGGAAGAAAGGCACTTCGCTTCCGTGCGATGCGCCGATTCCTGCGATGCCGATGACGTTGTCGTAATCGCCGAACCAACGGTACACCCAGGTCGGCTGCTCTTTGGCACGGACGTCGATCAGGTAGTCGGTGGGACAGAAGAATCGAGCGTCTCCGTAGGAGGCGCCGCTCATGAGGGAGACCGTTTCATAGTCCGAGGCGTTGTAGGCCGCCAGGAGATCGTCCTCAGGCACATGAGCCATGTCGGCATCGAAGGTCTTGATCCATTTGGAGAAATCGGTGTTCTCGCTGGAGTAAACCATCCCGAAGAGCTTACCCTCCTGGTCGGAGTTGCCGACAATCAGGGGCACCGACTTGGGGTAGTTGCCAGCGGCGAAGCGCGACTTGTAGTCCGCGAAGCGGGTGATGTTATCCACAATCGGGGAGAACCAGGTGTTGGAGGTCGAGTTGAAGTGGGAAGTCTGGATCGAGTACATGTCCACCTTACGAAGACAATCCAAGGTCGGATTGCTGGAGTCACAGCTGAGTGTAACACCGGCGGCTTCAATGTCCTGAGCCACTTGGGTCAAGCCGACGCCGGAAGGGGTGATGGCGGGTCCCGACTCGGCATTGGCAGACATTTCGATGGCGCCTGCCAGGAATGTATTGGGATGATTCCACAAGTAATGATCAACCTGCATCACGATCAGATTAGCCACCCGAGGCAATATTCAGGGCTGACTGTCCATGTGGACCGAAGGATTCGTAAATTACTTACATGAACACTGCCGGAGGAGTGACCACCCAAAACAATGCGGGTCTTATCACCACCAAATCCTGTGAAGGCAAAAACGTTACCGCATGATCAGGGGACAAGAATGCTGACGACATACCTCTGATGTTGTCGTAAACCCACTGCAAGGCCATCTCAATATCGAGAATGCCAAAGTTCTGCGACTGGCCGTCAAGCTCGGGAGCGTTGGGAGAAGCATAAATGCTCTCACGGTAGTTGACGTTCACGTAGATCACATCCTTGCGAGCGAAATTGTGTCCCTGCCACTGAGCATTGCTATTGCCACCAGTGACCATCGCACCACCATAGATGTAGACAAAGACCTGTTCATTGGTTAGCAAATCTTCTAGAGAAGTCTTGATAGAGTGTGTGGGGGAACTAACGGGTAGGTTAGAGCCATTCTGAGGGGTCCAGATCTGCAAAGTAATTCGGTCAGCATTCAATAACCAAAGGCAATATCGATACAGGATATAATACATTCAGGTTCAAGCAGTCCTCGCCCTGCGCAACAATCTTGTTGCCGGACATAGCCTGCGCACAGGAAGGGCCATAAGAGGTCGCATCGAACTCAGCCCTAGGGACCTTGGGCAAGCTCTGAGGAGCCTTCCACCGATTCTGACCAGCAGTCGATTGCGCAAAAGGGATTCCCAGAAAAACATTGGCATTGTTCTCCACAAACCCCTTGACCAGACCTTGCTCGGTCAAGACCGAGGGCTTGCCGTTGAAGGTGGCACCAGCGCGGCCTTCCAAAAGAGCGACCGCAGTGACAGCGAGGCAGGCTGCCCGCTCAAGAAGATCCCAGATGGCACCCATGGTGAAATCCCTTCAAGACAGGAGTATATGGTGAACCGAAAAAGGAGGAACAAGGGATGAAGAAAGTCGGTCCGCCGCTATTTAAACTAATTCTACTTTAACGCTTTCGGGGCTGGCCCGGTCGGAAGAAGAAAACCGCGTTTTGGCCTCCTTAACCCTAGTTCGAGTTCGAATCCTCCCGTTCTTTTCTACCGATTCTCCATTCTGGTTCTACCAATCGAGTGCTCCAGCAGCGTTTGACATCGGCTAATCGGTTGTCTCAGCCACGTGGTAGCGATTAAACTAGGCCTTGATCTAATGCAATGTAGTGCTTGGCCATCGGGTCCCACCCTCGGAGAAGAAAAGCCGTTCGCCAGACTGGTTGGGTTTTTTCGATACAGTATCATTATTAGCAAATATTTTTACAGGCCCGCTTGTTCTTCCTTTTACTGTCTCTCGTGCCAACGCCCTCGTGGCAATATGGATCTGTTGGTGTGGATCTCGCGCTTTCTTTCGACGCTTCTTCGCAAATTTATGGATTTTTTTGCCCCTCCACTATCATTTCGGGTGCCATGAGGGGCCCACACGTAATAAAAACACCGTAGCGAAAAGAGAGTGTTTCTTCACATAGTCCAAGTTAACCCCAAGTCCCTCGTTGAGGCAAGCCTTGGCTGCTTTATTACTCTCATCTCTTAAATATGCCAATTCTGTGCACAGACGTCCATACTCTAATATAGGTTACTGCAGATAATCTAGCAACCGACACAGAACATGTAACCCATGCACCCACCAAGCCATTTACAATGTTAGACTCACCGAACAGAACATACTATACTCACTGAATGGGGAATGACATTCCTTCCGAGTAGATCCGCACGTGGGAATCGTAAAAGGTGGAGCTCAATGACTTGAACCATGGAGCCTGGAACAAGATCGAGATTTTCGATAGTGCACACCCGAGGGTTGGTTTTCGCACTAGATGCTTCGAGAGCTATCGTATTGCCTATTTGGAATAGAACGTTTCTCTCCACCCTGAGTGGGACGTGGACTATTCAAGTTACTAAATGCGAGCGCGGCATATAGAACGTCGGTCTTACCTGTTGTGGGAATCTTTACGAGGGCATAGTTCTAGGAACAGGCGTGTTTGTGTAGGGCTTATACGAGACAGTCTCCTTGGTTGGGAGTATTTGGGCTACAGAGAGCGAACCATGGAAGGAAGCAACTGTAAGGTTGGGGGAAGAGAGCAGCTTTGTGGGGAAAATTGAGTAATTGCATAGATACATCTTTGTGCCTCAGTTTTGGTATAAAACATTTGGGATGGAATGTCATAAGTGCATCATGTAAAAAATGTGATTTCTTGCAATACTGTGCCCATGTCCTTCATACAGAATATGTACAGGCAAAACTGCCTCAACTAGTTATATACAAGGGCTCCCCCGACCTGGGACAAGACGATTTTCCATAGCCACCAGACGAAACCACCGTGTCTTAATTCGGCGTGATAACCGATCAAGTTCCGTTCGCCGGCTGCTTCCAGGCCTTTCCATCGAGAGTGGTAGTCAAGGTTCCGTTCGCATTGAATATGTTAGTCATGGCATCGATTTCCAGATGGAACCCACCCGGACTAGTCTTCTTGCTTCCGGTAACTTGTCCGGTAGACGTAAGGTCGGAAAACCAGTCCACCTTGTTTATCGTCATGGATTCGACAGTACTGGTGAACCTCTCAGAGCCGTCGATAAAATGTAATCCGTCATCGGAATAGTTGCGATAGTCGACTGCGATGGTTTTGATCGCTGCTGGAATGGCCTTGTCATGAATGATTGACACAAAAGCCGAGCCGGACACCTCTCCCTTCAAGGTGTAATTTCCTTCAGCTGGAAACGGACGGTCTGGCAGAGCACTTTCGGGCTCATATGGCACACCCCAGGGAACTTCATCGGAGACAGGAGCAACTGGTTCAAGATCCAGTGGCTCACGGCTGGTAAGGTGAGCCAACATCAGACGGGTGACACGACCACCGGGTTCAGTAGAGTTAGGGCATGGCAGAGGATTCTGTCCGCCACAAGAAGGTGCAACAACCAGGTTCTCGAAGTAAGCTATGCGTGTGCCGTCATGAGACCACTTGGGGTCTGCCCCAGCGTTCCAGTTGGGGTCGTTGATGCTGCCTGGGCTGCCGTCTCCGTCGCCATTGATTTGCTGGCCGTAGTAGTCTCCTCGGTCCCCATCGTGGTCCAGGAGCCAAGGCCGGAAGAATCGCCGAGGGCCATTGTTGCGAGTGGAGGAGGCGACCGTAGTAGCGATCAGGTCGATAATCGGTGGAATGCTGCGCATGCCGGCCATGAACATCTGCCGGCCCGTCCCTCGAGTATCGAGGATCACTTGCCACTTATCGTCGGGAGAGACATCCATCGGATCGACATACTCGGGGTGATCCGTGATGCGACGGACCTTTCCGGTTGTGAGATCGGCAGCAAATACGTCGATGTTGCATGACTCGACGGGGTTGCCGATATATGTGACCTCTTTACCGCGTCCGGTGAATCCTCGAAGCTCGCCGACCGCAATAGCTGACCGGTTAAACACGAGCTGGTTACCTTTTGCGCTGATCGGCAGGGGGTTGTTCGGGTTATAGAGTCTGGTAACGTTAACCAGATCGTATCGCGCCGAGCGAGGTTCGCCAGTCTTCGGCGACGGGTTAAACTGCAGTCGACTAAAGTAGCCAAACTGTCCAAGTTGGCCATTGGAGAAGGTGAAGGAGTTGAATCCTAAGTGCACATTATCCGGATGTAGACGCAATTCTCGTATATCTCCCCCGGGTCCCGAGCCATCTGCCTTGACATTCCAACGGATCGGGTAGATATGCACTTTATCCGGTGTACACTCAGAACTTGCGAGCAGCTCCGAACCACAATCAACGATATTAGTCCCGATTAGGGCCCGCTTGCCATCCAAAAACGCCTGAGGATAGGGAGAGAGCTCTGTGCTGCCGACCTTGTTTTCTTCCGGCACGCCGCAGGTAATACACTTCCATGGGTCACCGCTAGGAAACTTGGTCCCATCCGCCTTTACCAGAGTCAAATGGGTGCCATTGTAAACGCTAGCCGGATCGGGCGCTGCTGGAGCCCCTGAGAAGTTTAAGCTGACAAGCACATGGTTGTTATCAGGAAGAAAATTTCCACTTTGGATCTGGGAGGATTTGAGCAGACATCCGGTCCGGTGAGGGCTGACTTCCGGAGTACAAGAACCCTCTTTACGGTCGGCGACAGGAGGCAAGGAAAGCTCGGTGACAACAATAGGCTCTGGTACGGGCGGCTTTAAGATTTGCTGGTTGGTGTCTCTGTTGCGATGGTGTACCCCGGCAACACTAGAAATGACGCCCAGAAAAGCTGTGGTACTTGCAACAACATGCATTTTGGACGATGTGATGGATGTTGAACACCAACAGCAGGAAGTTGGCCATATTTTATAATCTGGGATGTGGAAACGATCGGCCACCGCTTCTTCCGGTCAGCAGGGTTCTGATCCACAGAGGAAAGCTCTTCTCTAGGGTCTAAACATACTTCTAGGTCCCAGTATACGTGTATAGCAGACAGCAGATGAATTCGGCTACCCCGGGTTCTGAGTGGTCGATCGTTGCTGGATGTGGCAAACTGATACCTATCGTATCCGTATTCTTTTCCCATCATGGCGGCCGTCCGTATTCTATACTAAAAGAGGCAGCGTTTACGCAGCTGAATACCTGGCAAACAGAAACACTCCGATGATCTGCAGGATTGCCGTCGCTTCATTTCTGATGTATGCAACAGTGTTCTATTGTCAGAGTACTGCTATATTAATTTTAATATGGCTCGCCACCTTTTAAGGCATGCAGACCGACGTGCAGACGCTAACACGATATTGCTTCCACATTTGGCGGTAGACTGAAATGCTTGCAAGAGAATGTCATACCGTATCTCTTCACATGCTTTGGAATCCTATAACATAGTACCTGCTGCCAGGTGGCCGCGTATTCGTTTTATCTCCTGTGTCATGCGATGGTAGGGCTTGGGACATAGTGGAAAGAATTAATTCCCGTTGTCGCCTGTTACGCATACGATATCAGTTTGCTCGACGGAAGACACAATGTATGAGGTAATGATCTGCTAACTTGTCTGTTCATCCTGGATAGTTCTGAGCATCTCTAATGTGGTTCTCATCTACTTAGTCTTACAGTGGAAGAATGCGGGCGCCGGGGATGTTTCACGTATAATAACCAGTATTTCTATTATTAAGATAAAAGTATAGCATATGTGCACACATTCTAGAAGAACTTCCGCTTATTATCCTTGGATTGCCAGAGGAAGATGAACCATTCTAATGCCAGTATTTCCGGATTGGCTCCTGTATGAGCTGCCAAGCCTGCTCCATAGCTTGCACTACATCCTCAGGAAGAGGCCCTTTCTCCGAATCAATCAAGTTGCCTTCTAACTGCTTGACACTGCTCGCCCCGATAATCAAGGCATCGTCGTGCTGTTTATCCAAGACAGAGTGGTGTACCAGCCAGCGGTAAGCGCACTCAGCAATGGTGAGATTGTGCTTTTGAGCAGCTGCTCGGATAATCTCCAGTGCTGCGAAGGTAGTCTTGTTCCAGTAGCGGGAACTCATCGTAGAGCTCTGTTTATTGTTGGGATCGTACCGTGTCCCAGAGTCGAAAGAGGTGGTTCCAATATGGTAACGACCGGTCAGTAGACCGCCTGCCAATGGTTGAAAGGCATATAAGGCAATATTGTAATGCCGAAGACAGGGCAGCAACTCAGCCTCAATCGCTCGGTGAAGTGGGTTGTAGATGCCTTGGTAGACGGACGGACGAATCCAACCATGACGGTCGCAAATTTCACACATCTGGGCGACTTCCCAGGACATGAAATTACTGATCCCAAGACGTTTGAATTTGCCTTCACGGTGTAACCTGTCAACTTCTTGCATAGTGACTTCGAGTGGTGTGTTGCGGTCCGGCGCGTGAAGATACCAGAGATCCACGCTGTCTGTGTTCAGCGCTTCAAGACTTCGGTTGAGTGCTCGTCGCAGATCGTCTGCTCCGAGAGTGTAAGTGTTAGGTCCAGCCCCCCAGTTTGCTGTTGGATATATTTTCGTGTGGATCCGTAAGTTCCTCTCCTGCCAACCGCTTTCTCCCAGGAGAGACTCGGAGGTGCCGTTGCCGTAGGCGCGGGAAGTGTCGATGTCACTGTGGCCATGTCGTTGGAAGACATCTAGCACGTCTCTAACTTCCTCAGGCGTGGTTTGTCGGCAGCCATCGAGCCCTGATAAACCGTCAATATCCAGTCATTCGTTGATGCACAGTGGTGATAACGTACCTGCTTGGCCGACGGTCATAGCCCCAAAGACGATACTGATATTGGTGGATGCCATTGCACTGTTGATAATGACAATGCGGTTTTCCTGTACTTGTATAGATTGATCGGATGCCTCTAACAGCAACAGTGATCACAAGTGGGCAATTCCATTATATACCCTCAGTAGTTACTTCCGGTAACTCCGCGCAAATCTTAATTCCGTTGCTTGAAGTCCTGTCCAGCGTTTTTACGGACACGACCGAGATAGATATATACCCATACTCCACTCGAGAGACATATTTCCGAAAGCCTGTATATGGAAAATTTGAGACTGTGGGTCTATAGCATAATTAGCATTTAAAGTGGTCAGCAAAATGCAGTGATCGGACTTTACATCGGAGTTAAGAGTCGCCTCGTCTTAGTTAAGAAGTCAACCACAACTCTTGCTGTCATAGAACCAAGTGCCATCATTCATCACTATTTCTGTATTACTATATAAACATGATAAACATGCCTGAGCCGACGGCACCGTCCCTGCCACCTCCCCGCCGAGTTGTAACCGGCCACAACACTAACGGTCAAGCAACAGTGGCCTTCGACTCCCACCTTGCGCCCCAGTCTGTGGGAGATGGCACCAACTTGACGATACTGTGGTCAACGAGCGAGCACCCCGCAAATGTCAGTGGACCAGAAGATGCAGCTCCATCAGCTCCAAGCTGGCCGCCCAAGGGCTCTGGAATCACCGCTTATGATATCCCCCCCAAAACAGAGGGAGTCTTCCATCGGTCTATCACGCTCGACTACGTGATAGTGGGCAAGGGAAGTGTTGTTCTGGGCCTGGAGGATGGCTCGAAAGTGACATTGAATGAGGGCGATATGGTTGTCCAGCGAGCAACGATGCATGGTTGGAGCAACACAACCGACCAGTGGGCACGGCTCTACGGTATGATGGTCCCGGCGCAGGCACCTATTGTGAACGGGGAAGAGCTTAAGGAGGATTGGCCTTTTTAAACCCTTTTGCTCGTTTGCTCACAGGCATTTGATGCTTCTCCGGAGACATGGGTCTCTTTTGTGCACTCAACGAATTTGTCACTTGGACAATCTGGCTTATCTCCAATGCGGAACGAAAAGTTTGTCTCTCAATATGTTACATTTGGTCACACTTGTCTTGGGGGTACTTAATTCTGGCCATCTTGGTACAGTTATTCGATTTTCTCCTACGAGCGAATTCGAAGTCCATGGTTATTCCTTGACTCTCCGCTACAGTGAAATTGGATGAGCTCAAACCACAGTTTGGTATTCTCTGATGAGCTTTGAAGTATTATCGTAGCTTGGTATCATCTGTGTAAGGTTTCCATAATCGGACTGTATTTTCACTTCTCGTTCATAGAAAAAGTACCAAAAAACATTGATTACTAGCAGCAACAGCTAGCCCAATCCATAAAACACTGCTTTAACTAACTAATAAACAAATATAAAATCCTCGTTCTTGAGATCCGTCGTGTCCGAAAACCCCTTATCCTCAGTTTGATTCTGCTGAGGAGCGGCATTCGCATCCTCAAGTTCGACCGCCTTACCCACCTTCTGCTTGCTGAACATGGACTCATCCACTATCTGAGCCGATTTACCAAGATCCAGTCTCCGCTGCGCATGCTTCCGGTTGAGGTAGATGAGGTACAGATTGGTTAGGCTGGGGAGAGTAAGCTTCTGCATCCAGCATATAATCACGAAACCTAAGGACTTACATCGCAAACACGCCCACAATCACGAACAAGATAAGGTTCGAGATCAATCCCGGACGGTATAAAGGAGCCTGAGATGTTGAGTAAAGCTGGGGGCCGATCACCTGTTTATGATCAGCATGAAGATTTCAGACGAGAGGTAGGTTAAGACGAGAGCATACATTGCCGGCGCACATCCCGATCAGCACAACCGCCGACGTGCACTTTCGTTTGGTGTCTCCAGCGGTATTTTGTGCTTCCCATGCGTATACCAGGGGAGTAATGCCTGCTAGGAAGGATACCTATTCTGATATTAGTCATGTCGATGAGATAGTTAAGTATGGGATGGGATTGAAGAAAGAAGCCCGCGTACCAAGTAATACCCGAAAAGAAGCACCCCCTTCTGCTCCCGGGGTACAACAATCATCAATAGTGTCCCGATAGCAGACACAATCGCAAATCCGACAATGACGAGTCCCTTGCGCTGAAACCGGGTGGCCAGCCAGCCGCCGCCTACGATGGCGATGACCTGGATTACCCCAAAGGGGATGTTGAAGAGAATGGTCTCGAACGAGCCGTATCCGAAGGATTTGATGATCAGGTTCCCGAATGTGCTGATACCACCGCTTGGGATTCTGGATGGCGTTAGCGTTGGAATTCCGTGGTTAATGGCTGGACATGATTCCACTAAGCACAGTCACGTACGAGATGGTGACGATCAGGAAAAACCAACACCAGGTTTTCATATCATACAGCGTCTCCCAGACATGGTCCCAACGCCACTCGCGGGAGACGACACCCATCTGGTTTGCGCGAAGTCGCTCCACCGCGATGACCTTCTCACGGTGATTGAGGCACTTGGCTTCCATGGGTGAGTCGGGCATGAAGATGAGGACAAGGAGTGAGAAGGCGACTGTGAGAAGCCCGCAGAACATGAAGATAATCTGGCACAGCTTAGCTGACATAGTTCAAACTAGGTATGTAGGATCGGGCTTTACCTGATAGGAATAGAGCGTGTCGCTGTGGATATGACCCAATCCGTATGTGAACAGACTTCCGACCTGCCAAATGCTTTGTCAGTGCCATTTCATTGCATCTGTAGATTGGGGACAGAAAACGTACGACGAATGTCACGCCGTTCATCCCATTCCAATAGGCTGTCCGCAGAGTCTGCTCGCCTCGTCTCCACCACATCTGCGTTACGGCCACGCATGAAGGCGCTGTTGTGTCTTGTTAGGATCTTGTCCCAGACAACAAGTTACTACTATTTGCAGGGTAGCAACATACCTATCATCGCTTCGAACGCCCCCAAGGTAAACCTCAGTCCAAGCAAGCTAGGAAAGTCCGTACAAGCCGCCATAATGGCCAAAGAACTGCCCCACAAGAATATCGCCGATCCGATCAGTTTTCCTGTCGGAAGCTTGACAAGCAGCAGCGCTGCGATAGGCTGCATGACCAGCTGGGCCAGGTAAAGAATCGATCCCAGCCATGAGTATTGCTGTCCATGGAGGTTTGCATCCTCGACTAGTCCGAAAATGGAGACATAGGAGAGCGTGGATTTGTCGAGCTGTTGGAAGAAGTACGCTCCTAAAAGCAGAGGTAGTAAACGGCGATCGATTCGTTTCAGAACACCCTTCTCTTCTTCTGGTGTAAAGGTCCGTTCGCCCTCGTCGACCTCAGCAAGGAACCGCGCTGCCTTTTCCTTGCCCTGGTTCCGGGGTGCTTGCGGGTCTTCGACCGCGGTGATATCGTCGTGTGGTGTTTCTGCTGGACCTGCCATGTTGCCTACTAGTAAATGTAGCTGTGGGGAATGACATTATCCTGGGAAAGAGTGTATTTATTCTGGCTTCGGATTCTAATATCCCGACACGAGCACAGAATAGCTATTGATGGCCATGAACGTAATGACAACAATACCTGGCCTCCATTGGAATCGAAAGCCCAGTGGAGCTCTTCCCCAGACTACACACCCCAGATTTCCCCGCATCATATGCTGAGCCCGATTCATGGAAAAATTGTTCATTTAGCCTGAACGAAGTCTGTGCGGGGAGTGCAGATCTATCACCTCGGGGCATTGCAGCCCGAGGACTTAAGAAGCAGCTATATCCCCCTTGACTCCAAGGTCCAACCGGTTGACACCTTTTGTTCGTCCAAGTTGTAACCTAGCCGATATAATGACCAATCTGAACGGAACAGAGCCCAAGATGAAACGATACGCCTTGATTGGAACGGGCGGCCGCGCCATGTTCTTTTATACAGCCATCGTGCGCGACTTCGGCAGCACCTCCCAACTGGTCGCTTTCTGCGACACCAACAACACTCGCCTGGCTTACGCAAACAGTCGCATTGAGGCACTAGGCCACAGTGCCGTTCCTACCTATCTGGCCGCGGACTTCGACCGCATGATCGACGAGACTCGCCCGGACGAAATCATCGTGACAACCATCGACCGCACACACCATCAATACATCGTCCGCGCACTAGAGCGTGGATGCAACGTGGTCACCGAGAAACCGATGACGATCGATGCGCCGCGGTGCCGACAGATCATCGACGCCGTCGACCGCACCCAGAGACAGGTGCGAGTGACCTTCAACTACCGGTATGCACCGCATAACACCAAGATCGCGGAGCTGTTGAACGCAGGGGTGATCGGAGATGTCAACTCCGTGCATTTCGAGTGGATGTTGAATACCTCGCACGGGGCGGACTATTTCCGCCGTTGGCATCGCGATAAGCGCAACAGTGGCGGGTTGCTGGTGCATAAGTCTACGCATCACTTTGATCTGGTGAACTTCTGGTTGCAGACGAAGCCGGAGACGGTGGTTGCTATGGGCGATCTACGATTCTATGGGAAGGAAAATGCGGAGCGGCGGGGGGAAACGCGGTTTTACTCTCGGGCCCGGGGCAGTGATGTGGCTAAGGAGGATCCCTTTGCGCTGGACTTGGAGGGCAATGAGCAGCTGAAGGCGCTTTACGCGGATGCTGAATGGGAGGATGGGTACTATCGCGACCAGAGTGTGTTTGGTGATGGCATCAATATTGAGGATACCATGGGGGTGATGGTGAGGTATCAGTCCGGGGCCGTGTTGACATACAGTCTCACTGCATATGCGCCCTGGGAGGGGTTCCGGGTGAACTTCAATGGGAGCAAGGGAAGGCTGGAGGTTGAGGTGGTGGAGCAGTCGTATGTGAACTCGGGAGGAGAGCAGGCTATGGAGGGCGCACTGGAGAGTCGCACCATTCTCCTGCGGCCAATGCTGGGCAAGCCTGTGGAGATCGAGGTTCCAACGGGCCAAGGGGGTCATGGTGGTGGTGATCCCCAGTTGCTACAAGATCTCTTTGGCACCCGGTCCCCCGATCCGCTGAACAGAGCTGCGTCACATTTAGACGGGGCATGGTCGATTGCGACGGGTATTGCGGCCAATGAGTCAATGCGTACGGGGCAGGTAGTGCGTGTCAATGAGGTTCTGCAGTTGTAAGGGAGTTTCCAGCTGTGTAGCGACTTTAACACCTTGATTAACCAGTGTGTCGGCATATGAAGCTGTTTCTCGTAGCTATCATTGTCATCAATGCATTCACTAGTTTATAGTGGCAAGCGTGATACGAATTACCCACTTTACAATGTAGCTGCAAGTCACGGATATCCCTGGGATTTGTCAAGAAGGCATATTATCTATACCACAGTCACCACCGAGCGACACGTGGGTCCGATACGTGACCTATTCATCAAGGCAGAAATATATCAATCTGCGGACTTACAATGTAGGTCAGCAAGATACTATGAGTTGTTCCTATCTTCATGGCCCCAACAGTAAGTTCCCAACAATGCACCAACTGGTTCTACTACAAATTCTGATATACTCAACTTGCAGATGTGCAAAATACATGTTACTACAAGCCGTCACACCAAATGCCCTACTTCTTGCACAAAGGTAACGCGCATCCTCGCGACCGTGGGCATGCCCTATCTTTTCAGCAACGGGGCAAACCTGTCGGGAACCCAAGGGTGTATACCTCGGGAAAGCGATCGCATGGGGCAGTGTCTCGAGCACAAAGATGAAGGCTTCGCGGAGTACGATACTCGGTGACTCCGAGGCTTTTCAAGTGAGAAGATTAGCGAGATTTGTTATAATAATCGTCCATGTTCATCACTCGTGAGATATTTGGTATTCCTGTGCGGAATTTAACCGCATAAGTTAACCCAATATGATGATCGATCTGTGGATGTGCTGTGGAATTTTTCATCACTAAAAAGACTTTGGGTGTTGGAATTGGACACTCTTCCTCTATGTACAAGAGACTAAATAATAAATGGTAGTACTGAGAAGAGACATATAAGCTATAGTTGATATGGTCGAGTTGTTTTAGAGGGGATAGGAACGACACATAAGGTGTCAAAAAAACTCTTCAATATTTAGAAGATTGTTCTACTACTATTGGAGAACTCTGGCTATGATCTTATTCTTATGAGATATTCAGTCATTTTACGTCTATTTAAGTTGAATACAACCCCCGATGCAACCCATCAGTATCCAGTGCACTCAAAACCACCTTTCCCTATCTCCATTGTGGCTCAGGAACAATCCGCTACTTTCAGCATCCAGACGTTCAATCACCTGGAGGCTCTTTCGAACACTCTCCTCAGGCTGAATCTGCCCCTTGAGTTCAGGCTCGACTGCCTGAAACTGCTTTAGCATGAATCTATCCGCTTGTATCACCTGAGGGGGTTTCTCTCCTGTGATGATATTAGTGTCCACCATTGCTGCAGCAAGGCAAAAGAAAACATACCCTCCGATGTATCAACCCACCCAGGGCTCAAAGCCAACACCTTGATACCTCTAGGCGCAAGTTCTGCTGCGTACTTAGCGACTTGGACATTCATGCCGGCTTTTGCGATAGAATACGCGACAGCATAGCTGATACCAGTCTTATTGATAAGATCCAAATCCGCCATGCCGCTAGAGATGTGCACAATCTTCTTCTGGACACCCTTCTCAATCAGAGGAAGGAAGGCGTTTGTCGTCCATAGACCACCGTAGATGCCCGTACTGAGTGCTGGATCGAAAATTGTCCGAATGGCTTGAGCATCAAAGGGCATCTGGGTCGGGTTGAAGGACATGGTGGCCCCATCAACGGCGTTGGAGTTGTGGATAAGCACGTCTAGCTTACCGCCGGTGATGGCGGCTGCAGCCGAGGCAGCCTCGAGAATGGACTTTGGGTCCGTCACATCACCTTTGATAACGTGCACGTTAAGGTGCTTGGAGGCGAGCTCAGATATATCGGGCGATTTTGGGTCTCGCACAATAGCCAGGACCGTGTTGGTCGTATCGGCAGCGAGTTGACGCACGAACTCGCGGCCAATGCCCTTGGAGGCTCCGGTGATGGCATATGAAGACATTCTTGATTTGTATTCAAGGTAATTATTTATTCCAGTGATAAATGAATTGATCTAGTACTAATGCCGTTGTGATATTCCTACAATATACTTCCTATATTTATATACATTCGGCGGATTTACAAACCGTTCCCGACCGGATGATCCGATTTTCCCGGTCCAACGGTTCATCGGCCGTCAGTCACGATCCGTCGCCCGCTCCGTTTTCTCCCCACCTCCTTACGCGACATCATGAACGCCACAATCCCTGCAGTCAAGAGGAGGGCATGTGTGGCGTGTACGGCTGCCAAGGCGAAATGCACGCCGCAGGGTATCAACCTGTGCCAACGGTGCGCTCGTTTGGGCAAGTCATGCACATACCTTGACCTTCCGCAGACGAAGCGGAAGCACAAGGCTGCACCAAGGTAATCCTTTCCAACACAAATGGTATTTGTCCTATTAACTATTGATGCAGCCGTATGGATGTGCTAGAGAAGAAGGTCGATCAACTGATGTCGCAGCTGGCTGCCTTGACCCGACAGAGCGGGCAGACATCGCCGGATACTTCCAATCCGCACATCAACAACTTGGGCTCATCTCGTGATTCCGAGCAGGATTCGAGCGACATTGCCGCGCTGATAGATGCTGCTCAAGACCCGTCCCACGGCCTCGATCCGCCGACCAGCTCTGCTCTGGAGGGCCAGCCGTCTATTGTAGATCGAGGGCTGCTGAGTGAAGCCGAGGCCGAACGCTTGGTTTCGACCTTCAAGCTTGAATTAGTGCCCAAGTTTCCCTGTGTATTGATTGCACACGATGAGGCGGCCGCTCGCCTCAGGGACCGAGAGCCTTTTCTCTTTTTGTGCGTCGTGGCCGCGGCCATGGGCAGTGCCCACCCTCTGCGCAAAACGGTCGCCGAGGAGATCATGAAGCACGTTACGTCGAGGATTGTGGTACGGTCTGAGAGGAACCTCGAGTTGCTCCGTGGTCTGCTGGTTTACAGTGCGTGGTACTCATATCCTGCAGAGCGATATCACCCGCGACTTTTGCTATTGATTCAGTTTTGTGGTTCGATTTTGTATGATTTGGGACTTCACAGAAAACCTAGTCTAAGTGTGGATGAGCAGCGGGCACTGCTGGGGACGTATTGGATGTCGGTTGGGTGAGGGTGTCTGCGCTGGTTGACGCGCTCAGGCTGACTCTCTATTAGTTTCTCTGGCACACTCGGTCGGCCGGTGATCCTGAAGCATGATCGTCGAGTCGATGAATGTATTGAGAGTATGACATCTACCGAGCATCTGTCAGATCGGTGGATTGCGCCTTTTAGCCACCTACAGTCTTTCTCGGCAACTCTAGATGAAGTTTACGCTTCCATGCAAGCAAGTGGTGGAAGAGCGCTCGTGCAGGCTACGCGCGGCTCGCTGCAGCGGCAATTTGATAGCATGAGGACACATGTAGAAAAAGATCTCATGAGCTGCCCTTCGTCAACAGGTGTGTATTGGATCCAAAGTGGTTGATGAAGATTGACCGTCCGCTGCAGAGAATGCCATACGCCTTGAAATCAAATATACGGAAATACGGCTGGAGGAGTTATCTCTTCGAGAGGAACTGTGGACTGCAGAGCCTGCCAGCGCAGTCCGGACAAACATGCTGATGGGTATAATCCAGCGAAGCAAGGAGCTCATTCAAACGAGCACAAACCTACCAGCGTCGGAGATTGCTCACATGACAATAACCACAAGTGCTCGTATATGTGCTGCAGTGGGCTACATACCCACTGCAATATTCACCCTTCTCAAGATTATCACTGGCTCTACAGACCCTCCCATGGATGCTCAGGTGCAGGCCGTTGTTGATGCGGCAGACTATCCCAATCTTGTCACGGAGCTGGCCAACGTGCTGGAGACGAAATTTGAGGGAATGCCTGCTGCAGACAAAGAGGCGGATATTGTAGGGAGCCTTTGCTCTAAAATGCGACTACTAGCACGTTGCTATCCATATCAAATCGGGGCGATTGTTGGAACTGTGCCGTCCCAGGACGGAAGACAGGATACGTCCATGATGGCAGCACACGACAATGAGGTTGCTATAACCCCCCAAGCCTGGCCGACTATCTACGGCGATCTGAGCGACATACTCCCTGTCGATGACATCCAGTGGGATTCTCTATTGAGCAATTTCACTGAGTTTAGCTAGCATAGCTGATACCTTTCTGAATTTTGGTACAAGATAGTTGATACACTAATACATAGTTTCATGACAGATGATTGAGGCTTCGTAAACACGTCTGCCTAGTTTAGATACATCAAATTTACTCCAGTGAATTGTTAACACACATCTTTGTGAGGGACAAGACAATGGCCAGGTGCAACAGCTTTGGAAGTTGGCCGTCAATCCATGATACCGAGCTGTAAACAAACCGTGTTTCCAGTTTTGAGAAACATGAAATGGAAAAAGTGGGCATATTCGTCAAACTTGACCAAAACATGAAGGATTTAGGGCCTGCAAAGTTTGCATCAGGGCCTTTTGGAATCCACAGTTATGAACCTCAGACCGATGTATGAGTAGGATACTCGGGAACGGGTTTTCGGGTAGGGGGCCGGGTGGACGGAGTTTCCGGCTCAAGGTGGCGGATGATTGTCAACGCAACTGTGGAGATAGAATCCACTAGTCGCATTGACCAGGACCATGATGAGGCAAAAGACGGGCTCTGGAAATCGAGCTTATGGGTCAATCCCCGCGGGAAACCATTGAGACGGGATACATACCCCTATCACTACCGGGAGTGAGGGCTCTGGCTCTCCTCTCCTCCGGTCTCCAAAATTGTCGTCTATATCACCCGCACTCTCGTGGTACTTCCCTTACCGTTTTAAAGGCACGGACAGAACATTAGCCGTGAATTTAATACGACTGAGCGGGCGGCAAGCCCTGTTCTCCACACCCTATAGCCGTGGGCACCAATATCGGCAATGAATAATATACTCATAGTTCAATTCGAGCGCCGCTTTGTAGTCGCCCGACTATGTGAGTCAGGCAGGTCGATAACTAGCTGCAAGGGAAATCATTCTTTAATTGTGATACCTAGAAATACCTAGAAATAATGTACGTTCTTCTTACGCACAAATCATTTATTGGTTCCCTTAGCTCGTTTCAGCATATCTGATTTGCGTAGGTTAGGAAATGCTCTTCTGTTTACTCCTAGTCCTTAGGGATACAGTTTTGATAGGAAAAGTACCAAATTGTGTGCCAATCCAAAGATTGAAGAAAATAAACTAAATCTTATGGTCTTAACGAAAAGCTTTCCAGCTGTTGAACACAAAACGTCACTAGACTAGCCAAGACTTATACAGTCAAGATCAACACAGGGTTTCCATTCGACAGATTACGAGAGACCTTCCGGAGCCCATTCCATTGTTGCAAGGGGTCTCCGTCAAGGTTGTCCAGCAATACGATCTATGAGTCGGCCAGGAAGGACGGCTTGATCAAGGACATAGTAAAAAAAAGAACACGTGCTTCAAGCATACTATACTGCCGATAATTTGCGCAAGGCCAACCGACCTCGGGAGATATACGAGGATGACGAACGAGATTACGCTTAGCTGATGTATAGAGATATGACGTGATGGCATATACCCACATGCGCAAGATGCGTCAGAAACATCCTGTCATCCGCATTGGGTCCAGCTCTCTTGCATACGGTGACCTATGGCAACCCGATACACATATGGTCATATCCTCCACCAAATAGAAGCCGGGGAACAGCTCAATCTAGGTAACGTGATTGATAAGCATGACCATACATGCAAAAGAAACATTAGTTTCCAGTGCGTTTGTCTGCCTCTAAGATGTGGATGGGCGCGAGTTTAGAGTGGCGGAAATGGTGACTTAGTTTATTAAGGCGCGTGACTGGGATTGCATCCGCCACTGTCAGAGAACCCTAAGGCAGTGGACCCTTTCGGCCGGACCTTGACTATTGCGCTTGGGTATATTTTGTCACTAATGGTGCAATAGCTCATGACAGGTGGAGATTATTTGTCACTACCTCGAAATGACCTTGTCCCTGTGGAAGTGACGATTGTAGCCTAAGCCAAGTGCATTTCCGCGGTTGTCATGTCCCAAAGACTGCTCATGCTAGTGTCAGCAAATGTATTTTTCACTATCTGTATGGAGATAAGAGTGACGACTTGTTTCGGTCTCTCATGCAAAGCAGATATGGCGAGCTGAATAGTTTAGCCCTCGAAGAAAGAAATACCGGATCCACAGTTATGCACGTGGGCTATACTACAACCGCCGTTGCCCTGAATAACATTTTGTTTTGGCTACCGAGAACCCGGAATGGTCTAGATGTTTACTGCAAGAGGTCAATGAAGATCTTACTCCAGGGGATATTATGGCGCCTTGCGAGAAAACGCGAGAAGTCTTCCTTACCTGCGTGTCTATTTGAATGAGAATCTTCGGATTACGCCGCCGCTCACTCTCGACTTGCCTAGATGGACACCACCCACAGTGGCGCTTATAGTCGGAAAGTCTGTTCCTGGCTATACTATAGTACCGATGTCATCTTATGTTGTAGAATTTATCAGCGCGGAAAAGTTTAAAGCCGACCGCCGGCCTTAGTGAAGGGTGACAAGGCACTCAATTCTATTTTCTAGCGTTTAGTATTGATGCCAGGGGGTGTATTAGCCTGCCTCACCCTAGCTGGAGCAGGCAGCCATGGTGGCAAGTGTCATTCACTGATATACATTTGCCCTTCCAGATTCGGATTCGACGAGACCGTGGAGTTGTCGGGGCGTTTGCTACTGAAGATATGGAGGAGGTCCGTCACACAAGCCACAGATACAAACTTGATGTTAATAGAACTAGAACATGGGCTCGAATGGGCTGGAGTGAAAGCAATCCGTGACAATATCCTCCCGCCTAAGACAATCCATACACCAGTCGAATCAAATGACGCTGTTCCGGGATTTGCAGAAAGCTACCTTTAGATACCGTACTGAGCAATGTAGTAAACCAAACCTTAACGGTGAATCTGACATCAGCGACTATTAGAAATGCAAAGCAAAGCCTCTCCTCCTTCGCTCGCAATTTTGAGTTCTGGTAGATGGTTACCTACTGCTATCCTGCTGACCATCGACAAACCCTAAGCTTATCAACTTGATCTAGGAGACGCTAGTTTTCAGTTTACTTTTTCGTAACCAGGAGGTCTGGGCCATCCATTCCTGGGCTGGTTCTCGAACTGATAAACCATGGTTGTCCACTGTAGGATCCATCCGTTCGGTTCGACCCAAACTTCCCCAGCAAATCTCGTCTCGCTACCTGGAGACCCCGCATGCTAACCGCCACTCCATTATTCAAGTTGGGAAATAGATAGAAAGATATACCACGAATCATTTCTCCTTACTAGAACATTGGACTTGGCGAGGCCCTGCCTCGATTCCAGTCACACACCAAGACCCAAGGTTCCATATACCAAACCTAGCAAAAGTATTTCTATCGCTGTTCGTCTATACTTGGAACCAATCGGATGGTCCCGATAGTCTGTAATATCTGGGCGAACCTGAATTGCTTGGTTTATTTGGCTGGTGGAAGAGTTTCGATAAGAATTATAAGACCTGTTTCCTAATGCGGTAGCCTCAGATGTGGTTCAGCCTGTGACTAATCGTAATATCATTGTTCTTGCCCGGTGACTGATAGTACGTAGCTCTAAAATAGGCTTTATAATATAGGGCCAGAAGAGACCGAAGACCGACAGGGGTGTCTGTGCATATTAAGGGGCTTGAGAGGCAATATCATGATGTCTATCACAGTGAAAACCGGACATGTCGCAAGCTCCTACTATCATATACTTATTACTTCAACCAGCCTTGCAAACCACCTCCTTCATCCAAATACACTCCCATATACTTGATGCCAGCAAAGATGACTCTGACAATCGCGTGCTTCCCTAGGGAAGTACCGACTTTCGACAATGTGTTGAATGACAAAGCACCTTATCCATACAGTCTAAAGTCCTTCAGAGACTACGCATCACAAAACCATTGTTCCGAGCCCCTGGAATTTCTGGAAGAGCTTAAACGATACAAACAAAAATATCGCTCTGCCCTTGGCTTGGACGGCTCCCGTCGCTCCTCTCGTCCATCATTAACACCACAGCTGCTTCTGACCTGGAGAAATATATTATCTGTCTATATCATGCCTGGATCTTCACAGGAGCTTAATTTATCGACGGAGGAACGGGACTCTCTACTTCAATATAATGACACATCGTTTCCACCATCACCCTGCTTGATTGACGAAGCAGTAACACGCATATCCCAGTCATTTGAGTCATCTATCTTTCTTCCCTACCTTACCAGCCGGGCCTTGCTAGTTCATGCAACCACTTCGGAGGATACACATCTCGAAGAGGACGAGGTGGGCATGTTCTATGATAAGTTGGCCATATCAACAACAGAATCAGACATGACAGATGATTCAAGAGAGATACTCAGGGCAACACCCCACATGGATCAGAAAGGTTGGAGAGAGGGCAAGAATGTGGTATTCAAGAAGTTACTATCCTTTCTTTCCCAGCCAACTAGATCCATGCGAGCATATCAAAGGACCTCTCAGGCTTCTTCTCGGAATGGGGGCTGATGATCCAAACTCTGACTGTCGTGGCCATGACCCTCTACTTCTCTGTATATATTTAATCAGCACTATAATGTCTTACGAATAGAATGCCAAGACCATGAATCATTAAGTGATTATGATATCTATTGAATAAAGCTATTCTATACCTGCGTAACGCCTACTATCCCATTCCCATAACCACTACTAGAATTAAGCCTCGCCGCCGCTGCCGCCAATTCTCTCTCCGTCGGCTTATTCACAATAGTCAAGTATAAAACATTCTACATTCAAACACATTAGCACCAATTCATACACTTGGAAAAGCCACGCTTACCTTCCTGATATTCCTCTGCTTTCCTTGTGCTTCTTGTCTCCGCTCCCGGAACTCCACGAACCGCGGCGCAAATTGCTCATCGCATTGCCGAATCTGTCTGTCGATTTCCCATCGAGACTGGTTCTGACTTCGAATGCTGTCCATCTGCTGATAATACTGCTCCATGACTCGCTGCTCTTCTTCTTCGACCCGTCGCAGGGCCTTGCGCCTTCGTGTCTCCGGATCAGGGGTCAGCACACCACCGGAGAGCAGTCCAATGAGACCCCCGTTCGTGGCGGGGTGATTAGGATCGAGATAGCGGTTTTTGAAGCCGCGGGTCAGCGGGACGTTAAGAATATCGCCTGAATTCTCGGCAGTCTGAATAACAACCGTTAATAGTTGTCTTCTTCAACTTCGCCAACGAACACAAAAAGAAGACAGCAAGACTCACGTATTGCGCACGGGCCCGCCGGTCCAAGTAATCATTGAACGTATCGAGCGCCCTTTTGACCTTCTTCGATCGCTTGATTTTCTCCGTGGGCTCCGGCGGACCTACATCGGACAGGAGCTCTTTATGCTGACGCCGATCATCAATATACATCAAGGGCGCAACAGCGGAGGGGAGATTATGAGCGCCTTGCGACGTTCCCGAGACAGGATCTCGTACCCAGCTGCGCGAGGCCAGGGATCCGAGCCGATTGAGCTGGCTCGATAGTGGCTGCGACGAGCGAGACTCAGCCGTGTCGTATGTTTCCGGCTCGTAGCTCATGATCATGCAGAAGAGGCCGCGAGGGCCGAACAGTTCTTGATTATATTGATCGAGGACAGCATTGGTTCTGCACGTTGCAATTAGTTGCATGCCTGATGAATGTTCTGGATTGCCCTTACTTGTGTCTGACATGGCCTTTGTTTGCGATGTAGGCACCGGCCTGCACAGCAGTGGCAACGCCCATCACGATCATCTCCGGGGTGAATCCAACGCCGAACGAGACCACTTGCACACCGGCTAGGAACTTATTTCCTTGTACGGCTGTATTGCATTCATCTAGGAATTTTAAGAATGTCATGCGGTCGATGCCGCATGCCTCTAGTGACGGGGTATAGGCGGCGATGAAACCGCGTTCCCTGGATCCAGGTCGTTGCTGTGGAATTACGATCGGGAGTGGCAGAGGCCCGCAGTTTGTCGAGCGTTGGGGAGAGGGATAGTCTTCCTCCTGGTATGTATAGTCTCGTTCATAGGACGTTGTATAGTATGAACTGCCAGGCATGGTGGACAGTGAAAAGAGTGATGGAGTGTAGATATCATCTCAAGAAAACCGGTCTCGCCCTCCATATTTATAACTAAACTGCCCAGCTACTCAGCTTCAGCCATGGTATCGACCATTAAAGATAATTAAGCCTCATCCGCTCCTACGTGGCGGAGCTTAGCATGCATTGACTTCAAAGTCAGCTCTGTATAGGGCTTCGGTCTTCAATTGGTCAGCATCATGCATACCTGTTCGGGTAGTACTTCGACGGCGCTTTACCCCATAGGGTCTAGTCATTTTTGCCCTATCCTCTCACTGATGGAGTGCATCTGTTGCTGCTTGATATTGTTTGGAGTTATATATCACCGTCATGGGAGGGTATCGATCGATAATTATTGGTGTAGAATATAATGATGATGGCCATATCAAGTCCAAGACCAAGCTTTGAGAGCAGTGAACATTCGCCATCTTCTGTGACGTTGTCACCTACTTTCGGTGTAATCTCGATTGAATGATCGCGTCAGTGATTATTAGATGTCCTTGTTATCTGGCATCCTGATGATACATATCGCGAAATAGTAAGCATAGACAATGTACTGGATGTGTGTCAATAATCGCATGCAGATTCCCGTTGATTGGTCATCAGAAGTAAGCGACCAAGCTTTCAAGTGAGTCTTGGGGAAAAGGCTTGGTGCCAGCACCTAGCATGACAGGACGAGTAAGGACTCCAAGAGGCCCGCTTTACTAGAAGCTAGTGGTATTCTTCTGCAAGACTGGTTAGCACAATCTATCACAGCCGCACGACGAACTGCTTTCCTCTTCCGTCTCCTGTTGCCGGCCCCAGTTTTTACCCCGCGATTTCAGGCAACCATGGTGTATTGTGGACGGCCTTCCACCAGCTGCGAGAACTGCCGGGCCAAGAAGAGACGAGTACGTCGGCTTTCTATTTCTGGCAATATTGACTCAATCTGGGGCTCCTTCTTTCCATCTCACGTTAAGTGACACTAACAGTGGCTCGGATAATGGGTAATAGTGCGACAAGGCTGTCCCCGGATGTGGTCAATGTCGACGTATGGGACAGCAATGTCCTGGCTATCGAGACCCCGCGAGCCTTCTCTTTCGAGACGAGAGCAGCCAGATCGGCGACAAAGTGCGGGCAAGAATCACGAAACGTGACACTTCTCGGGCACGTACTCCAGGCCGGTCGCAGTGTGCAGGATCACAAGTGCAGCTAGAGCAGGGATTACTTAATGAAGACCCTCTACTCACTTGCCATAGTCAGGGCATAGTGGGGAGCAATGCCCTACAAGTGAATCGCAACCCCCTGGATGCTAACAATGAGAATCCGTGCTCGCTGGAGCGCAGTAGCTCCTCGTCCTGGCCCGGGTTGGGGAGCGAGAATGTAGGGAACGGCGAGGAAGACGGGGAAGACTCTGATAATCAGAGGGCGATTCCCTCACCGTTTACTCTGCCTCTCGATATGATCGGGTTGAACTATTTCCTAGCAAACTACATCGTGCGACAATCTCCACCCTCATCTGGTTTTCTCGACTACGTACCCAGCATTCTCACATTAGACGATGACGATGAGATTCTGCAGGGAGCCATTCTAGCCGTGGGCTTAGCTGGATTGGCCCATAGCACCCATCAGGCCGATCTACGGAGTAGGTCAAGGGTCATGTATACGAGAACCATCAAACGAATGAACCAAGCTCTGTCAGACCCGCCGACGGCACGCCGGCATAGCACGATCGTCACAGTTCTGATTTTGTCCCTCTATGAATTCGGCGAATCATCACTTAATGGGTGGGATCGGCATATCCAGGGTGCGACCTTGCTGCTAGAGCTGCGCGGCAAGGCCCAATTCACCACCCCCGTTGGCCTTCAGATATTCAATGACATCTTCAGCCATCTTCTGATAAATTGTCTACGCATGGGAAGTGCCATCCCCGCACCCCTCCGGATGATCCGCGCCGAGGCTTCCAAAGCAATTAGTGCCTCCGACCCCTACTGGGTTGCCAGTAGCGGTCTCGTGGACATCATGGATCTCTATTCCCAGATAGCCCCCGGAGGCTACGATTTCATCCATGGTAGGGAAGTCGACAGTAGTGGAACTAGCACCGCAGAAAGGCAATTGCCTATCGACGAGCTAGAGCGGTACCTATCCCAGGCTCTGGATATTGACCACCGCCTCGAGAGTCGATTCTCGGAATGTCCACCGGAGTGGCAGTTCACTGTCGTGCAGCTTGCTAGTCCAAACCCTACCCGGGTCCATGGTGACGTCTACCATAGCTATCATGATGCCGGGGTCGTCGGTGTTTGGAACGATATGCGCACCTGTCGCGTCCTGGCCAACCACGCCATCTGCCATCTTCTACTACGAGGAGCCAAGTCGGACCCCAGTTGGTTCTTTTCCAGAAATTACAGCGATCAACTACAGGAGACTAGTCGAACGATGAGGCGGATTCGCGATGACATTCTGGCCTCTGTGCCCCAGCAGATGAGCTACTTCCCTTTCCCTGCCCAGGAGCAATTGCAGCCGGTGAACCTGGGGCAGTATTTCAACCAAGCGACGATATCAGGCTCCAAACTGTCGGCTCTTTCGACTACAACTGTCAACGGCTTCAGCTTCGAGCGATCTACGTATACCGGCGCAGGAGTCGGTGCGTATTTTGCCAGCTGGATGCTCTTACTTGCCGGGTGTATGCACACCAACTCGGAGGATACGCGACAATGGATAGTAACACAGCTGCGACACATCGGTCGACAATCAGGTCTGGCTCAAGCCAACTTCTTTGCCACTTGCGTTGAGACAAGTACAGTCCGGCCGCCGCTGAGTACCTAGAATGGAGTCTACTTTGGCTGGTGGTCATGGAAAAAAACTCCAACTTAGCATGATTCTCTTTGTGATTGTGCATTATGTTTCGGTTTCCATCACTTTCTGAAGACAGGGTATATGCTAATGCATCATATTAATAAACCCGATGGATCTGAACGACATGCAAATTGAACAATGTGGGCAGTGTTCTGGGACTCCAGATCGTCCACTTCACTGGGCTCAGTAAATGCTGCATAAAACATACCACTGTTGTTAATTCTTTGTTAGGACTGTATAAGGAATGGCAAAGTGATATCAAGCCTCGCCACGTAGTGTTGGTCATGAGGTTACCAAGACAGGAAAACAGCATTGCAACATCGTGTTTGCCCGACTAGGTTAGAGTCATTCGATCACTGAACTAGTCCTATTATGGTATAGTTTCGTCAAGCCACTACTCAGCACCGTCACCATACAAATGGACCGTTTGCATTCGGCTGTGCTCTTTATCCAGTCGATGAAAGACTGAAGTTTCATTTACGGATGGGAACAGCATGGGCTCTTTGGAACAAAGCCTTGTCAGGCAAACACGACCCTAGCGAACTGTTTCCTGCAGAACTTCGCATCTTTCCCTTTATGGAGCAGGATGCTCAGTGAGTAATCTCAGAGTATAGAATAGGACTGAACTAGAGCATTGTTAGGTCGATCATCCTTTGCCATATTCATAGAACGGCCACGGTGGACCCGCTTAATGCCGCCATACGCACTGTCAAAGGCAGTGGCTGGATTACTGGTTTGCCGCTTCACGCAGATGCATTTCACCCATCGGGTTCTTCCCCGACAGGGTTGAGGCTGAGCGATCAATGAAGACTTTGATAGTCAGTGGGAATCTGGCTGGCTTGTCTAGGATGGGTCTGGATGCTGATAAGCAGCTATCTCTTTGAAACAACAAAGGGAAGAAAAGACAAAGACACTGTTTATGAGCGGACCCTTTATGACAGACCCCTTTGTTACGACGGGACACTCTATGATGGGAGCCACAGGACTCTTTTTCAGGCTGAAGACCTCCAATAGAGCAGGTTAGACAAGCGTCTTTGCTCGGTAGCAATCATATCTCCACATAGATCACGGTTTACTCTCCTCCGCAGACACCCGAGACGATTGTTTTCCTTTTGCCTTCCTTTGTGTACAGACCTTTGCAAACCGATGAACTTGTGAATAGTACCATACGGGTCTGAGCGCACATGGCGCGCTCTTGTCTCTGTTCCGTAGAATATCGCAGTATAGAATAGGGGAAGCTCCAGCATAAATACAGCCTGGAGAAGCGACCTCTTGTAGATGTAAAATCATCCATTCCAGGAATAGGCATTTACCCTTTCTATTTTGGTTAAGATGAACGAAATCGTGCCAATCGCTTGCTATAAGAAGCGACCGCTTCCCTTGGAGGAAATCGCACCCCCAACCGTATTAACGGGTGAGCGAGTGATATACCCACAGAAAACGCATAACATTGCCACCGCGCCAGGCATGTCTAGTCACATCGACAAGAATCAGGAGGTTGAGGAGAAGCCTGAAGAAGAACAGAAGGAAGAAGAAAAGCCAGCAGCAGAGGAGGAGGAAACAGATGACGATGATGATCGAGAACCGATGTACGACAACACCGATTATGACTATGTACGCTTTGACCCAATATGGTATAGGGATCAGGGTTACGCGGGAAACCAGATGCCCATCGAGATAGAGGAGTATCTAGGGCAGGATCAAAAATACGGTACACAAGCAAAAATACGTCCTTGCTAAGGGATCATTACTAACTTCTCATAAGGACGGTATCTCCAAATGGTCCGATCATCCCGGACGATCTTCCATATGTGCGGTCGGCCTGATGTGGTGCAGTGAGAAAATGCTCGATCCCTGCCATGGTTAGAGGGACCGTGAGAACGTTAGAGCTTCAGATGCTATATTCCTACTCGCGAACAGTGACCAACGGTGAGGCAATTGAAGTTATACGAGTGCCGCATAAGCGAAACTTTGACAGATTTGAGAGCCATTTAATGGCTCATTTCATAGATAGTCTTCTGCAGCGAAAAGGATACGCTATTCCGAGGGGTCCCTGTTGGCTCTCGAGAGATCCTTGGCTTTCTTCCTCCCTGTCATAAGCTCAACCAACGCTGATAATGAGTTTGGACCGGGGATCTACACCACAGGAAAGCTGTGCATAGCCAAGAAATATGCAGGTGCAACCGGTGCCATAATGGTCTTTAGTACACCAGACGAGCAGTGTCTACAATGTTGGGAGCCCACTAGTTCTGCCTGGAGACGATTAACCACGAAGTGGATGGACCTACCACTGGCCGATATAAACCCCCCTCAGGCCTATCAGAACGCGGATGTCATTAAAGGAAATATGTCGGCGGATATTGCTAGTGCACAAAAGGAGAAGCGGTTTGTGAACCCAGAGGTCACCAAGCAAACAGCTTTTGTCTCGTACCGCGGGTGTGAGAGCTTGAGACGCGAACTCAAAGCTATCATCTTCGTCGATTCGTCTAGATGAGGAAGTGGAATTGCTTCATCAGGGGGAATTTTATCATCAGTGGGATTGTTGTGTTTAAGGAGATTGCTATCATTATAGATTAATTAGAGTAATGTTAGGAAAATGAACGCTGTTGCTTTAGATCAATGTGTCCGTAACTTTTGTCTTCAGAAACAAGGTCTGATATAAAAAGTTACGAGGAACGAGAAGGATTGACGACAGTCTGTGTGCGATTGTTCCTTGAATCCGTTTTGTGGTAAGTCTCAACAGCCCAATCTATATTTTCCATAACAGTCCCCAATCCTAACAAGCCATACGCCAGGAACATCACCTAATCTCCCACAACGTCTCATCCAAAAACATGAATCTCCTTAGCACCCTCAGGATCGAGCGCTAAAACCTTGATCTCAACTCTCATCGCATTAGGACTACCAATCCCCATACAGGTCCAAACGCGATGGCTGTCAGACATCCACTTCTTAAAGTTACGAACCATGGTGTCCTGTGCTTCCTGGTCCAGTTAGATGTGGTAAGAGTTGACTCTGTAGAGCTACAACCAACCCTTGGTTGCCCTTGAGAGCGGTATCCACGTTCACTAAAGCTTAGTCGATTTGCTCAGGCTCAAGCTTGTAGATGTTGAAATCTGTGTCGTAGGAGCCTCATGTAGGGCTGTTATAACCTCACACAAATACGTGAACATGGGGTTGTAATAAGTGATTACCCTGACCGGTGTGAAGAGGCTGACTGAGTGAGGTACTAATAGGAATGGAGAGGTGAGTAGTAATAACAGCTGGAGTGTTTTCAGTAGCAGTGAGATCCACTTCCAGGCTTCTGTCTTGCATTTAAGTCTACGATCCATGATTGCACGGCACTGCTTGTAGGTTTGTCTGACGGCCATGATAGCAAAGAGAAGATTTTTTGTCGCAGTTGATTTTTGCATAAGATGTTCTTTGTTTCTGGAGGCCACAAGAGAGTGAAGAGCTGTTCAGAGATAGAAAAGAACACAACACAACCAAACTCAAGTGACTCTATGAGAGCAGTGGTAGAACCTCATAGCTAATAAGGCTCAGAAACTGAATGTAGATTACTCTTAATAAGCGGCGATGCCCAATCTGCTTGTAGACACAACTTCTGTCGGAAGAGTAAGAAATTTGTGAGATAGTATCGGAGCTTTTGTAAAAGAAAAAACACAAGGGAGTACCCACGGAGTCTACTCCGTGAATTTGCTCCTTGCCCTGAACTTATGCCCAAAGAAGTACAGAACATAAATACCAATAATGCATATCGCACAACAGCCACCCATCAAAGTCATACCCCAAGCCACACCAAGCGCGTCATATAACGGGTGAGACCAGAGAACGCCAGCCAATACGACCGAAGACCTGAGTAGTCCATTCCCACTGAATAGTGAAGCAGTGTACTTGGGATAGGCCATAGATATATAGACAAACACTGACTGAATAATCATCACAACACTGCCCGAAACGAGCATGGTGCCTATAGTTGGTACAATCCAGTGGATGCTAGGTTTTGATGTCCACGCAAATATGAGGAGTCCGGTGGGGATTATTACCGAGGCAATTAATGATGGGAGTAGTCGTCCTTCGGGCGTCATTGCATTGCCGTTCTTGATAGATTCATTGACGATAAAATGGACAAAAGCGCAGTAAGGAATACCGGCCAATCCCACCGCGATGATGACGGATATAAAGATTAAACCTTGCTCCCCCAGTGTCATGTTGTATATATTCCCGTAAACTAGAGGGAAGAACTCGAAGAAAGAGTAGAAAATAGCGTAGACAAGGCCGCAGTAGATACTTGTGAATGCGATGGATGGATCGAGTGCATTCAACTTCCAGGGCACAATCAGGGCTCGGTGCAGTCTGTTCAGCATAGCCGTGTTTTTGACTTCCATTTCTGATTCGAATTTGTAAATCTCCTTCTGTGACAATGTTCGAATTCTTTGGGCACGACGATACAAAATATTGGTTTCGGATGTCTCTGGTAGAAAAAGCTAAGGCTTATCAGCTCTGTTGACCCCAGGCTTTCTTTCCTCATTGAACTTACGAGTAGTATCAGTCCGGGGCCACTGGCTAGAAGGACATCCCACAAGCTCCATCTCCATCCTAACACAGGAATGCTGTAGCCAGCAATGGTGTTCCCCAAGGCCGGCCCTGCTAAGCAAAATAATGCCAAGCTGTAGAAGGCATAAGGTTTTCCATACGCGCTGCTAACATCACCCAACGATGCGCCACCTGTGGTAAGGACTGGGGACCCAAAGAAGCCCTGGAGGAATCTAAGCACCAATAAAGGTGCAATATCGGGGGCCAGTGCTGTTGGAATTGAGATCAGGATAAAGACTGTCAACGATATGAGATAAGGAATATTACGTCCAACAGCTGGGATCTCGGACAGGGGTGACCAGAACATCGGCCCAACGCCGTAGCCAAACACATAAAGCCCGATCCCAAGACTCGAGACCGTCGCAGATACTCCAAAGACTTCTTCAACGTCACTTTGTGCCGCTGCGTAGATCGACCCGGACATATACACAGCAAACGATATATAGAGGATAATGAAATAAACAACGATCTTTTTGCGTTTGGGCCAATTCAGAGGGTTTGCCGGATCAGTGGCACCGTACCAGTCAACGATGACATATTGGTCTTCTGGTTCGTTTATACATAGAGCTCTTGTGCTCTCCAGGTCAAGTCGACTTGATAGGTAGTGCTGCGCAGGCTGTGTCCTTGTGGGTATTTGAGGAAGCTCAGATTGTTGCGTTGGTTTAACTGCGCCTTCAAGGTCTTGGGTTTCTGAGTCGGCAGCTGGGGGGAAATTTTGCATTCTGTCCATTTCATTGAGCCCCCTCCGGCCTTGCACAATAGGAATTCGCTTCCATCCTTCACTGGAGATTGTCAAATCGTAGTCATCCCGCTCTTCTGGAAAGCTAAATACCTTTCTTGCTCCAAGGCAACGAAAGGCGTAAGCAAGAGGGGTATCCGACAAAAAGGACGACACCATTCTCTTCCAGCAGGAGGTTAGACACCGCCGACTTTCAAGTACAAGATACAAGTTTCCAAAAAGAATAGTCAGAGAGCTGTGTTGGGCCTTGAATGAGCCTTGATATGTTGAAGTGTGGTAGCTGCGTAAGAGTGGAAGCACTGGTGAGTCAGTCAATCGAAAGAAAAGTCGGCGCCAACGATAACGGACTGACAGCGAGGCATAGTCATGGAACCAAATCGAACGGCTTATTTTTTGGGGAACACAAATGCCGTAGGACAATTGCGTTGATCAGCCTTGTCTAGCTCCTACACATCTGCGGAATATACATTCCTCAATATGCTCTTGTGGGGCTGGTTGTGGCCAGCAACCATGTAAGCATTATGTCCTGTCTCCCGTAGTACTACTAAGTAGACAACAGGTTATATAATTATTTGCTTTGGTGGTTATGGATAATCCTACACATGCCTAGTAATAAAAGGTCTTGTTTCATTCGGTACGAGGATAGTATTCGTAAAATTATAAAGACTGTTCCCATGACAGATCATTGATACTGCTATCTATATCTTCATGCAGCCACGAAGGCAAATCAAACAGTCCAGGTATCTCCCCACCAGAGGTCAACGAGCCGTCATTCGCTAAGCCCGAGTTCGTCCACATCGACCAGTCAAGTCCAGAACCATTCTGACCCCATCCTCCTTCGGGTGGAACTATCGTGCTCTGACTATATGTTTGACTCCAGGATGGCACGTATACCTCATCGGGAGCGGCATTAATAACCTTCCCAGGAGGTGCTTGTTGTCCGCTGGCATCAGGGCCGTTTATCATTCGCACGAGACTACAATGGTACTTGCCAGCAGGTACCCACGATTCAGACAGCTCTTGGAGGGTTTTGAGACATGAATTCACCTTTTCCATATCAATATTGCCCGGACCTGCATCCTGTGCTCCTTGGGGATAAGGATTAAGAAGTGCCAGGGCAGCGGAAAGACTGCAGTAGGTAGCCGTTATGGGGCTCTTCCGGAAACTACCAAACACCTCCCGGTATTGTTCGCCCAGTGAGCCTATCTGTTTTGCGGCCTCAAGTTGAATGGTGGAGGCCTTTTGGGCGAGGCTATCAAGTGGTTGCTGCGGCTGTTGTGGGCTGGGAGAGCGTCGCGATCCATGATCTGCTAGATACGGCTTTGTGAGAAGAATAATGGCTGTGTTGTAGATCATGCATAGCGTGTAGGCCTGCGGGAATTTATTAGGTGTCCCCGATCTCACGGGCTTGAGTTCCGGTGGCAAGCCGTAACACCAGGTTTTGAGGGCAAGAAGACACGAGTCGAAGAAGCTTCGCTTTTGGCCTCCGTGGGCGAGTCTTTTAGGGGCGTACCTTGCATATGAATGTCAGCGAACTAGTTAAGGTGTAACCCCAGGATTGAGTTGCATACTCACAGATTAAGATGAATCTTTTCTAGTATCTGGCTGAGAGCAATCAGGGATCTTTGGAAGTGAACTAGCAGAGCTTGGCTGACCAGAGTCGAGGTGCAGCGTTGGTCAGGCTGATCGGTTGGACTAGGTAGGGACGGCAAGCCTACTACTCCTTGGAAGTCCTATGTAAACTTAGTAACAGGATGAGGGTGCTGCGACCGTAGTTCCCCAGCCGGAATAGAATAAATGATATCTTACAAGCATAGTGCAGACCCGGCCTGTATAGCTGGCAGCCAATTTGTCGTCACAATATAACGACCAGTATATTTGCCTCCGAAGTTCAGCTTCGGCCTCAGTGATACGATTGGGGCTGTTCAGTATGTTTGAATCCAAATGAAGTCCCATGTCCAGTACTAGTCGATTAGCCATGCCCTGGCATAGCCAGCCAGCGGCATCATGGCCGAAAGCCTTGTTATGTCAGACTGTGTTAAACCAGAGACCTCGGCATACAGGGTGAACTCACCACATATGCCGTCCCCAATACGGCGAGAGATTGTAGTGTTGTAATATTCGGGCGCCTGAGGTCTAGATACAGAAGCGCTTCCGCCATTTCGAGGAAGGCACGGCCAGCTGTATTAGAATCCTGGGGGTCCGACCGCACCTCGACTCGATCGGAGTAGCGGGATGCAGAAGCGAGTATACAGTTGAGTAGCAACGGGCTGAAGTATCTGCCGTTATTTGCCTTACTCTCACGGAAAAGAGCTTCGTCTACAACTTGACAGAATGGACCTTGCCAAGTAAAATATAATTCAAGTAGATGGGACTCGAGCTCTTCGGGAATCCGAGCCCCGTTGGAAATTGCCTGGGTGTACATATTTGGCGCTTCAATATGGCGTTCGAGATTAGGGTGTTCCAGAGACGCTGTATCATAGCTATTAGCCGTAGGGCTCACATGCCCACTGTGGTTATGTGCACTTTAACCCACCATTACACCCTTGAAACGCGGTCCGGCCACTTGCCGAGCCGAAGTAACGAGCCTCGCCATCACTATCAAAATTAAGGTAGTCATCTAGGTAAAGTGTGCCTTCAAAGGCAGTACAGAGCTGGTCAAAGGCAGAAGAGCCGCCAGTAGTCAGTGATGTGGTATTGGGGACCACGTCCTGTGCCAGTAACTGAGCCGCGGACGCATCAACATCGATAGAATGGAGCCAAAGTATCCGCTCCAGAATGTTTATCCGTGCCTGTAGCTGCCGGACATAGGCCTTCGGAGCCGTCCCCCGGCCGTCATCATCTGTAGTATAAATACAAGATAACTGGCGGTCAAGACACCGAGAGCACGATGGCTTATCACCGTCACACTATCGAGTATCAGCAGACGGCAAGCAAGGGGCGTGAAACTCTCTGACTAGATAGAGAGATTGACCCACCTTTACACGTCGTCGACGACACTCCTGACATGCCCTTGAGGCATATCTGCTCCGCCCTCCCGCCTTCCCGGGGGCGGAGGATAAATTCCGCCTTGGGCCTGATTTAGGGCTCGGGCCACTGACGCCCTTCGGCGAGGGATTGTTATCGGCCATAGTCATACCAGGCACCAGACAAATCTTTGTTGAGGAAACGAGAAATCAAATAATGCACGTGGTGTGAAAAGCGGGCCTCCATATTTTCCGCCGAGTCCATTCCTCCAGCGGAATCTATATTCCGCCCCAGTTCCCCTGACGTCATATTTCCTGACGGAGCCCTAACAACTTTATGAGACATGATTGAGAAGCAGAGGTAAACGTTTTGGTATGTAGATGAGGCAGCAAACAGATACAAGTACATATAAAGCAATTGCAAGTTTGGTATAATATTAGATGCAGGAAGTTGGAACACGAACAACACCGGCTACCAAAATATAGATTACTAGTATCAAGGAGGTAGATTAAGTATCTTCAATCGGAGAGGGTGAGATCATATGGATCAGTTGAGTCATAACTACTTGGCACCAAGGACAGTGGTATCAATGGTTTGGAGCTATTAGACAACGCAGCTTTCACAAATTCAGTCTTGGAAGGTGTATCTACAGATCCTGTTATGCAACATTATGAAAGGAGCCACATATACCACGTGACCGATGTCCGCGGAGTACACGGAGCCACTAGCCACATTCGATGATAGTGACCCGCGGACTTTTACGCCCCTTTTGGCGTTCATCTCATATTCCTATCACCAACCCATCATCCAGTGAGAAGCTGAATCATGAAACGAAATCACAGTGGAGCCCCTGTAATGATGATACATCGGTGGAACCGACCGCCTCTGTCGTGCAAATCTTGTCGGGAGAAAAAACGTCGGTGTGATCGCAACCAGCCCTGCTCTAGTTGCGCGCAGAGACATATCGAGTGCGAATATGCCAGGCAAACTGACCATAGCCAGCTATCTGGGAGGCAGGGATCAGTAATAGCAACAGATGCCAACCAATTCATGATGGCCCCAAGTCCGCCGGTTGCTCCGGGGACCTTGCGGGCAGTGCCTGCTTCTCTGTGAGTAGATCGTACTCCTTGGTTGGCGTTGTCGCTAACGATGCCACGGAAGAAACGCGGATGAGGTGTTGAATCGTCTCCAGAAGTTGGAAGAAGTGGTCTTCTATAACTCAAATAAGACTGCCCATCTATCTTCGGTATCCCCAGCAAACAACGTATGTGATTTCCCATGCATTGCTAGGGAAACGAATCGTAATATTTGAGACTTCATAGGAGGAACAAATCTCCCATATAGGCTTTACCGCAGTTAATTCTCACGTTCGATTCTCTCAAAGTGAAAATTACTTGGACACAAGAAGTATAACCGGACATTTCCCGCCAATAGATGAGGCTAGAGAGCTGTTCAGCCATTTTGCGGTAACGATTGGACCGACGTTCGGAGTCCTCCATTTACCTTCCACGAAAGAACTAATGGAAGATACATATCAAACAATGCTTGAGGGCCAAGGGGTAGATGCTGCTAGGTTGCTATTACTTCTTAGTATATTTGCTGGCTCAATGCTTGCCTGGACGCCCCAGCTTTTGGAGAAGCTGAACACCACACCAACAGAAGCACAAGCAGCTTTCAAGGTATATACACGAATCGCAATATCGATCTTGGATCATCCTCAGCCAATAGAGCACTCAACTACTGCGCTCGCCGCTATGGCCACTTTGTCACATATAGCTGGCAACTCTGATGCTTACCCTTACAAACTTCCTTTAATCCGCTTCCGTTGCTTCACCATGGCACGCGCAATGCAAATCCATCGCCTAGATACTCCGAAAAGTTGTGAACAAAGAGAGCTTAAGGGTTACAACGCAATTGAACTCGAAGTCCAAAGACGGGTCTGGTGGAACATGCTGGCAAGCGACTGGTGAGTCGAGTATACATTGAGCTTGACCTATCACTGACGAGCGAAGGCTAAACTCGTTCTCCGGTGGTCCCCAGGAAGGGGCATACTTAATCCATCCAAAGCACATGATGGTTGATTATCCCACTAATATTGACGATGAATTCATTACACCAACAGCGATATTACAGGACCGTCCCTTATCCCAACCCTCCTCACTGTCCGCCTTTATCTACCGTGTGAAACTGGCTACTCTTTGCCGTGAAGTCGTCGATGCGATGCCATCAATTTGGCTGGAGGCACAAGAGCCAGACTATGAAACCATCCTAGCACTAGACAGGAAGTTTCAAAACTTCCTAGATGAACTTCCAATCTTCTTTCAACTAGACCCCGACAGCATTGAACAAAGCCAGTCAATATGTGAAAAGCGTCCCTATATCCCTGTCCAGCGAATCAGTCTCCATTTCAGTCTCCACGCGCGCCTCTGTCGGCTTCACCGACCTTACCACCTTGAAGGTGTGACAAACCCGAAATATTTCTATTCCCACCGGATATGTATCCAGTCTGCACTGAAAGTCCTAGAGCTGCGACGCTTGATGGACGATGCGGGTGCACGGATCGGACTGAAACCAGGACGCTTCTGGACGACAAACCAGCATGCCTTTCTCGCCGCCCTTATTCTAGCTACCGACGTTTCGTTTAAGCCTGAAGCACCAGATGCCGAGGCTCACAAGGCTAAAGTGCTTGCTGCTTATGAAACTCTCGAGAAGTCAAAGGAAGAGTCGAGTATCCTGGTAGAGACGATACAGAGAAATATGCAGACCCTCATGTCGACCCTCAATAAACAGCGGCCACAGCTCCTTGGTTCACAACCAGGAGGCCCTACGGGAATAGGTAAAGATACCCCTTTGTCAGCCGACGGAGCCCCTCAAAACCCTCAGCATTCGCGAGGTCTTCATGACACATCTTTCTCTAGTCATACAGCAGATACAGTGCAATCGCCAGAAAGCGAAGAACCAACCCTAGTTGGGGATGTGGCTCCCTGCAGGAATGTCCCACATGAGGCTGGAATCCAGGAGGAAGTATGGGACCAGCTGTGGTCTGACTTTCTAGCGGTCGCCCCAGAGCTTGAAATCCCGCAGTGGAACTCCCTGTTGGATGATATGGACTTCAACTTCGTTGAAAGCACACAAAAACAATAAATGGTTTGCCTTAGCTAAGATATCTGGTATCCAAGTGAACCAGACGGGCTTTCAGGTGGTCTCTTCCCCCAGCATACTCGCAATTGCGCCTGCTTGACCTGCGAAGCGCTCCTGCACCTCCCATATACATAAGACTTTGCAGTAGTCGAGGGCTAGCGGCCAATCGCTGTTATGCATGGTGTGACAAGCTCATCGTCCCGTCCCGTAATTTAATATACTGGGCGTAGACTGTACAAAAGTCTTAATGCTCGTCGGTTGAGTGAAAACCTGGTCAGCCTCTCCATGGTTGGTTACACTCTGTGTGACAAACGTGTGCCATTGGGGTTGGTAATGACCGGTAGCAATTGCTTGCACTTTGTTTAAGCTAGGATATGATGAAACCTTGCCGACCAACTAGATTTTCTGGCCACTGAGGCGCAGGGTGGGCGATCACACCAACAATGTGTAGAGGACAAATACACCAACCCTTAATATCACTAACAGTTGCACGAAGTGCAGCCTTGTCCCTCGGAGAATATCCCACAGGTAGATGCCCTAACACCTAGGCCACTTGAGCCTCGCGCTTGCGGCCTTCAAGCTCTCTCTCAAGGGAAATATGATAGGGTAGGGTAGCTCAGAACCAAACAGGACGGTGCCAAATCCCATCGGACTGTTGCAAGCAAAACACCTCGTTGGCCACCTTGCAGCACAAACCCACATGTGATATGCCTGCGATATACTCAAACTTCTCGAAGTAAGGCGTTGCTCAATGTATATAATCTCATCCAGAAACCTAAGTGTTATGATTTACTCAAGCTCTTTTGTCTTTTTTCTTGGGAGCGACAGTGGAATACACTTATCCAACGATCTAGTACGTTTTTATCTGGGAATGTGTGAGCTACTCTGCGAGCGATATAACGGTCATCGCGGTTGCGGTCATACAGTGGCTATGGACTACCAGCGTTGCCTTGCTGCTTTTCAGCGCCCACATCGACAGCTTTGCTTGCCACCAAGTGGCCGACTGCGTGATCTTGACCGTGTCATCGACATATGGAATGATTACTTAGACGGCCCATGTCCTGTTTGTAGGGGCGAAACGCCGCCCAGCTCGGAAGGTTCCGATGTTATGTTCATTGTTTGAATTTCACGTAAGTAAATGAAATGGCCGAGGAATCCAGGACTAACAACCCTGAAACGTAGTGTGTATCTGGGCTCTAGCAATGAGGACTGGGAACTTGGCGGAGGACAAGGACGGGGGACAATTTGGACCGGTCACACAAGAGCAGCCAATGAGGTTGGGATACAAAGGGATATTCATGTTTCTAGCTACTATTGTCTGATTGTGGACTCGGCCGATCAATGGATTCTGTCTAACGTCTCAATTTCGCTGGCCTTTCTTTGCTGCTCCCCTACTGAGCCAACATTGGTCGCCGACAACATAAGACCAATGACTCCCCCCGTCAAACCGTACAAGCTTTTGTTCACACCCCTCCACTAAACCAAGATGGATCAGCCGAAGCGAGTTATTCTACGCTTGCAAGAAGCAGACCTCGACGAAGCAGACCTCTACGAGCCAGTTCGACTCTATTTTGAAAAGAACGGTCGCTCAATCGAGGAACTTGATACCAGCCGTCATTTCGTCCACATCCAACCCTCGAACGCAGATATACCGCAGATAGACCCTAAACTTCATGTCGTGATTGATCTCGAGGCAGACAAGTACTCTGGCACCCTCGGTCCCGATTTCCCCCACGAGCTATACCGTGTCCGCCGCGTTGATGGCAAGTTGTGCGTTGTTCCCCCTTGCATACCATTTTATACCAAGAATCCCCCTTTGATCTGATTGTTGGTCTAGAGTGATGTTTGGTTTCAAGGATGGACCCTGGTATGACAACTTTATTCATAAAATTCGGTTGATTATAGACGACGTGTACCCATGGGGGAAAACAAAACGCGATCTCCGGTTTTCAGGTGGCACAGGTGCACAGGCCCTCGAGAGCTAAAGTGACACGGAGTCGGCGCGAGAGAGGTCTCAAACGTGTTGTTGGCTTGACGCCACATGGCGCTGGATTATGATTTAGGTTCTTGGTGGCTTAATATTGACGTGCAGTCTATTAGTCAATAAACAAGGATCCACCTTCTGATTTGTTTCAAAGCATACCTGATAGAGGATTATTGGTAGGTATCGTGCGGAGGCTTTCCTCTAAGCAAGTTTTCTGATAGGAGAATTTGTTGTATTCGTATCTGTACTTCCACTGTCTAAGCTTGTTTACACATAGTTAAGCCTTGCTCAAGCACTCATCTCAGTGCATTAGCAGGATATCGCCGCGTGAATTAGGATTATTGAAAAGGAAGTAAACGCTACCCAAACATTCCCAAGCTGTTAAGTCAAATACTGGCTATGAACATCCGCCACGAGTGCTTAGGCTTCTAGATTTCCTCTGTATCAATATCGTACGCCATATGCTTCTGTCCCCATCCCCACTTCTCCAACCCTAAAGCCCAAGAAGCCCAAAATGCCATCCCAACTAGTACTTCCTTTGACCACAAGCCCCAAGGCCCAGTCGTCTTCCGAACCCCCGCATTTCGGGCAGCGAGCTTGTAGATCTCGTTCACTCGGGGTCTCCTGATCTCATCGAATTTCTTGTACACCTCCGCCACGGGTCGACTTGGGTCTTCCAGTAAACGGGCAAGCAGAAACGTGTCTTCCAACGCCATAGAGACGCCCTGTCCCGCATGGGGCTGCATCGCATGCGCCGCATCACCAAGAAGCACACAGCGACCCTTATACCAAGCACCGCCAAGAGGCAGTCGGTAGATCGGATAGAACTTTATAACGTCGGTGTCCTCAACGAGCTGTCTGAGTAAGTCTCCCCAGTCCCCATGCACCTTTTCCAAAATCTGATGCATATTCGATTTAAACCCATTTACCTCCTTCTGCCGATACACCTCCCAACCATCTCGACTATCCCCGGCATCCGGCAACGGGACCTCCTGCGACAAACCCCAGGCTACCTCATCGCCCGCTGCTGTGGCGAGCATCACCATGAAGATCCCTTGCTCTGTCAACGTCGCACCAATCCCGGAAATCTGCGCTGCAGCATCGGAATGCAGCCTCGACGTGGGAACAAGCGAAGACAGGGCCGAAAGCCCAGAGTATTCAGGCCTCTGGTCGGGACCGACATACAGACGGCGCACACAAGAGTGAATCCCATCGCACCCGATCAAGATGTCCGCTTTATCAGTACTGCCGTCGGAAAACGTCACGGTCACGCCAGAGTCGCCGTTGTCGTCAATGGCAGTGAGCCGCTTGTTGAAATGGATTGGGATTTGAGCTTTGTACACTGCATCCAGAAGCACGTCTACAATATCCGCTCGCTTAATTCGGAGATACCCAAAGCCTGTCTGCGCGCGTGCGTAGCTGACCATGTCCTCCTGCTTGCCTACAATCCCGCCTTGTGCGGAATGGATGACAAGGTTGCTCCGGCTGCTACCTCGCGCGTGGAGGGCTTCATAGACGCCTAGACGGGAGAACAGTCGCAGACCATTAGGCATGATGCCGATTGCACCACCGAGTGTAGTCGGCTCAGGTCGGAGTTCATAGATGCTGCATTTTATGTTTGTGGTTTGGTGGAGACGCAGCGCAGTGGAGAGACCAGCAGGACCTCCCCCGATAATGATTGCCTGAGAGGTTAGTAAAGGGATAATTGGCTTGCAAATGCAGACATACCTTCCGATGCTCAGACATTCTTTTTAAAATCTGTCTTCGTATTGGGAACTGTCCTGACCGAGTGTTCCTCAAATTCGCCCATGGTGCTTTAATACTTCGAAGCTGCGGAATGTCCGCGGCATGTCCGCGGTAGTAGCTACCATATACGGCTAGTAGGTCCGCAAACCAATAGTCTCACCCACGCAGTCTACGTACAACTGCTGACAATGCTATAAAACCCCATGCCTACACAGTGAAGATCCTCCAGGCACATGCTGGACTTAGCCATATGCGTCATACGCAACATTGATCTATCCAGCCTTCTCACCATGTTCACCGTCGGTTCAACCTATTTCTAGCTACTGGAGATATGTTTCTTGCTTGTCTCACAAAGGGCCTTGCCAGTCGGCTCACCTCCCTTTTCTTCCGTCTGAATATCAAAGTAGTAATGGAATTTCATCAACTGTATACAAGGTATGCATGGTTTCATAGGGCCGATCCCAATATCAGTTTGACATGCAGATGCCGGGTACGAACCTCAAGCTAGTCCCGAATAGGAAATGTGGCCTCAGGAACGGAGTCCTCCGCACCACTCAATCCGAGCTTTGGTATTTCCCTGGGCCAGTAAAATCTCTCTATGAGCTCCATCACCTCGTAAACTTCCGTTAATTCGTGTCTAGTGCTTTCACCGAAGTCATACTAAGTCATCTGTCACTGGTTGAGGTTAAAATGGTGGAAAATTCTTTTTCCCTCTCAACGGCCATCGAGAAGGATCTTGCCCTCAGAATGTTCCTTGCTGAGTTCTAGCAAAACACGCACTATCAAAATGATTCAAGTGCCGAGCGCTACGGCAGAGCGCCCCTCATCTCCAGATGCCCCAACGTCCGAGAAGGACGCCGCACTGGCGGTGGTGAGCGACGAAGCGCAGGAGATCGACCCTGCGGTGGAGAAGCGTGTGCTGCGCAAGATTGATTTATTCTTCATGCCTGCAATGTTGATAGGTGGGCGTCTTATATATTTCCGTCTTATGTATTGTTATTAACGAGTTCAGGATATGGATTTGTATACTGGGACAAAGTCAGTGGCAATCCGTTCGATAGTCTAACACAAGCCCTAGCTGACTGGTTCAGGCTATCTTGGGGAGTGCATCTCTGTTCGGTATGACAACTGATCTGGAACTACTTGTCATCGATCATACTACATCGCCACCGTCCAAGGACACATCGCGACTCAGCTGGGCGACTTCCATCTTTTATTTTGGAATGTTGGCCGGGTTGTATCCGATGACGTTTATCCTTCAGCGCTTCAAAACACAATATGTATTTGGCCCCATTGTGATGATGTGGGCTATCACCTGTGCCGCTACAGCGGGTGTAAAAACGTGGCAGGGGTTGTTTGCGCAGCGGTTTTTCTTAGGTGCGATTTTCCCGACTGTGACTTTCATCTCTTTCTGTCAGTGGTCGAATATTTCTGACAGGGCTCAGGCTTTGTTGAGAGCGTAGTTCCAACGGGCTTTATGACGATCGTGAGCAGCTACTATACGCAGAAGGAGCAAGCCATGCGTCAAGCGTGGTGGTTCTCCGGTACGGGGTGGTTCACTATCATTGGCGGTGCCCTGAACTACGCTTTTGGCCAGATCAGCTCGGGCGCTCTGAAACGTTGGCAGTACATTTATATTTTTGCCGGTGCGCTGACCTTTCTTTTTGGGCTATGGTGCTGTATTATGCCCAACTCGCCTGTCTCCGCGTGGTTCCTGACCCCAGAGGAACGAGTTGTCGCAGTGGAGCGACTGCGGAAAGGGCAGACGGGTGTGCGATGCCAAAAGATTAAGTGGGATCACATTAAGGAGTCGTTCCTGGACCTGAAGTTGTACCTCGTCGCGATAATGATGGCTGCCGCGTGAGTATCTTCCGTGTCAAATCACATAACACCATTCTTACGTCTCACTAGGTATACGATCAACGGCGCGATCTCCGGGTTTGGTCCCCTCATCGTATCAACTTTTGGCTTCAACACACTGGAATCGATCCTATTCCAATTCCCCGTCGGCGGTGTCTGCGTCATTTTCATCCCACTGTGCGGCTACATCTCGTCACGGATCCCAAACACACGCATTCCCATGTTGATTGCCTGTTGTCTGCCTGTCATCGCTGGGTGCGTGATCATCTGGAAGTCCGAATGGGGATACCAACCCGCAGCCCCTGTTGTGGGATACGCATTGACGGGGTTCTTCGGACCAGTTGTCAGTCTCATCATTACTCTTGGGGCCAGCAATGTGGCGGGTGCTACGAAGAAAACCGTCATGGCGGCCACGGTGTTTGTGGCTTACACCGTCGGCAACATCATCGGGCCACAACTTGTGAACAGCAAGACGGTGGGCCAGCATTATCCGGAGCTATGGACGGGCATGGTGATTTGCTATTGCATCACCATCGCCGCCGCAGTAGCCCTGTATCTGGTCTTGTGGAAGGAGAACCGGCGCCGGGACAAGATGGACCTTGATGAGAGCCAACGGGATAAGTTGGCATTCCAAGATCTGACTGATAAGCAGAACCCGTTCTTCAGATATGTGATGTGATTGCACGCCGAATCTGCAGTCCAATAATAAAAAATAGATTAGAGTTAGTATAATTAAACGCAGATATCACTCAAAGGGTATACGTGAATCTTCCACTGCCAAGACAAGCAACACAGTATCTCAAGTCTCCGATTCCTCAAAAAGATGGTTCTGAAAGCCCGTCCCATCATCCCCCGTCACCACCACCCACATCACCTTCTGCGCAATGCGGCTCTCTTTCTTCTCCACACTCTGCAGACGCCGCTCACCCTTCTGCATCATCTTCGTAACCTTCTTCTCCCTCTCCTTAACAAGCTTCGTCAAAGTCTTATCCAACTTCTTCAAATCCTTGTCCAAATCATCCTGAATCATGCCCCGACCCTGCAACGACTCCCCCAACGGACCCTCGATCCGCTCCCTAGCCCTAGCCCTCGCAGCCTCCTTCGCAAGCTCAACCTCCTCAATCTTGACATTCAGCTGCTTCTCCGCCTCCTCCGCCTCACTCATCCACTTCCCAGCCTTCTCCCTCTTCCCCACAATCGAACTATTCTGCCTCTCCGACAGCCACTTCTCCTGCTTATCCGAAGCCCTCTTAATCCAATTATCCTTACCCACCGCAGCACCCCCCTCCTCATAAACAATTGGACACACATACTCCCTCAACGCCTCCACCCTCCTCAACTGCGGATCATACCTCCCCTTCCCCTCCTCCTGCAAATCCGCAAACTCCTCATCCCGGCCCTCCCCCAAGTCCAGCACATCCCCCGGCACCCCCACCTCCCGCATCATCACCTTCGTCTTCAGCACCTGCACGCGCAGGCCCCGCGGCCCAAACAGCTGCTCATTCGCCAGCCGCATGTACGCCTGCGTCCGCATTTGCGACACCTTCACCGACCCATACTCGGCCGCGGCAGCCACGCCCAGCGCGGCGATCTGGATCTGCAAGAGCGGGATAAAGCACGCCACGGCACTGGTCGTGCTAATGGCCTGGATGTACGGATTCGCCAACCAGACCTCGTTGAGCGCGTCCACGAAAGCCAGGAAATCTGTCTTGGGGATGCCGAGGCTCTCCAGGGCGGGCGCGTAGGCCCGCGCGAACGGCCGGTAGATTGAGCCGTGGATTGAGTGGGATGTTTCTAGCTCCTCTTTGTTAGCTTCGTGTCATGTCACGGACCACCACTAGATAAAATCAGTCTCGAGAGAGGGAAGGAAGGAGACATACGGGGTATGACGACCGGTTTAGGGAGAATGGCAGATGGCCGGTAGGCCCCGTGGGTTGTTTGGTTCTGGATGAGCGTTGTGGGTGTGTAAACTGGTGGTGGAATGTTTGTGTCGGGGTGTTCTTGTTCTTTGAGACCGTCTTGTTCTTGGTCTGCATGTTTACTGGTGTCGTCGTTGGGATAGGGGGCTTTGGTGGGGGGGTTTTCCTGGCCCGGTGTTTGGCTGGGCCGCATTGGTAGGTTGGGTCTTTTTTCTTCTTCCATTGTACGTGTGTTGCAGGTGTATATGTTCGGTTATTTACGGGAGTGCTTAGATGACTATGTTATGAGAGATTGTATAGAGATTGTCTGCCTGCTGCTACTATGGTGTTGGGTTTTATGTGGAGTTCGCGTTAAGCGAGGTGGCCAATCAGCGGGCTTGTTGGTGTCGCTTCATCTGATTTCTTGGATGGGAGGATACATACCGGGTAATGGACCAGGAAACTAAGTCTTTGATATGGGAAGGGCTAGCCATGGCTTGGACAGGAGAGTCGGGCGAGATTCTGGAAGTTGCGTCTAAGTGTCCTCGGGGGAAGTTGCGCGTGGAATGCTTCATGGAATGGACACTCAAACCTGGTGTGGATAACCAGAAGAAATATAGGGGGAGAATGAAGAAGGGAAAGAGAGAAGATCATGACGCTGGAAATTTCAGTCTATTAAGGCGCTGTACAATCGCGCAAGTCTTGATGCTAGGTCATAACACGTAAAATAAACCACTCGTGCCACTCGGATACTTCACTCTTCCTTCTCCCTGGGTGGCCCCTCGCCGATATTAAGATTATCCCATTTCTCCAGAAACCGATCCATACTCACTTCAGGTTGTCGAGCGTTCCCCTGTCGGATTACTGTCGAAAAATGTGGGTAGAAGCTGCTAAACGACTGGGAATCATCGTTGCGCCAAGTCTGTGTTTCAAAGTCTAGGAAGAGGGCGTCTGTCTCGGGTGGCAGGGAGACCTCTGTCTGCTGCGCGGTTACCTGGATCATGCGAAGAATGCCCTTAGCTAGACGGAAGCGTCGGGACATCGCGCGGGCAAAAATGCAGAGTTCAGTGAAAGCCTTCTGATTCTCAAGCGAGTCGAGGGCTTCGAGAAGAGTGAACAGGCCGATACTGGTCCACTGGACGGTCGAGGGGGCCACCCGGTCAATGCCCCATTTCTCGCGGTGCGTATTGAGGATCTGAGCGATACGTCTCGCTGTCGAAAGGCAGAGCTCTCGGGCGTTCTTCGCAGTCTCTGGGGCTATGAAGTCGCCGCTGTTTGATTGGAGGAATCCAAAGATTTGCATGACATTGGTGTGGTAGAATAGGCTAGAAGGGGGAGGTTAGCAGGTAAGATGCATGGCGCTACTGTCCCATCTAGTGGACTCACTGTAAGCTTAAAATATGTGGTACCTCGGCATTGTCCAGGAGTAGACATTCCGGTAAGTTCGCGTACCAGCCCTGTAGCTGCTGGTATATGTCATTGATGAGGGCTGGGATCTCGCATTGCGGTACACTGTTCTCCGGGTCATGAAGAGCTCTGCTGATTCGCAGCGTGATGTAAGAAAAGTCACACCAGCGGTCGAAGACGCAATTATGGTGACCCCGCACCGGTTCCACGAGCCGAGGATAGGGAGACCATACATCGAGGCGATCTTGATGGTTGATAGGCACACGCGGTCGCGCAGGGGGGGTGATATCTATGTGCTTCATCAAGGACACCGCGGCCGTCCTTCCACCGTCAGTCTGCTTGTCTTTCGCCAGAGGGAGATTTAGCATACGAAGCCATGTTGTAAGCTCCCCACAATGTTCGGTTGACCACGTTCTCGATCTGTCGCGCCGACTCCGTGTCGATAGGAAGCGGCGGGTGCGAAGACGCATACTCCTTCGCGGCTCGCATGGCGAGGTCCATATACACCCATCCCACGCGGTCTTTACCCATCAAAACAAGCCTGGAAGATGTTAGCCAGCAACCCGCACTAGATGCCACCCAGACCGACCGTATAAATAGCACCACAAGGCCTTGTATCGTCGGTATACTGCTTGGGACTTCCTCGTCCTCTGCTTCGAGCAATCGGCGGGCCTCTTCGTAGAAGTGGTCGCCGCGAGAGAACATATCGCCGGGGACGGTAAAGACTTCGGCGTAGTCGGAATAATACTGAGGAGTTGCACAAATCAATAAAATCCTTCGGATGCTGGATTTGAATAGTACAAACTACACTACGTACACTCGCCTCCGACAGAATGGCATTCACCAGAAATGGCGAGCAGAACCGACAGTTCACATTCCCCGCCTGCATATCGCGAATGAAGGCATCCTTATCTAGCCAGTCAAACCACGGGTACGTCCATGTTAACCACAAGGACACCAGGTGGGACACCAGATCGTCATCGTCGGTGACGGTCGTCCAGGGCTTCGCGGGAACCTTGTACACGGGGATATCGGCGAGGCGGCGCACCTCGAGCATCCGTCGGGGGATCCGAGGTGCATTGGCCTCGTTTCCGTCGTCGTCGTCTTCATCGGACGGTCGGGAGAGTTGGCGCCGAAACTCACGGAGCTCGGGTGATCTTTCGATCTCGGCGCGCGAGAACTGTCGCTCCAAGAACACTGCAATCTCATCAAAGGAGGCATTACTCCGGATCAGGTTCAATAGTTGTGCGATGCGGGTGTTTTCACCCCCTCGTATGGCACCGATGATGTGTAGCAGGGTATCCTCCGCTTGTTCCAGTCGGTCCAGCTTCCGCTTCATGGCGAACTTTCGACGCATATCCGCCATCTCGTCCACGACACATTCAATGCCATTGAGAGTGCAATGCTCACACGGTGGATCCCCTCGACACTAGCAACGTCAGCCGTGGCGTTGGCATTCTGATCGGCCAAGGACGGTTCCCGATAGGTCCGATTGATAGGAACGCATGGAACGGCAAGGGCGGGAGAAGATGACGAATGTGAGAGAACACCGAAGCAATCTCACCTTGAGCTTTTTGATTTTACAAACCCGACAGGCGGTGGTCTTATGTTTGCGTCCGCGGACTACATCGTCGCTAGAACTGGTTCGTCTCGGGGGTTGACCAGGAGCCGGTGCAAGAGGGCGAGGCGAGGAGGACGATGACTTCGAATCGGACATAAAGAGGAAGGGCGCGGGCCGATGGGTCGGGGGTCGGGATGGCGCAGCAAAATGGCAGAGAGTAGAGGCATGAAGGGTGGCGTTCGCTTCTATATAACGAGCAGTGTTCTCCAATCCCAGATGGTGGTAGCAGCGGCAAGTACCCCGAATAGGTACGGGCGCATCTTCTGGAAATTAAGGAAATGAAATCCCGCCGAATGATTCTGGAAATCTTGTTTTCAGGCAAATTCCGCAGCCCCACGACAGCTGCTCTTCTCTCCTCCTGCAGATCTCCAAATCTCCACCGGGCGTCGGCAGTCACAGCCATCCAATCAGGTCCCGTGACCAGCACCACTCCTTGCCCTAGCGTCGATACTAGTTGCCCAAAATCTTCATCTGAAAGGGAATGGAAGAACTTCCAGTTCTCTTGATAGGTCGCAGGAACCAAGTGCGATACATTTGACAGGCAGTGGATTCCGTTTCAACGCAATGCTTCTGTGGAAATGCGGATCTGAATCGGTTCATAGGCTGAAGTTGGAGCTTCTCCGAACATTTCTCCATGCCCTAACTTAGCACCCGAACTACCAAAGTCTAGAAGCCACAACCAACATTAATTCTGTACAATGGTTCTACCGATCCTGTGATCATCTCCTGTCTGTACCTTAAAGCTCGGTCGTACAGGGATGTAATCCAAATCATTGGGAATCGACAACCCCACCGTTCCTCGTCTCACGTGGAGGATAAATTAATTCGCCATTCTAGAATTCCATTGACCCACGGGGGGAAGCTTCACTCCTGTTTGCCACTCTGCAAAATTTGCCATATCGCCTGTTCTATCGATGGACAGATCTACTGGGACTGGACGATATTAGACGATGCTTATAGCCTTCTCCACGGTCGAGACTCGAGAGCTCGACTCCATATGCGCCTTTGGTCGGTCCACGTCAAAGCGAAAGACCAAAAGACAAACGGGTAATGTTTGCCGATGTCACCGATTAGGCCTCTCTCATTGGATGATCTTTTCTGCTCCGATTCTCAACTATCAGGCTTGTCATGCGGGTAACAGAAAAAAATCGCTTAGTGAGACAAACCTTACGGCCGAAATCATACTATTGTTTTAGTGCCTTTTTCTTTGTCTGTGCTAGTAGTACCGTGACTTGTCATCGCCGAGATCCTTGCGCAAAATTAGGTCAGGCCAATGAGATGGGCCCGATATGCTCCATATCGTGGATCAAGGACACGCAGTTCCTCCATACCAGCAAACAACAAAAGCTCTTTGGGCATACTTTTGCCGCAGATTCGGGAAGGTGGTAATCAGTGGCTAATGACTAGAGGAATGCAGAATTTAGCCATGGTGCATACAGATCCCCATGGATCTTCGCGCTAAGATCCGATGGTGTCCTGAGCGCGAAGTGCAATATATACTTAGGGCAATTGGCATGACGATCTGACAACAATTCAAATCCCAAGGTTGGCTTTAGCGGCGTGCTAATGCCTAACCCATGCACGATCACCTCGCCGTATGGACGCGCTAATCTGGTGGAAAGTATCTCCTCAACTATATATCACACCTCGATTATTTAACCAACCCTATTTTCTTTGTTATGGAACGATCGTCCGCATGAGAAACATCTCAATCATCCCGACATGAATCCTGACATAGCGAATGCGCGGCTTATGGTAGCAAACACCAACTTGGAGCCGCCATTGCCGCTCCTGTCCACGGAAATTTGCACGGAAATTGCGGGAGTAAGGAGATTAACAAGTCTAACCAAATCTGAATACGGGGACAAAGGCACAATTCACAGGAAACCTTATCGGCCGAGTCATAACTTGCACAAATGCGAGTCTCCATGTCCAGATTTTTACCAGTAGAGTACTCCGTATTGTAGGCTCTTTCCACCAATTCTTCTGACCTACAGCGCTAGCGTTTGCGGAACTCCGGACGATATGCGGTCATGTACGGATCCATCCTCACGTACATCGTCTGGTGATGTCCAGTGTAGGATTGCTGGATTGATCCCTGTAGGAAGGGATGGACAAGGCCCCGAGAATCGTAACCTGCACAACACCACATTGTTTAGACACTGACCGCAACTAGTAGTATACATCAAAGATGTCAAGTGCCATAAAATGACACAATACTAGCGGTGGGCACTAGCCATAATCTATTATTATGCAGCGAGTGGCTGCGTGGTTCGTCGCTCATAGGTCACATTCTGGCAGCTTCACGCGTAAAACCCAAGATGTTTCACCACATCCTGCCACAGGATGTTTGCAGGACCCCTCCTATGGTGGAATCCATGCCACATTGTTAGACCGCATATTCTCCCCGCATTCTAGCTCCCGGTATCGTCGTCGGACAACCAAAGCATGTACGTCATACTAGCAAGGAAACTCTAAGATTGACTTGCTTCTCATCCGGGGAGCCCTCGGGATTGTCCTTTGGGCCAATAAGATGTGTCTCTTCGTGATACTTAGAGCTGTGGCACCGCAACAACCGACTCGATTTCGATCCATGTACCTGGCTCTTCAGTATGCCACTCGGCAACAGAGAGTTCTGTCAACAAAGAACTTCCCCTTCCAAGGTTTCCACAATAACATCAGAACTGCACACCGATGGTCATATTGAGGGTATATCTGGAAGGTTCTGACCCTATCGTCGGCCTTGATCGGCGTTGCTAGCCTGCATGCAGGAAAGCCATTGGCTAATACTGTGGATACGAAGCTCAACGCATGATTCTCACATGACTTTCCTTCTTTGTCAATCGTGCCATGAAGGCACTCACAAAGGGATTCTTTTCCGAGTGACCCTCTTTTGACCCCCAGTGGATCAACATGGCCGCTTTTTGGTATTCAGTGACTCCACCTATCATCTTGCATATTGTATGCTCCTTGCGCAGCCTTGCACGGCAAGGGAGTGGATCTTTGGTCGTCGAAACTTGGAAACGTGGCTTTTAGGGGTATCGGGGACCAGGAAGACCAAGACATGACGCTATCTGGCATATGGCAAGGGCAAGGGCAATTGAGCTGTGAGGCAAGGGAATGACCTAGTTTGTGGCTCGCAAACGCAATATCGCCCAGCAATGAACACGATCGAGTATGCCTGGTCTACTGCTATAAAGGGTAAGAATGTATTAATAGCATCCGTATTTCCGAAGAATCCGATGTAACCTTGCTAGATAAACAATCTGCATGCACGGTGCGCCAGAAGACCTCTATCCCATCTCTTTGAACTCCGTACTAGTACATCTACTCAGATTGCACAACCTTGCCAAGAAATACCCATCCAATTCTTTGACCATTTACCCTTAACATCCTAGTAGAGGAACAGACTAAACAGGCCCTGATGACAGCGCGGTCAAAGCGTCGAGTAAAATGATAGCTGCATGAATGCACAGTTGCATTGGGCCACCACGACAGGCCCAAAAAGGAAGCTCATAAGAAGACTGGTGTGCCCCTGCATAATCGGGGCTGGACTATCCGACCGCCGAGAATCTCCGGTAGCGTTGCCCACCATTGAAGGCCATCCAAGCCCTATTGATTCAAATCCCGGATCCCTTCCTTTTTCGGCAGATGCCGACTACTAAGCTGGAGAGCCGCAAGTCTCAAACTGTGTCTCAAGTTGAGTATCGCCATGTGATGAGAATGTGCAATTTTGACTCTAGGGACAACTTGTGGGTACAGGACAGCATGGTTTGCCTCGGGTCGACTGAGGTTACCTTTAGCTTCCATTAGCCCTATTTTATGTCACGGCTTTAGTGGGGCTGCTTTCCGCCAATCATCGTGTGGTTCTAGTAGTCTGGGAATTAGTACCGAGGCTGCGTCTCAAGATGGTTAGCCTCAGCGGTGAGGCTTTACTGCTGCTCCACACCGCCTACATATCTTCAGGGCTGAGACCTAAGCACCGCCTACCGTGTTGGGATTATTGCCGGACTTTCTTGTTCCGGCAGGGCTGGATACATCCAATACCAGTCTCTCACACCTGTCCTCTCTCTCTGGAGCGTTTTCCCAGTCCTTAAACTGTTGAGCCGCCAAGCCTAACTACGGTCCTCCCCTCTCCCAACGTTTTACACTCGTTATTGCTCACGATCGACCCAATTGACCCCCAGAGCCACCTCCGCGCATCACCCTCCTTCCCAAGCAAGACCAGCCCCATGACGACCACCATGCGAACGCACGACGAATTCCTGGCCGACCAAGAAGAGCCGGAACAGCCCACCAAAAGAAACAAGGTTACACATCTCAACCGCATCTGCTATGACTGGATGGTCGTGTCTGGAAACTGTCACTATGCTAGGGACCGCGCCGTATTCACGACCTACCGCTCCGTCGAGCTGCGCCTGAAAAACAACATCTTCAACCCCACGGACGAGCTGCACGTCGCGGGCGTCGGGACCGTCCATCTCACCGTGTGCAGGAGCCCACAGGACCCGACGTCGCATGTCATCGAGCTGGAGGACGTGTTGCATATCCCCGAGGCCGTGTGTAATGGATTCAATCCGCTGCTGTTCGGTAGTAGCATGTCATGTAATGCGGACTACTGGGAGGGTGCGGATCGCAGTGGCCAGCCGGTGTGGTTTAGTTTGCCGTTTGCTGGTCATACGAGGTTGGTTTTGGCGGGCGATCCCAAGGGTGAGTCTGACTTGATTGAGGGGAGGTATTATACGCTTAGCTTGTATATTACGCCGGAGGAGAAGAGGGATCTGGCGGATGGGGGTCTGAATGCGAATGGCGTGGTGTTTTGATTTATACTTGGGTTTGGGATTGTATACTTTGGGCGGTGAATTTGTTTGGGTATTGCATTTATCGGTGTATATTATGAGTCAAGAATCAATGAAAAGTTACCACGTTTATGTAGGAGATTGTGATATGCATCCTTGAGTCACCTTGGAATGTTTCAAAGGCGATCTTGTTCTGCAGGAGCTCTTCAATCAATCAAGATTTATTAACCTGTTAGAGGCTAACTATTAAACCAACTATGCAAGCTCAGATAGCGCGTATACTATGGTAGCCCTGCGGCAGGTATGCCCGAGTTGAGATCCACTTCTCCAGCGAATTCAACCTCTAGCAGGATCCATCTCGGGGCTCAAGGTCCCAGCATTCCTGATCCCATATATAACTATATATCAGCTCTGCCTCACTGGTTGACCTAAGACACAAGTGTTTCCTACCCCAGTAAGCCGTAACTTGCCATCAATCATTGTTTGATAAATCTGTTGATGCCCGTTGAGATCTTTGCCTGAGCAAACATACGCAAAGCATCTCGTCTGTCTACTCACGGTTCTATTTCAGCAATCGAAGGCAAATCATTCGATATTCTATCTGGCGTACTCATTCCATATGAGGCATGAAATGAGTTGCTGGATATGACTTCGCAGCTGCTTCATGTACATATTCCCATGGGAGTGTTTCATTCTCTATGTGTTGTCCAATGATATGAACCATGGTTCCTGTCTTTACTTAAGTTTACTTATCTGACGGGATAAAAGAGGGCACAACGAAACAGTGGTTTTGACAGTAATTCATGATGAATAAATCGGGCCGATAGGAATAAGCCTAGTATTGCTGAAGCCGCATATTCTGCAAGTTAAGTTGAAAAGCACTCAATTTGGGTCGAAAGAGTACCTCGACTTCTGACAGTCTCTATCACAAGCCTCGGTCTTTTCAATTTCCTGTTTATGTCCAATATTGTTTCTGCCGTCGACATTTCGACTGCATTTAACCGCAGTTATCACAGTTATCGATGCGCATATCCTAAGCCCATGTGCGAATAATGTATCGCTCGATGCAGTTCAGCAGTAGTTTGGCAATGTTCAGCTCGCTTTCACGATGATATGGATAAACTAGTTGATGGCACAGCGAGGAACATACTTGGCATTCTCATGGATAATGGTTTCGACGATTGGGGATCAACTTCAGACAAAACCTTGGATATATTATCTGGCCCCGTAAACTCGCAGACCAAGAGCGGAGCGAAGCCTTTTGAATAATCGGCTGTCCGACTCATGCTGTATGCTGCAATTGGTAATTGAATGGAACCTTGGAGTGTGTATGTATTATAATCAAGTGAGCACATGCCTTGTGTAAGTACTAACTCCACCAACCTTAGTAGAAGCTGTTAACAATAAGCGATACCCCTATGATACAGCGCAAGGTCGACACCATCCTAAGTAGATTATGTCGCCGGGCTTCCGAGCGATGAGTGGGAAGTCTGGTAAACAGGCTCGCTGTCAGATATCCTAGCATGTATTTCAAGCATGTGCATATCGGGAATCAGGAGTAGGCAATGAGATGTGTACCGTAAGTTAATGTTGGAATAGGATTGAAGCCGAAATTTAGCCCGGGGTATGGGTAGATTTATGGGAAAAGAGAAAAGAGGGTGGGGAGGCTTGAAGAGGGAAAAGCGAATGTAAACCTAAGATATATCTCTGTCCCACTGAGAGAAAGTTAGGGATTCATTCTGAGAGAACTCAAGGCCTTGTCTTCTTTTCTATTTATATACGAACCACAGCGGTTCGTTTCAGTAGCCAGTTACCTCTCATGGCCTTCGAGAATTGGCGTGGAACTGAAGATCCACTACTAGTAGTCGACGTATTTCTGTTGGTATATTTTATGGTATTATAATATATATGACGTTCAGAGGAGACGGATACGAGCCGTCAAGACGAGAAGAAATATACGTCTGGAAGAGCTCATTGGTCAGACATCGTACGAGAGTATATATACTAGTACTCTGGCCAATAGAATTTGTCAGGTTGACTACACAAGTGGACGATTGTGACTATTTTCAGCAGCAGCGGTCATTGAATAATGCGTTCAAAACTCCTGTCTAAACATAACCTAGTGTTACATCATATAGAAACATGCGTACATTCGAACGCAGTGGCTGCGCCCTATTCACTTATATCTATGCATGATAGAATAGATATACGTATTCTAATCCACATATTTATGCTAGAGTAACTGGAGGTATAACTAGTGAGGTCTTATGCGCAATCAAGTAGATGCAGCTACGAAAGCAGCCAAGATGGCAGATTTTATAATGGTTGATCTTGCCGGTGTAACTCGTGCTGAGTGAGCATGAGCGAAGTCTGCCATACTGCTGACAACATAGCTTGATCATTCATAAGCAGAACTACCTGAATTTGAATCTCTAAAATAAGTGGCTGTGAGTTATCGGCATGTAGTGTCTGTCTCCCCCATTTTCGGACTCATTTTGTTTTTAAATTCAGTTCCTAAATCTCCGGGTATAGACTCAACATCCATCTCTATTTCGATTTTTGTGACACTAAATGCAATGTTTTAAGTTTATTGCTTTGCAGTCTTGAATGTTTATATAATTCTAGTTTAGCCACAGCATTCCTGAATACAAGTATCACTCGTCCTGCTCAACCTGGGATAGTGAAGCATTATAAGCTTTGGCCCAGCTCCTCGAAATTACAGACCGCAAACCACAGTCAGCAGCTAGTAAATTTCAAGAGCTTATACAACCTTGCTTGTGATCTTCCCTGCCATCCAAGGCTCAAGTATCGCCTCATTAGAACTGATCCGTCCATGCAGTCAAAGGAGCAAACCTACAACTCCGTGCTACAGGGTGATATGACTTGAACATATAGTCGGCTTTGATTTACCCTGATCCAGCTCCTGAAATACCCTAAATACATTAGACACCAGAGTCCTTTGCACGGCTCACCTGCGTCTAGATATTCCTTCCGGCAAAGCCATCTCTGTCAAAACCGACTACTGCAAGCATCTCCAGCTCGCACAGTTTTCGAGGGAAATAACATCTACACAAAGTAAACAGAACCGAACCCACCAATTAGTTACAAATTCAGCTAGTACGGCGGAGGGCCTGCCAGTACACGGCAATACCAATGCCGGATGCCTTATGCAAATGAGACCCAAGACCTCGGCTGTTGGCAAGTGTGTCGATTATTAGTTATTCCACCAATCTCCGCCCTAGTCATGTTTCACTTGTCAAACATGCTAAAACTATTTTCAAGGCTTTTCCAAATCTCTAACAAGATGCTTTCGGTAGGATCTGCTATTTCTGTGCCTGTTTATCAGTCTTGGCTTTTGGTTTCTGGGTGCTATAACATGGATGTTTTTCTTGCCATGGTATAGCGGTGAGTTAGAGCCAGTGATAAATGGTGTATGTACCTGCTTCTCGGATTATAAGCTGTTGAGCGTGCTGCCACTCGACCAAAATACCTTTAAGCATCTCCAACCGAAATCTGGCCAACATAAACTATGTTGGTTTTATTAGTGAGTCCGTGCTTTGATCGAAGAGCCAAGTGTCCAAACACAAGGGCACAATCTACCAAGCTGTGAAATTTCGTTTTTATGTTAGTTTCGGACTTGTGAGCATATTCAATAGAACCTACATATGCAGGAGCACCTCTATTAGGAAGCCCTTCACCGACACCCCCATAGGTAACTTCACTCCACATATTGAATCAGTGCGTTGCCTTCAGCTCGCTTAGCGGTTCGGAAATAACGACTCTAGAAGACAGGGCCACCACCAACACCACGAGGATACGCCCATCCAGACACTGTGCTATACACAAGAGTCACTCGGCACCATGTTGCCACAAACCCTCGGGTAACCAACCGACATACACATCAAGTCAGTGCGGTGGCCGGTGACCGATATCTGCTGAGTCCGATCTCGATCTAGTCGCGTCTACCAGCTAACCCCAGAAATAGTGATCGGTGAGCCTGTGGCTGGTCTGGACGAGACCACAGACCATCATGTGTTATTACAGGTTCGTGGGAAAGCTAACAAGCAATCGCATGTTGATACCTAATGAGATGGACGAGTTAGCAGCTCGGACGTCTCTTGCCATGTGGTCTGTAATTAATCCTTCTATGTTCAATCTCCTGTCTATGCCTTGAAACAATTTCCTGAAGCGACGCCAATGGAGGGTTTTTAGCGGCATGCCAGAGCCAAGACGGACCAATGTCTTGACATCGCTTAATTCCCGCGACGCTTTTACCCTGCAAGCTAAGACTAGCAGCAATCCAAGTCCGGCACAAGCACTCAATCACAGGACGACCGCGGATCCTAGGGCCGCATTCCCAGTCATAATCCCGGCGTAATAAACCCAGGCTAATCCTGTCAACCCCAGATAGTCCGCCCACACAATCCCCCGGAATTTAATTAGATGGGGGGCTGGACCCTGGGCTGACTAGAAGAGAAACGGACACGGCAGTTCGGACCGATCACCGCACTAGAGGGTTCCTGGATTGGCATGGCCACTAGGAGAGAGTCATGGAGCGACTTGGGCATCCATCGTGGCGTGCAGACCACGAGGAGGACTGGGAATCTGACCACACGAGAGAACGATGGGGAGACGTTGGATCTAACAGTCTGGCTCCTCGTATTGGCCCTCCACAATCCCCCGCGAAGCTAGAATACGGGCTAAGCCGACCTCCAGCGGCGAACTGATTCCCCAGATTTCGACTTTGATATGCGCTTATACCCTTTTCGCGACGGAAGGATTCCTCCTTGCTGCTTTCATCCGCGGGTTGCCTCTGTGTCCATACACAGGGCTGAATCCTTGATTTTTAATAGATTTTAATCTCCTTATAATGTCACCGTTTAATATATCCCGTATTGTATCGTAATCCTTCCCAATCTGGGTAGCATGGTCTGATACACCGAAACGCCCGCAGTTTTTATATTGTATATCAATCTCCCCCCTCCCCTGGCCTCGCTTTTTCTCCATCAGACTATGTAATTGTATCCACTGCCAACCGATCTTCTTTGCTTCCTCTTGATCCACCATGGCTGACAAGTTGGATGCCACTGTGTCCCACAGTGACAACGCGGCCGACGCCCACATCAAGGGCGTCAACAATGCCGCGTTGGCGGTGGCCACCATCCAGCAGAAGCCCAAGCTTCTGAGCAAGAGCATGCTCAAGGTAATCGCATCTCCGTTCTGCGCTTAGGATTCCCCACTGACCAGTCCAGCTGTACTGGTGCATTGCAGTCGCTATGCTCAACTCCTGCATCAACGGATACGACGGCTCGCTGATGGGCTCCATCAACAGCTACGAGCAATACCGATCATACTTCGGCTTCGACCCCGACGAGGGAACGCCGTCGACGGGAATCGTGTACGCCATCTACACGATCGGAAACATCGTGGGCTCCTTCACGGCCGGCCCCTTCACTGATTTCAGAGGTACCCCCCCTTTCACTCGTGCATGCCATCCCTCAGCTAAGTCCCGTGCCATAGGTCGTCGCGTCGGCATGGCCCTCGGCTCCATCTTTATCATCATCGGCACCATCGTCCAGGCCACCTGCCACAACCTGGGCGGCTTCATGGCCGGCCGCTTCATCCTGGGTTTCGGCGTCGCCACCTCCGCCACCGCCGGCCCGGCATACGTCTCGGAGATGGCCCATCCCGCGTATCGCGGCGCAATGACCGGTCTATACAACGTGTTGTGGTTCGGCGGTGGCATCCCGGGGACCTTCATCCCGTGGCGCACGAGCGACATCGAGGGGACCATGAGCTGGCGGATTCCGATCTGGCTGCAGATGATCTTTTCAGGACTCGTGCTCTTGTTCTGCTTTACTGTTCCAGAGGTAGGCTGCGCCCGCCACTCCCAGTTTGAGAAACCACGCTGACCCACAGCCAGTCCCCCCGTTGGCTCATCTCGCAAGACAAGCACGAAGCCGCGCTGAAGGTGCTGGCCGAGTACCACGGCGAAGGCGACCGCAACGCGCCGATCGTGCAGCTCGAGTACCGCGAGATGCTGGAGGACATTTCCAAGACGGGATCCGACAAGCGCTGGTGGGACTACCGGGAGCTATTCAACAGTCGCGAGACGCGGTATCGATCGATGCTGGTGATCTTCATGGGTACCACCACATACCTCCCCCAACAAGCACCCACCAGGAATAAACAGCTAACGAGATATGATAGCCTTCTTCGGCCAGTGGTCCGGCAACGGCCCCGTATCCTACTACTACCCGCAGATGCTGCGCGGCGCAGGCATCGAGAACAACAACACCCGCCTGCTGCTGCAGGGGCTGCAGAACGTCGTGCAGTTCATCGGCGCCGTGTTCGGCGCCCTCATCACCGACCGCGTCGGTCGTCGCCCCCAGCTGCTCGTGTCCACCGGCCTCATCGTCATCCTCTTCGCCATCGTGCTGGCCCTCAACGCGACCAACGTCGTCGACGGCCCCGATGGCGAGCCCATCGCCAAAAGTGGCGTCACAGCCCGCGCCCAAATCGCCATGATCTTCATCTTCGGTTTCGTGTACTCGGCTGGCTGGACGCCCAATCAGGCTATGTATCCGGTGGAATGTCTGCGGTATGAGAGTCGTGCCAAGGGGATGGGTATGAATAATGTACGTCACCTGGCTATACCCATGCATATCCTCATCTATTATCCCCAGTCCCTTCATACTTTCCAATCCCCCAAGAAAACAATCTCCAAGAAAGGAACAAAAGAAAGAAAGAGAAAAAGAAACTAACAAGGTCTAGTTCTTCGTCAACATCGCCTCCTTCTACAACACCTTCGTCACCGGCATCGCCTTCACCGGCGCCGGCTGGAAATACTACTTCCTGTTCATCTTCTGGGACGCGTTCGAGTTCATCATCATCTGGTTCCTGTTCGTCGAGACCAGCAAGCGCACGCTGGAGGAGCTGACGGCGATCTTCCAGGCCAAGAGCCCGGTGAAAGCGTCGCTGAAAAAGGACGAGGTCTTTGTGGCTAGCGACGGAGCCGCGGCGATCCAGAAGGAGGTTTAAGTCATTTCGTTTAGCTTTCCTTTCATTTTACTTAAGTTTATTGCTCGAAGTAAGCACTTTATACGAGGTGTGGTTCCTGGCTTTTGGGGTCGGGGTCTGGGTCTCTCGCGCATAAGGTTATTGCGAAGTGGATTCTTGGGACGGGAGGGATATTAATTTCATTTATTTAGGGGTAGTGTTGACCCACTGGTTCTTCCTTCGTTCTATTCTCTATTTTATTTATCTATTCTATTTTATTTTAGGATATGAGGTGATGATTTTGTGGATTGTTGTGTGGTAATCTATGTCATGAGCTTTTTATCATTCACGCTTGTCTAAGTCTTTGTACAGTACATATGTTGTGTATCCACGAGGTATCCCTATATATCCCAAAAAAACAAAAGAAAAACAAAAGAAAAACAAAAGAAAGAAAGGAAAGCTATTTACTACTCCTCACGATCGTCTCCCGAACAACCTTAATCCCCTCCTGACTGCCCCGGCTATCCTCATCCCACGTCCCGGCCTCACAGATCGTCGCCTCCGTCCTCGGCAGGATCGTCTGCTCATCATGGTACTGCGTATCCGGCAGCGACAGCGGATGTCGAAACCTCCGCTTCCGGTTACTGCTGAGCATGGTGCCCTTCGAGTTCGGAGCTCCCGGTAGCTCGCTGTCCGTCAGCGGGTAGCTGTTTGCGCTGACGCCCTTGGTGCTGATGTACCAGCCTGCGCGGCGCGCGATGCGGCGACAGAGTGGATAGATCATGGGCGCGTTGCCGATGATCACGGCTACGAAGGTCTCGCGGCAGGCCCAGCTGCCGGCTTGTTGGGCGCCGTTTGCGCCGGCCTTTTTTTTCAGATCTCTATTAGTTTTTGGGCCGATGCCATTGAGTGGGTTGGGGAGGGGATGTACCGTGACGATTAACACGCAGCGCAGAATGCCCGCGGCCATGACGAAGATTCCGCCGCTGAAGAGCACAAGGAGTTCGAGTTTCTCGCGCCAGGGGAGACGGGCTTTGAAGAGCATCTTTGGGATGGTATGTTAGCTTGGTGGGTGGAGTATTTGTAGTGGGAAGACATACCGGGGTTGGGATCGAAATCAAGTACACGTCTGTCGCGACGTTCAACGTAACAGTCACGTAGACGTCGATGCGCGACACCGCCGGCTGGCAATAATTGCCCGGGTCCGGGTATATCTGCCAGTTCTTTTGCATAGGATGGCAGCCGAAGAGAATCGAGCAGATGACGGCGATGTAGGTGGCTCCGATGAGGACGTAGGCGATCTGTACACGACGATGCATGTTGACCAGGCCGGATCTAGGTTCCATTGATTAGCTATTATTTCTTTCCCTTGCCAGGCGAATGATGTGGAGGATAGTTAATAGATGAGAAACGTACGTCAATCGAGAGTAGAAAATCGCCATGCAGGCCTTCAACAACCACAGCAGGGTGGTATACAGCGACCATCCCAGAACCTGGGTCTTGGAGCCCCCCACACGTAGACGGTATTCTTCCGAAGTGGGCGACAGCGAGGCTCGTTGCTCGTCGGTCATGGCGTTGTTGGCCATACCCATCCACCACGCGCCCACGCAGTAGGCGGCGCCCGTTTCCAGCCCGTAGACCACCTGTTTTGTCTGATGAGTACCTTGGCCGGTGTTCTGGTGGAGGGGTGGCATACCCCCGCTAAGGGCATTAGAAAGTCATCGAGCTGGAAATTCCTCGGTCCAGCAGTGATCCATCGCGCGGCGATGCGAATGCCGATGGCAACAATGGCGAGGGCGAGGAGCGTGAAGGCCTCGATGGTAAAGTCGTCACTAGCCATGGTGGCAGTCTGGACGTCTGTGCGGCACTCAGATCATACGAAGAGGGGGGGGGGATCAAGGGAGGCAATGGGCTGATCTCTGGGTATAAAAGTAGTTTTATAACTGGATGTTGGGCAGGCCGGAGCACGGAAGATCGATGTATCTATCCAGGGGGAAAGCCGGTCGAAAACAATCCCTGGCCAAGCAACCACATGGCCCGAAAGGTTGGGTCTGGATGACCGTTGCAGGATGGCAGCGGGACGCCAAACGCTTGTCCGATGCGCCAGTCTCCATTCTTTCTCCTAATGAATGACTGTGGGCTTACCAGTTCGGGCAATCGTGGTGGCTCCGACGTTTGACCATGGACTCTCAGTGGATCGTTCGCTACGGGAGCCGAGATTACCCTGCCTATGATGATTGATCCGGAGTATTTTCATGGGGCGATATTGCTATCGCTCAAGCACTACCGGGCTAGTTGGCTGCTCGGACCCGTCCTGCAAGGAAACGTTAGGGTTTGTGATGCATTCGCTGGCGATCTCCCTTGTTGGATTGATAGCAGACATGGAGGCCAATCGAATGTGATACCCTCCATCTCGCATGAACATGTATCAGCTTTGACTTTGGATAGAAAGTCTACCACAAATTGTTTCGTGCATACATCCAGCGTGGATCTTGGGCTGTCAACCGGCTGAAGAATAACAAGCTCCACCTTAATAAATACTAAAGTCAGACTAAGTCCGACTAAGACGAAGAGACCACCGGGGTCCACCTGAAACGACGACAGCGAGAGAATTCCCAATTATTAGCTGTCAAGCGTCCCCTGCTCCACCGATTATCCTGGCCATGCTCGTCGTCTTCCCTCTTTTGAACCCCGACGCCGCTTTAGCCAGGCGTTAGGCCGAAGTTAACGGCTGGCGCGATGCAACCACGCTTCTTCTAATTTTCCTAATTGTCGAGTCTCCGTGCGTCCTCATTAAAAAACTTTTTTCTTAGCAATGTCGCCATGTTTTTGGCGATCGGACGGATATCCCGGCTGTTGACCGTTTTTTTTTTCTCCTTTTCTTTTTTTTTTTTTCTTTTTTTTTTTTTGGTCCCCGGGGAATGAGAGTAAATTCCGTGATCGACACACTACCACGGAGTATACAACCAGTCGATTCTACTTCTGGCAGTGTCACTCCACCCGAGCTTCCCCTCGTTGCTCTTTAAATTCCCTCCGCGGCCATTGCGGGGAGTTGTGTCCAGCGAAAAATCTCCTGAAACTAACCCTGCAACAATTGCAGTGAATGTCCCTGTGACTGCATCATCATGGAGACTGTTGACGTGACAGTCATCGGAGCGGGTATGTCCACACGTCGGAATTGATACGTCGCAAAACACCAACTCACATCACATCGCTAGGATGGAGTGGCCTCGCCGCCCTCAAGACCTACCATCAGGTCGACCCCTCTGCCTCGATTGTGCTGTTCGAGAGTGCGGCCTCGGTCGGCGGCGTCTGGGCCAAGCACCGCCTGTATGCCGGCCTCAAATCCAACAACATGCTGGGCACCTACGAGTTCAGCGACTTCCCCATGGACGCCTCGTTCGGCGTCCAGCCGGGCCAGCATATCCCCGGCACCGTGATCCAGACGTACATGGAGCGCTTCCTCGAGCACTTCCAGCTGACGTCGTTCGTCCGCCTGAACACCCGCGTGCGCATCGCGGAACATAACGCCGACGGAACCTGGACCCTGACCATCGACGGCCCCGACGGCGAGAAGACCGTCGTGAGCAAGAAGCTCATCGTCTGCACCGGCATCACCTCCCAGCCCTACCTGCCCACTATCGCCGGCCAGGACGCCTTCGACGCGCCGCTCTTCCACTGTCGCGACCTGCCCCAGCACCAAGACGCCCTCCTGCAACTCACCAAGCGCATCACCGTCTTCGGCGGCACCAAATCTGCCTGGGACGCCGTCTATGCTGCCGCCACCGCCGGCGCCCACGTCGACTGGGTCATCCGCGACAATGGCCACGGCCCCGTCTGGATGGCCCCGCCCTACGTGACGCCGCTGAAGAAATGGCTCGAGAAGCTGGTCACCACGCGGCTCCTCACCTGGTTCAGCCCGTGCATCTGGGGCGACGCCGACGGGTGCAGCGCGATCCGCAACTTCCTGCACGGCACCTGGCTGGGCCGCAAGATCGTCGACACCTTCTGGGGCATCCTGGGCAACGACGTGATCACACTCAACAAATTCGACGCGCACCCGGAAACCCGCAAGCTGAAGCCCTGGGTCAGCCCGTTCTGGGTCGCCTCGGGGCTCAGCATCCTCAACTACCCGACCAACTTCTTCGACCTCGTCACCGAGGGCAAGGTCCGCATCCACATCGACCACATCACCCATCTCACCCCCCAGACCGTTCACCTGGCCTCCGCCGGCCCCCTCCCCTCCGACACCCTCATCTGCGCCACGGGCTGGCAAGCAACCCCCAACATCGACTTCCGGCCCGCCCACCTGTCCCAAACCCTGGGTTTCCCCTGGGCTGAAGACCCCATCCCGCAATCCGTGGTCCAGCAAGCCGACGCAGAGATCCTGACCCGCTTCCCGCGCCTCGCAACTCCACCCCCAAGACCAGACAACTACACTCCACTCGCCCCCGACGCCCCCGCAACAGCAAAACATCCCTTCCGCCTCGCTCGCTTCATGGTGCCCCCCGCTCTGGCCTCCGCCAGATCAATCGCCTTCATGGGCCTCGCTATGACCATCAACACCACCATGCTGGCCCAGGCCCAGGCCCTCTGGATCGCCGCCTACTTCACCGACCACCTCACCCCGACCCCGCGGGAGCACTGCCCCGCGAACCTCCGGAAGACCCTCGAGCAGGAGGAGAGTAACGTCGACGCAGACCTGGTCTGGGAAACCGCCCTGCACTCGCAGTTCGGGGTGCATCGCTACCGCGGCGGGTTTGGGAAACGGAACCCGGATTTTGTCTTCGATGCGGTGCCGTATGTGGATTTGTTGCTTAGGGACCTTGGCCTGGATTATACCCGGAAGGAGGGCGGGTTGAAGTGGTTGGTGCCGTATGGGGTGGAGGATTATCGGGGGTTGGTGGACGAGTGGGTTCGGTCGAGGGATGCGGTGGGCAAGAAGGATAATTAATTGATTTGTTGATTTGTTGATTGATTGAGGTCGTGTATGTGTATATACCCTGGTGTTTGTGGTTTCACTTGTGTAGAGTTAGTTGGGTGTTGTATTCGTAGTTAGGATTTGTGTTAATGTTGAGGTTTTGTGATGATTTGGTGGGTTTGTTGGTGTCGTTGGTTTAGTAGTATGTAGGGGTTGGGGTGTTTGTTTGTTTGTTGCAGTGGCTGATCCCGAGTGTAGGGTTGTTGTTTAGACAGGATATACGTCTATTATGTAGAGTTCTATCCGGAATAATCTCGAGTATGTTATATCGGTGTATTCACTGCAAGGAGACTCATTCCGAAATCAATTTGCCATCAAATACGGATCCCAATAGTCTCCTACAACGCCTCTACCTACATACGTGTACATACATCCGGCTATCCCTCGCTGATGCCAAACCATTCACAAGATATCAAAGAAAAAAAGAAAGAAAAAAAAAATCAATCAATCGTCCCAACCGAATCGCTCGCAAAGTACATACAGGCCAAATACAAGCATCACGGAGCGTACACAAGAGAATTAGAACAATAAAGTCGAGAGGTGAGGTCGAGAGAGGTATGTCGATTCGGGTGGGGAGTTTATGGAGGTCAGTTGAGATCAAGGGGTAAACGAGAACGGATCAGCCTAAACCGACAAGCCATGGTCCAGGTCTTTGTCTTCCTGTTTCACCGATTCACTCTCCTGCTTCGGGATCGTGTCGGACACGTCCTTGCCGCATCCCTTGACGAGAATATGTCGCTGATTCAGTTAGTCGTCTAACTCCAGAGTATTCACTGTCTGTGGATCTTACCTTCAAGGCATCCTTGCGAGAGAAGCTTTTATCGCAATGATGGCAGGGGAACGGCTTCACGGAGAGATGGATCCGTTTGTGTCGCTTCAGGTCGTGGTTCCGGTTGAAACTCTGCGGACACTGGTCGCACTTGAACGGTCGGTCGTTCGTCGGACCGGATGCGTGGCCCGCATGCGAGGGATGACCCCCGTACATCTGTTGCATGGCTAATTGGCCGCTGTTGTACCCCAGTAGGCCCGGTTGCAGATTGCCGACGAGGGACATCTGTCCGTTCGGATTGTGCACGTTCGTCATCACGGGGCCGTTCATCGCGGGTAGCGAATATGAGGGCCACGGCTGTCGCTGGTAGTTGAGATGATGCGGCGGCGGGTTGGACGCCACCCGTCCCGGCGGGTGAATCGCGAGGCTGGTCTGGCCGTAGGGAGCATAGGCCCCCGCGGGATTCGATATCTGTTGGATTCCGGTGTACGAGGGAGCGGACGAGGATTTCGTCATGTACGGGTCGTTCGAGGGGAGCGGCGGCGGGGCCGGCGGCGGATTGGGGATCGCATTGTGCCCCGTGAGCATCGCATGCGTCATAGCATGATGCTGCGAGTTCGGGCCCGGCATACTCGATGCGAGCGGTTGCTGAAACGGCGGGAGGTGGTTCATGTCGTACGGCTGGCTGGGGATGGTCTCGGTCCCGGGTGGTGAGGTCGCCGAATTTCGATGGAGATGGTTCACGGAGGGGGAGAAGGTGTCGCGCGGCGGGTACGGATTCACAGCCGCGCTCCAGGACTGACGGGGCGCCGCGGACGCAGCAGTGTATGAACTCTGGCCCGGCCAGTAGGCGGGAGCATAGGAGGTCGGGTCGGGGGATGCAGAGACCGCGGCGGTTGTCACGGCTGTGGTGGTCGGTATCGGTGTCTCGCCGGACTGTGTCGAGGCGGGCGGCGTCAGAAGGCTATTGACACTGTGATTGCTCGCGGGGTGTGTGTGCGCGGGCTGGGGGTGATACTTCACGCCGAGCTGGAAGTTCGGGGGCGGCAGCTCGAAGCTGGGGAGGGACGGCGCCGCCGGTCGACGGGAATTCAACGGCTGAGGGGCAGTCAACGCATCCAGCGCTGTCCCCATGCCCGGTGGCGGAACTGCAAGGGCAGCCAGGTTGGCGGTGGTGTCGCGCGAGAACCCGAGCGGGTGATACAGATCGGCCGTCTCTACGGGCGGCGGATGGGCCAAGGTCGAGGTCAGCGTGCCGGCGGAATATCCCGTATCGCCTCCGATTGCCCAGTATCGATTGCCAGACAGGCCCCCAGAGACGTCTGGAGGATCCAGGAGGGGCGATGATCGCGGTTCAGCGATCGACACGGATCACGAACGGAGAAGAGAGATGCGATTCGGAGGGAGAGACGGACTCTGAATGGATTCGATGGCTCGTGGTCGCTGGGTCGAGTCGACTTGAAATGGCGTGTGGTGCGCGAGGTTGGTTCCACCCAATTCTTTACACGGGAGGCATATCCTGGCGGTGGATGATAAGTCGGCAATCACCGATAACGCAGAATCCACGAGGAGGGGAAAAAAATAAAATCAAAAGCGTCAGCAGCACTCGGGGCGAAGTCACGACAGCCGCATGGCCCGTTGTGGAGTCGATACAACGATCAAACGATCACACCGATGAATGGTGACGGGTGGAATGCTATAGATCGAATGGAGCGGGATGGCACCGATCGAGCGTCTGTGTGCGGAGACGAGACAGTCCTAAGGGAGCGATCGACAGATTAGTTGATTGAGGCTCGAATGGCAGCGTGGTCGTGAGTTGCGAGAGAAATTGGGACGGTGGAAAGAAGAGGATGAGGAGAAGGTGTAGTGAAGGAGAAGTGGAATGAAAGAAAAGGGCCGCGGTGGTGGGAATATGACTGTTATTATTATTATTATTATTTTATTTTTCTCACATTAGGATTTGGTTTTTGTATAGTCCGAACCGGCGTATCAATGATTAAGGTGAAGGACAGGACCACCAACCCAAAAAAGCGAGAACCAAACCCCAGCAAGAATGGGGATGTATCCAGACCAGTCCAGTGCCCGGTCTGGCCAACGCGGGGACGGCGAAAGGAACAGCGCTCGTCGGGTTTGAAAATTAAAATTAAAAAAGAATTGACCAGAAAAAAAGAAAAAGAAAAAACCGAAAAATCAAAAAATATTAATCACTAGCGAAACAATAAGAAAGGTCCAATATTACCTGACTTTGCCAAAAACATGGACAATTCAAAAAGACTTTTTTTTTTTCTTTTTTTGCTTTTCTGATTCCTGTCTTTTT